GAAAGTAATGTTTTGAAATATATTCCCAAATTATTTCATTTATTTAGAATAAATATAGAGATAATAAAAAATAACTATAACGTATGGGATAAAAGTTTTGAGAAACAGTTTCTATTTCTACCAGCTTTTGATATCTGATGTAGTTACCATGAAGTATGCAAACAAATCGTGATTTGCTGTCATTGGTCTAGAGCTCTGCTTTCTGTTATTAAGTGAGGTGACGGAGAAGTACATAAATCGCGAGCTTCTGGAGTACTTCGAGCGTCACGGCTTGATTAGCAACAGGCAGTATGGTATATGGCACCAGCGATCCCCAGGGGATGTCCTAGCTTACGTCGTGCAATTGTGGAGTAAGCTCATCTTGTGGTGGGGCTCATGTCGATGATCTTGATATCACGAAAGCGTTCGATCAGCTGTGGCACGCTACCCCCTTATGGGTCTAACCTCCATCATCTGGCCTACCAGAGAATCTTTGAAGATGGGTGGCTGAAAGGTATCCGTCATAACTGAAGGGTTCTCCTCTTCATCCCACAACGTCAACGCGGGTGTTCCCCAGGGATCGGTCTTGGATCCGACACTGTTCCTCTTATATATCAACGACCTCTTTTCCTATACCATCAATCCGATCCACTGCTTTGCTGATGATAGCACTCTACAAGTAGGAATTCAGAGCGACAAGCCGATCTCTGCCGAGTAGCAGGAAAAAAGAAGACTAGCGGCGACTTCCTCTCTGACGAGAAATGTGGAGGTCTCGATGGACGGCCGAGTTCTGCCAAAGAGCCGTTCATTTCGGCTGGTCGCAGTCCAGATCACCGAGTACTTGATCTTGCACTAACACATCCCGTCAATAGCGGTAGCTGCTAGAAAAGAGCTAGGCTATTGGTTCAGGGCTAAGAAGTACTTTTCTCCACATGACCTCCTCACTATATACAACGCCCAGATCAGACCTAGCCTCGAGTATTGCTCACTCCGTACACCCAGAACTGGCCGATTCGACCGCTCCTTTGTTCTTACAAACAAAGTTTCTTGGGGATCCTCATAGCAGCCGCGAGGCACTGGCATTTGGCTTCTGCCTGCGCCGCTGATTTGGTGTACAAAATTAATGAACGTCAAATTGTTTCAATAATCAAGGTCAAATCTTGTACAAACTTAAAATTCGCAAAAATATCTACAGCTTAGTTGTACGCTTACACAAAACAAAAATTATGAATTTGTTCAAAGATCAAAACATTAGCCAGAAAACCATTTATGGGACAATAAGAAACTGTGAAGAAAGTATGCCTTGCATTGATTTGCCGAAAACTGGAAGACCCAGTTTATCACAAAATGGGGTTCATAGATCGGGTAGAAAGCGCTCAAGGAAGAATTGAAATTGAATCTAGTCGAGAGTTAGGTAGCCCTTTTAGGGTCTCGTACAAAATCGTGCAGGATGGAAGCGCCTCAAATACACTCAGGCACAACTCGAAACAATTCCTGGATGTTGTAAGGCTCTGAGGTGCAGGCATTTTGGGATAAGAAACCGCGTGATTATAATGGATGATTTTAGGCTGTCGCATTTAGGAATGCATACGATAAATTTTACACCTCCAATATTGAATATTCTCCAAAAGACTTCACAGGAAAATGTACGTATCTCCTATAAATTAAGTGTTTAGTGTAGTCCACATTTTAATAAACTATTATTGGAACATTTGGGATTCGATGTCACTTTTGAGTTTTACTTGCCTTTCCTTACTTTTGTTTTTTCCTTATCTTTCCAGGTTGTTTAATGATGTCAGTGGATTTAAACTAAGTGATTATACCCTGTTTTTTTATTGTTCCTGAGATATTTGCGATACATCAGTACTCTATCCTACTTGATTAACAACTCTTGTTAATGGAGTCGAATTTCTCATTTTTTTGTGGCTTTCAGTGCCAGCCAGCTTCGATTCTGGTTATTATAGCCCACGGAAAGTAAGTACTCTCCCTTCAAAATGTAGCATGGATGTCGGTTGGAACTTGCCAGGTTATTCCGTACAATAAACATTTAGCTACTAACACGGTTCTGCCTGCGCCGTTGATTTGGTGTACAAAATTAATGAACGTCAAATTGTTTCAATAATCAAGGTCAAATCTTGTACAAACTTAAAATTCGCAAAAATATCTACAGCTTAGTTGTACGCTTACACAAAACAAAAATTATGAATTTGTTCAAAGATCAAAATATTAGCCAGAAAACCATTTATGGGACAATAAGAAACTGTGAAGAAAGTATGCCTTGCATTGATTTGTAGAAAACTGGAAGACCCCATGGTTTATCACAAAATGGGGTTCATAGATCGGGTAGAAAGCGCTCAAGGCAGAATTGAAATTGAATCTAGTCGAGAGTTAGGTGGCCCTTTTAGGGTCTCGTACAAAATCGTGCAGGATGGAAGCGCCTCAAATACACTCAGGCACAACTCGAAACAATTCCTGGATGTTGTAAAGCTCTGAGGTGCAGGCATTTTGGGATAAGAAACCGCGTGATTATAATGGATGATTTTAGGCTGTCGCATTTAGGAATGCATACGATAAATTTTACACCTCCGATATTGAATGTTCTCCAAAAGAAGTTAAATTCAAAGCAAACCCGAAATTCGGTGATCTGGACTTCGACCAGCCAAAATGAACTGCTCTTTGATAGAACTCGGCCATCCATCAAAACCGGATTTGGAAGCATTAGACTCTACAAGATTCTTGCGACCCCAAGCTGTGATAACGTTTAGCTCAGGAATGGTTGTTAACAGAATAAGGTTAATTATGTACCCAGAGAAGATGACCCTCAAATTTACCACAAGCACGATCAATTGAAGAATTTTGGTCAATACTGTATCGAAAAATGTATGACAATGGATGTAAATCCCAAAATGAACAACAATTCCGGGCGCTCGTTTTTCTATAACTTCTGGTTGTCGAAATGAACATCGTATAACGGAAGATGAGACAAGTCTTAACCAAATTGCATGCTATTGAGCATTATGATCCGCTATCAGTTTTGAAGAGTTGTTTTCAAATTATCAAAAGATGTATAATTAACCATTAGTATTAAGATTTAAATAATATTCCGTTATTTCGTTAATCAAACCTCTTATATTTTTCCTTAAAACTTATACAATACGTTATGAAACTTCAGGAAAAATTAAAATGATACTACACAATCAGAAGATAATTCTCTAATATGAAGCATTCTGGTCATGTATAATAATAATAACAATAACAATAATAATTAATAAAAAAGTAATAATAATAATCATAATAATCGTCTTTACAGAAAAACAAGAGTTGCAAATGGTGGCGAAGTTTAACAACACGCTACTCTTACACTTAACCACACAAGCAAAAAAACAAAAGCTGATAAGTAGCAGAAGTCAAAAACAAAAAATACACCCCGAAATTTTACTATATGCTCACAAAGATAGTGAAGAAAAAATGAACAATATAGATAAGAGCAAACTATTTAAATTATGGATCGAAGCAGATATGAGATTTAGCAGCTTTCTAGCAGCAATTTAAGGACATGTTTTTATATGCAGGACTTAAAGCATTGTACAAGACTGCAGCACTGTACGTGAAAGAATGCTGGAATGCAGCAGTAGAGCGAATAGGTGTAATTCAAATTTGGAGATCTAATATTTCTATCATGTACATATATTACCTCTAAAGATCAGCGCATCTATTAACAGGTGGGCTGAAAATTCCGTATCGTTTCAATGAAAAAATATTTTTTTCGTCAAAATTCGCTTTTATTATTCAACATAGTTGCCTTCAAGGGCTATACAGCGATTATAACGTTCTTCAAGTTTTTCGATACCCTTCCGGTAGTAATCCTTCGGCTTGTCCTCAAAATAGGCTTCAGTTTCGGCGATGATTTCTTCGTTGCTGTGAAATTTTTTTCCGGTGAGCATTCTCTTAAGGTCTGAGAAGAGGAAATAGTCGCTTGGAGCAAGGTCCGGAGAATACGGTGGATGGGGGAGCAAATCGAAGCCCAATTCATGCAATTTCGACATCGTTTTCATGGACTTGTGGCACGGCGCATTGTCCTGGTGAAACAAGATTTTTTTTTTCTTCATTTGTGGCCGTTTCTTGGCGATTTCGGCCTTCAAACGCTCCAGTAACACTATATAATAGTCGCTGTTGATAGTTTGGCCCTTTTGAAGATAGTCGATGAAAATAATTCCTTGCACGTCCCAGAAAACAGAGGCCATAACCTTGCCTGCTGACTGTTGCGTCTTTCCACGTTTCGGAGGTGGTTCGGATGCAGCCGTCCACTCGGCCGACTGGCGATTTGACTCCGGTGTGTAGTGGTGGAGCCATGTTTCATCCATGGTGACGTATCGGCGAAAAAAATCGGTTTTATTGCGCAAAATCACCTCCAAACAGGCCTCAGAGTCGTCGATGCGTTGTTGCTTTTGGTCAAATGTGAGATTGCGCGGCACCCATTTCGCACAGAGCTTTCGCATATCCAAATATTCATGAATGATGTGACTGACACGTTCTTTTGATATGTTTAAGGCCTCAGCTATGTCAATCAACCGTATTTTGCGGTCTCCCAAAATTATTTTGTGGATTTTTTTCACGTTTTCGTCCGTAACGACCTCTTTTGGGCGTCCACTGCGTGCGTCGTCTTCAGTTGACATGTGACCGGTACGAAATTTAGCAAACCACTTGCGAATGGTTGCTTCGCCCGGGGCAGAGTCCGGATAACACTCATCAAGCCATTTCTTGCATTCGACGGCACTTTTTTTCATCAAAAAATAATGTTTCATTAACACACGAAACTCTTGACTTTCCATGGTTTTCAAAAATAACAAAAGTAGCGTCACTCTCGATACGATAACTCAAAAACTAATGATCCGACAGCTGTCAAATTTTGACAGGCATCTTTTGAAGGTTGGTACTAGCTAAGAAGCGTATGGATTTTATTCTGGTGGCGCCATCTCATAGAAACGATACGGACTTTTCAGCCCACCTGTTAAGTATATAAGTTTGGACATAAGTATTAGTTTATGGATGAATACAAGGTAATTATATTTACAATATTTTTTGTTTTCATCGAGTTTAATTCAATAAGATTACCCATAAATGTGGTCAAAACGTCTCAATCTGCAGATGAGCCTAGCACAATTATCTGCACAATTTGAATTCGAAATAACATCGAGACACGGATAATATAAAATATCACAGTATTTGTTCCATAACTTAATCTTCAAAATTGCTTTATTGGCATATAGTAATCTCAGTCTCAAGTAGGTTTTCTTTGAAAGATTTTCTACATAACTGATGAACCATCGATTATTACGCCAAGAATTTTAACTTCATGGACTCCTTGAGATCCAATTTTAACAGCTAGTTTTAATTTCTACTCATTTACAATCTGAACAAAGCAATAACAGGCTGGACTTACCAGTACTCCAGATAAGACTTCTAGAAAACTAGATTGTTGTTATCAATTGTGATCTTCGTTCAAAAGTATAATCACAAAATTCCATCGATTCTCGCAGAATTAATTGCTGGAAAATCGTGATGTTTCATCGACTCGATTTTTTATGCGATCGTCATATTCGCACAAATGATTCGCTAGATTATTTCATATTGTTTATGTTACTCACTTCTAAAATATTTATACAGGATTAGCTCATAACAACGATAGGATCGACTGCTATATACAAGTGTAATGCATGCATTTTCCATAAAAAAGTGTATTCTGATTCGCGATTTGAAGCTGGTTTAGTGGTTGATTAAAGAATTAGACTATAGGATATCCAACAATACAAATAAAGTACCTACATGTGGTATCAGAAAATGGGCGAATCGAAAATAATGTATTAAAATTCTGATTTCATAATTGAATCAACCTTGAAATCGTATATCGACTATCGCATGCTTTTTATTCCTCTCACATAAGTAAGGAAGACTTTGTAAAATATGTTTATCCTATGCTGCTGTATTTTGCAAAAAACGTATTTTGGCGACAAGGTTTTTTTTTAAATAAAATACCAACTAAGGTTAACGTTCAATTCTGCACGGAGAGGACAAAGGAGTTTTGAAAAGCTCCAGAAGCATATTTCACAGTTTTAATTCACGACATAGCTAGAAAGTATTTAAAGTGTTCAAGACATCTATAAAAAATATGAAATTAGCCATATTGTTTTATCTGTCTGTAATACCGTCGTAGGTTTTCTTCTTGTCTTACCAGTTGTTAGTGTCAACAATTACTATTACTTTGTAATAGTCAGTAATTATGGATCTCATCATCACCTACATCTTTATTTTCGACTATTTAATCATTTTTAATGAAAGCGCAAGCATCCTTAGTCAAAAAATGTGAGAAGATAATAGGGTCAAGAACGTTATCAATTCGTTCTATCAAGTAAATTCGCAAATATTGCAAATTTTATTTTTATTTGAAGGCAACCCAGCAAACGATCTGCTATGTATTGATATACGAAAGACAACCAAGTACAAAATGACAAACATGAAAAGTAAGTTCATCATACATATTTAAGTACCATACTAGTATTGGTAGAAATATATCTGTCTGCACTTTAGGCATATATCATGCCGGATCACCCAGAAAAAACGGGACAACTATCATATGAAGTGAAGAATACGTGATTTTCACATATCCAACATATATGCTCAAGTAGTACCACATATGTATTTCCAGTTCCAACTATGCCTTTTAGCATATGTTATGAACCCGAAAACCATATCAAGTAGAATGGATTAAAGTGTGATATTTCTAAATTAATATGCAGATAGAAAAGGATACATTTACCGTACCTGTACAAGTACCATATTATGAACATTAATAGAACCGCCATCCCGCACATTCAGGCTGTCACCCGGAAAACATAAAACGCTGCGCGTCAACCGCATCACTACCATTCGCGCGATCTAGTAGACTACGAAACAAAACGAAAAAATGGAACGTCGATCATGGCAAGCCGCGAATGCAGCAACGTGAACTCGGCGGCGGGCGTCGTGGCGCCCTGACGCGTGGGTGGAGGGCGGCTGGGCATGCGCACCAGAGGAAGGAGTTAGGTCTTCCACGTAGCTTAGGTCTCAGGTAATACACGGATGCGTGGGCCGATGCGCATAGATGGAGCTTAACCGTGTTGAAGCAGTTCCTTCACTTCCCATGCAACCCAGGGTCCGACGGAGGCTTAGGCCACATACGGTCAAAAAAGGCCGTACTCACCAACGAATTCCGACTATTCGAATTCTATTCTATAACTTTCTGCAAGATTTCCAGCATGACAGCAATTTTATTACGGATATTGACTTTGGCTTACAAGTTGTTGCACTTAGTATACAACTTCTTCCCGTTCAAAATACTGAGCACGCGTTAAGGAATATCTTAGTACCGATATTGTCCGACGGCGGTTCAAATCCGTCAACGGGTTACTTCAAGCCTACTTAACATCATTAAAAATAAAAAAAAGGTGGTAGACAAGAGCCAGTCGACTAAAGGTGGTACAACACACTAGCTTTTTCAAGGGTGTCACAAAAATGTCCGAATGTCTCCACATCTAAGCAGTGCACTCAGTTTTCTTCTTTTTCGCCTCCACGTTCTCATCAAAACATATATGACAGATCCTTGGAGTACTAAGAATTCGAGATGTAAGCTCACTTCGCTCTCGGAATTTCGGTGTGGAGAATGTACTCTAGGAACAACATCCATAATAAAATCTTCTTCGCGAAATCTGGGGGATTAACAGCAACATTCACCGTTATCTTGACTCAAATCGACCCGTCATATTATGATTTTCTTGGTGGAGACCAAAATCTCCTATTCTTTTCCGACTAATCATCTTAGTTTTCCGAACTACGAGGTGAACTCCAATTTGAATAAGAACGGGGGAGTTGTGGCTTTTGTCTGCAATAGCCACTCCTGCTCCAGAGACGCCTCTTTGGAACCACGCCGGGACGACATTCTGTAGCTTCGGCTCTACTCCAAGCCATTCTCCAAGCTTGCTTGCAGCCTCTATTGCTCTCCCTTGAACCATGGGATGACTTACCTAAAGTTATCCACGTTGGGATGGAGAGTCAGTGTCAAACTGGTTCAACAAATCGTGCCATACTGCTCGTCGGTAGAAGATCAAGGCATACAGGACCTTCTTACAAAAGCACACAGTAGAGAACGGACAAGCCAACGTCGAATCTAGGAACAAATATAACGAAGTAATCCGCAATGCCAAGAACGCTGAGCAAGCAAATTGGAGGGAACTTCTGAAAGGTTAACCTTCCAACGCTTACGTGCCAAGATGGAACGATTGTTACCACCTCTAAGACTAAGACGGAAGTGCATGACCAAGATCTTTGTTATCAATTATATCATGGACGTGCCTCCAACGCCTAGCTGCCGTAGATTCCAAGGGCTCTTTACATTAAGTATGTGGGTAGTAACCTTCAGGCATAAGACCTTAAAACGGGTGCTCTTGTTGTTGACTAAATTTAATCGGTAGAACTGAGTCAGATCATCGAACGCCAGTCGCTTTCGACCTTTATCTTGCTCTTCGAAGCACCTTTAGAATAAAAAATTTCCACAAAATTACAGATTTGGACGAAGGTATCGTACAGCAAACTTGGCCAGCAAGTAGGAGTGCCGAAGCCGGCCCTGGAGAACTATGTATACGTCAGTCCAGTTCTATATCTTCACAGAATGAAGTGTCGTATCGTCAGCTGATTGTCAGTGTCAAGTTGAAGAGGATCATTTGAAAAGTCGTTGTGGTCTCACGTAGTTTTTTCAATATTTTATTTTTATATGTAGTGATATTTATTTATCTATAACGTACTTAACGTTAAGATATGGTCTTATCTTAAGATCGCATTAGTGTTGTAGTATCGTCTGTCTGCCTAAGGAAAAACCATGGATCTAGTGAAACAACCCTTAAATTTTTTCAAAGGAACAATTAACAATCAGTTCAGTGGTAAGGAACCCTGGCAAATAGTAACAATAACTACCTCAACAGTTTTAATAACTATATGGCTGTACGAACTTGTTAATCAAGATGAAAGTAAGTATAATGGAACTACCTTTGTACACTTGCTTTGACCTTGCACCTTATCTTTCAGGTTTACTTGAAAGAGGTAAAAAATGTGTATTTAAAATGGTTCGACTCATACCTAAACTTAGAAAGAAAATAGAGGACGAATTACAAAAGGTTTCCCAAGATTTTGAGGAAGAAGTTAGAGAAAGGACTAAGCATGTGACATATATCTTGGACCTCCCAGAAAATAGTGTTTCAACAGACGAGATAATAACACAGCTTCAGAAAAATTTGGGATTAGGTATGTACCAGTTATTCATTGTTTTGGATATTATAGTTTCTGCTTTTTACTTTTATTAAGCTAACAGTGTTATTTGAGGACTATTCAAGAATTTGAGTATCACAAAAACATTTTTGACAATATTATTGAACAGGAACTTGGGAAACAAAAATTCCTACCAGACTATAACATAAATTAATAACTGTAATAATTCCTGGGTAGGACAAACCCTACGTTTGAGAAGTCCAGCTAATAGCAAAGTCCGAGTTAGGCTGGGATTAAAAAACTAGACCTAATTAGAATTGCCTTACACAATATGCTGGTGATCAATGATGTGTGGTTAATAGACATATCCATTAGTCATTAAATTAATATTCCAAGAACAGGATTTTTTATGCTACTGTGCCAGCTTATACTTCAAGCATATTTCTTTGGAATACCTTGATATTTATTGACTAAACTAAAATGTTTTCCATAGGTGACTATGACTGGAAAAATGGTTTAGTCTCTGGGGCAGTATATTATCACAACCTAGAACTTATAGCTATGCTGAGTGAAGTCTATAAACAAACTTCATACACAAATCCTTTGCATCCTGATCTTTTCCCTGGTCTGTGCAAAATGGAAGCAGAAGTTGTAAGAATGGCAGCTAATCTATTCTATGGAGATGAAGAAACTTGTGGCACAGTAAAGTCTAATCTAGCCATTGTCATATTCTACAATAATTGAGAAAATTAATTTTAGATGACAAGTGGTGGCACTGAATCTATTCTAATGGCATGTAAGGCATATAGAGACTATGGCAAAGAAGATAAAGGCATAACAAGGCCAGAAATGGTGGTGCCTTCAACAATTCACTCAGCGTTTGATAAAGCTGCACAGTATTTCAAGATAAAAGTTAGGTCAGTACCTGTAGATCCTTGGACATATCAGGTGGATCTGAACAAGTTCAGGAAGGCAATCAACTCTAACACAATCATGGTGAGTATCTTGAAAATCCTCCCTAATTTATATTGATCATCTTTTTGTCCACTGGAAAAACACATTTTTAGATGTTGAACTTGGGAAATCTAAGATACAGAGGTCTGATCTGTTTAACTTGTAGCTCTCTAAAATTTTAACTTTTCAGATACATAATAATTTAGTGGACATTAATCATATTTATTACTCAAATTGCATGAATAACTTTTTCCCTTTATATTTAATTTGATTGAGGGTAAGACATGCATATTATTCAATTAATGTTGTAATGAGGTGCCATAGCTTTTTCAAATGCCATTTAATGTTTCCAACATTGAGCTTCACAGTGTTTCATGTTATAAAATGCACACCTTTTCTCCAAATAGACCAGTGGTATAGAAAATATTTCCTACTATGGGTCCAGGTACCCCAGTTTCCACGTCCCTGGTTCAGTTTGGGCCAGGAAACTCCGTATTTTTATTACTTATGATGTTCTTACTAAACGTCTAAAATCTCAACTCCGTATCTTTACCTGCTCCAGAGATATGATTTTTTCAAATCTGTAAATATGATAGAACTTCATCATGCATCTTGGTAGGGGCGCATCTTTGGACCATATCTATTTTTATGTACTTTCTACCCTAGAAATATTGGCAAGTATTTCTGAAATACCCTGTATATCTTCATCATCTCAAAATTCAAAATAAAAACATTCCAGCTTGCAGGATCAGCTCCCAACTTCCCATATGGTACAATGGATGACATTCAAGCTATAAGTGAGTTGGGTTTGAAGTATAACATTCCTGTTCATGTTGATTCTTGCCTTGGAGGTTTTCTAAGCTGCTTCATGAAGGATGCTGGTTATCCTATCCCATTGTGTGATTTTAGGCTACCTGGTGTTACAAGTATATCTGCTGATACCCATAAGTATGGGTTCACACCTAAAGGTATGTATAGACAGACGGATAAACTGCTAATCAATACCGTGAAGAAGTATCTATCAAATTCAACAAATATCTTGAGTCTGAACAATTTTGATAACATCTTAAAAATACGTTCATAATGTTATGTGCTTTAATGGTTAATCCATTAATAACTTTTGTGAGTTCATTGTAATTTTAGGTTCATCAGTGATTTTATACAGTCACAAAAAGTATCGTCACTTCCAATACACTGTCACCACTGATTGGCCGGGTGGTGTCTATGGGTCACCTAGTGTAGGAGGTTCCAGAGCAGGTGGCAACATTGCAGTATGTTGGGCGACAATGTTGAGCTTTGGCAAGGCAGGATATGTGAAGGCTACCCGAGACATAATACATACGACGAAATATATTGAGAAAGGGTAAACCTATTATTTCTCAATTTTTACTATACTGCCTCATAATGAGGGTTATGTTTTTTGAACGTGTATATGTATGGAAAAGAATAAATCTATTTCATACGGTACAATCCAGACGACTTGGTGGATTTTGACATTATTATTTTCGTCTTTAGCAGCGTGAGTGACACTGAATTCAAAACGGCAGAATTTAATTGAAAATTTTAACTTTGATATTTGTATGTCACCGGCTACAGCTTGATGGATTTTGACATACTTCTCTTGATTTGTTCTAGCAGTGCGAGTGACCTTGGCTATACTAAACTTTTACAAAATCAAATTGTATGCCGGGTTTCTTAACGAAAACCTCAACGTTGAAATTGCTATTTCACAGCTTGATGAATTTTGATATTTGTCGGTTTTCCGAGAATCGTGTTTATAGCACGATTAAAACTTGATTCTTCTCAGTTACTGCAGTCGGTTTTTTGTCTTTTTGTAATGTTCTTGTCTTGGACTATGTACGTTATATGTTGGATTTTTTTTTCATTGTAGTTTGAGGAGAATAAAAGGGATCTTCATATTCGGACAACCTGTGACAAGTGTGATCGCCATTGGATCCTACGACTTTGACATATACAGGCTGTCAACTGCCCTTAAACAGAAAGGCTGGAACTTGAATAATTTGCAATTTCCGTCAGGGTACGCATACCTATGTATAATGCACTATTTTCTATTTAATATTGGGTTGATATCAACCTCATTCAAGATTGAAGTGAAATGTATTTGTAAACTCATATTTACAGCATACATATATGCGTGACCCACATGCATGTAGCTGCTGGAGTTGCTGACAGATTTATAGAAGATGTCAAATCATCTGTCACAGAAATCATGAAGGATCCTTCTTTGCCAGTTGAAGGAAAAGTAAGTAGGAACTTTTAACTAATACTCTACCACTACAGTATCCCAAAATTCCATCACAGTTTTATTCGATATATGTATGTTTTTTGACATGTACATCACGAAATACTGTTACTCATTTCCGTCTCTCTGTCCACTAATCATTGGCCCGTCTATAACTTGGGAAGTACACTGCTAGGATTTGGATGACATTTTTATACACTATTTTATACTTTACCACTGTGCCAGGACGAAAAAGCTTTGTAGTTTTTGAAAATCGGTCCAGTGGCGGCGTATTTTTTTTTGACGTTCCTATACTAATACACTTCCAACCCCGGTAATTATACGCACCTATTAGACATATTTCACACATAGATTTTCCCGTAAATTTGTCCTTAAAATAGAAAAACATCAACCGACGGATCGCCTACCTATCGGTTGTACTTGCCGTGCTCCGTGGGGTTATAAATGTTGCACATTTGGTAGCGCATCCGAAGGACTTATAAAAGCAGGTAGCAGATGGCGCAGTGACGTGATATGCACATCCAGGTGGACGCAATAAAAAATCTATATACAGGGTGGCCCATAAGTCCTTTGAGCTGGAAAAAAAGGAATAAAACCAAACTAGTTACATTATGAAGAATTATTATATTTTGTTATCATCGTTATTGAATGGGAATTATGTTTTAAAAATCACATCGTCTAAATGCAATCCATTACGATCACGGCACTCATATAAACGACGTCTAAAATTGTCTATGACTGCGCGGCAAGTCAACACTGTAATGCTTGCCATTTCTCTTCGGATATTTTCTTTCAGGACATCAACTGATCGCGGAGTGGTGTCGTACACTTTACTCTTGAGGTAGCCCCATAAAAAGAAGTCCATTGGGGTCAAATCTGGACTACGTGGTGGCCAGGAAATGTCTCCTCTTCGAGAAATTACTTTGCTGGGAAAAAGTTGACAGGCGACGGGCATAGAAGTGTTGGAGGTGTGGGCAGTTGCTCCGTCCTGTTGAAACCAGGTCTGCGTATTACAGCCTGGAAAATTCTGCAACGCTGGTGTCAAAAACTCTTCTATCATTGCTACATACCGCTCCGAAGTAACAGTTAATGCGCGACCTCTGTCGTCCTCAAAAAAATAAGGGCCTACGATGCCATGCGCTGACATAGCAGCCCAAACTGTAACTTTAGGGCTGTGTAAGGGCTTCTGATGCTTACGCCTTGGATTTTCGGGGCTCCAAAAACGGCAATTTTGTTTATTTACATGCCCGTTTAAATGGAAGTGAGCCTCGTCCGAGAACAACACATTATTGAGCGAAGAAAATCGATTCAACATTTCATTCGCAATGTTTAGTCTCTGAATAGCGTCATTATCTTTTAATTCCTGCACTAACTGAATTTTGTAAGCGTGCAGACGTAAATCTTTCCTTAAAATCAGCTGTAAAGATGTTCTGGGTACGTTTAGTGCACTGGAACGCTTACGAGTAGACTGGGTAGGACTTTGACGAACAGACTGCGCCACAATGTTGATGTTTTCTTCAATACGAGTTGTCCTTGGTCGACCCCACCGCTGTTTATCTAACGTCGAACCAGTCTCTTCGAACTTATCAACCCAGTTCTTAATCGTTTGAGCTGTTGGACACTTTGTAAAATTGTGTAAATTGTGCTATTCTCGATATTTACGCCGCGCAATGGTTGACGAATCATTATTTTGATAAAACGCGCGCACACAAAAAGCACGATCCGCTCCAGTGAAACACTCCATGGCGACTGAATTCCCAGACACTGAAGATACTGCCCCCACCTCGCCCGCGCCGCTCACGCTCACTCGTTAAATTTTATTCAAATTTGAAATTTCAAAGGACTTATGGACCACCCTGTATATATACAGGGTGACTTCGAAGTTGAGTCATTTATTTTAACAGTGAGTAGATCTGATCAAAAGAAATGTTTTTTTCCTTTACCATTTTTCTGGTAAAATTAAAGTAACAAAGTTATAGCCCTTTGGAAGTTTGAGTACCGCCCTTTCTCAATAATAATATCATGTACTCGTGTTTGGCAACAACGGATATAATCCGCCTTACCGGTTCATTGCATCGGAAACAAAAAAGCGAAAGAATTTGGAACGACGTTTTTGCAATTAAGTATTTTATTCAGTTCAGTTATACATACAGTCGGTTAGCGTGTGAATAGTGTCTGTTGCGTGGCTCAAACGAAATAAAAAATGGCACATGTTTATGCGGATCGGTTTCCCAATCGAGTGCAACCAACCCCTCGTGCCTTTGTTAATGTAGTACAACGGGCTCGTGAATCAGGTGACTTGAAGACCTCACAGGGGACCTCACGATCAAATACAGGTCCGCACTGAAATACTTGTCGGGAGGATACTTTATAAAACAAGGTAAAAATTTTTTTTTATTTTTACACACATATTCTGGTTTATCTTCCTTCTACAATCATTATCTGAAAATTAATGACTCAACTTCAAAGTCACCCTGTATATACAGGGTGTTTCAGTTTATTGTTGCATAACTTTATGATTCGATAGAACTTTTAAAATTAATGCATAAAGTCTATATAAACATGGGTCGAAAAATGCGTGGCTTCCGAAATACGTGGTGTTTAAATTTACTTTCTAAAATAGTTTTTTTTAAATATTTCGAACAATATTTGATGTATAACAGTGAAAATTGGTATACAAGGGTTTTTTGGTAAGACAAAACGAACCATGGGCATAGTTTTACTGTAGCCGCTAGACGGCGCTCTCTACTCTACCTGTAGTGTATTAAAATGACCGAAAAATTTTTCTTAGTGCAATTTTTTGCTTTTTGAATAAAAAACTGATTTCTCGCACTTTTCAACATAAAAAAGCTCTCTTGTAAATTTTTGTTATAGTGAGCCGTTTTTGAGATATTTCGATTTTTAAGGTTCGATGCATTTTTATGATAAAATAACGTTAAAAAGTCAGTATCTCGATAATTTTCAGAAGTAGGCTGTGCCTGCAAATATTTTTGAAATTGAAAGCAGAATAAGGTTAAACGTCAATTAGTTGACAGTTAGTTTTGTTGTCTGTTGAAACCTGAAACGTTTTTTTGCAATTGTGAATGCACGAAATTTAGTTTCTTTTACCTGTTTTTTTTTGTAAGTTTTATAAAAATGCCATTTTTATTCTCCAATCAAGAGTTAGCGGATATTCATTTTGTGTATGGCTTTGTAAATGGAAACGCAGCAGCAGCAGCCAGAGAATACGCACGAAGATTTCCAAACAGTAGACATCCAACTCGCTCAGTATTTGTAAGAGTGCATCGCCAAAAAATTGAAAATGGTTTTGGAAATCTCCAAAGGGATCAAAACATAAATGTTCGTCAGCGCAGATTTACCCGTATGATTCTGCGTGAGTTTGATAGAGATCCGACCACAAGTGTTAGGAGAGTTTCTGGTGCCTTGGGAATTTCAGCAAGCCATGTTCACCGTGTTCTTAGAAATGACCATATACGTCCTTACCATTTGCAACCTGTGCAAGGACTACAGCCAGAGGACGGAGAACGAAGAATCACATTTTGTCAGTGGATTCTTGATAGAACTGATACTAATAGGGAGTTTTTAAGTAACGTTTTATGGACCGATGAGTCATGCTTCACTAGACGTGGAGTGGTAAATTTTCATAATCAACATATTTGGTCGCATGAAAATCCGTATGCAGTTCGGGAAAGAAATTTTCAGCATGAATTTAGTGTGAACGTGTGGATTGGTATCTACCGTAATCGAGTATTTGGACCCTACCTTTTGCCTGCAAGGTTAAATGCGACCTTCTTGGAATTTTTAAAGGCTGAACATGCAAATATGTGGGATGTTATGTTAGATTTAAGAAGATTGGCCTGGTTCCAGCTTGATGGTTGTCCAGCTCATTATTCGAGAATAGTTAGAAACTGGCTGGACGAAAATTATCCAGAAAGATGGATCGGCCGTGGAGGACCAGTCGCCTGGCCTCCACGATCCCCTGACCATATGCATTAGATTTCTTTGTGTGGGGTTTCTAAAAGAAAAAATATACCAGACTCCCGTAACCACAAGAGATATGCTAATAGACAGAATCAGGCATGCATGTGATGAAATAAGGCCTTATTTGAATAATGCCATACCACGTTCGATCATTCGTAGATGTGAATTGTGTATTGAACAATTGGGTTTACATTTCGAGCAACTACTTTAGATTTTGAATGTTTGTCCTAACTAGCCAATAGCATTTTAGTTGTAAATAATTAATTTAATTTGTTAAAAATAATATTGGAAAATTAAACAAATTAGTATTCTGTTTTTTTGTGTGTATTTGGAGTTAGGAATTATTGCTGTGTTTAAAAACACAATCTAAACGATCATCTTAATTACTTGTAATGCCCAAATCGAAAATGTAAAAAAAAATATTATTTTCCCATAAATAATTAAAAATGCATCGAACCTTAAAAATCGAAATATCTCAAAAACGGCTAACTATAACGAAAACTAACAGGAGAGCTTTTTTATGCAGAAAAGTGCGAAGTATCAGTTTTTTTATTCAAAAAGCAAAAAATTGCACTAAGAAAAATTTTTCGGTCATTTTAATACACTACAGATACAGTAGAGAGCGCCCTCTAGCGGCTACAGTAAAACTATGCCCATGGTTCGTTTTGTCGTGCCAAAAAACCCTTGTATACCAATTTTCACTGTTACACATCAAACATTGTTCGAAATATTTAAACAAAACTATTTTGGAAAGTAAATTTAAACACCCTGTATTTCGGAAGCCACGCATTTTTCGACCCATGTTTATATAGACTTTATGCATTAATTTTAAAAGTTCTATCGAATCTTAAAGTTATGCAACAATAAACTGAAACACCCTGTACACAGGGTGTCCCGAAAAAAGTATGCAATATTCTACCAGCGGTTTCTAGAACTTAAAATAGGAAGAAAAGTTTCTATAAACATAGGTCGTCAAACGTCCCCTAAGGGCGCTACGGTCTTTTAAAGGGGCTCCCCTGAAGATGGTTTTTCCTTAATATTTCCGAAACGTGTTGAGATAGACATAAAATTTGATATTCTAGCCTAGTTTTTATGCTGGATTTAAAAATATTAACAAATTTTAGACAGTTTTGTTTGGAAGCGTATGTAACAGGAACGGACTCAGGTTATTTTAGCCCCAAAATTTTTGTGTGATTCTATTTTTGAAATTTAATTTTAGAATTTGAAAATTTAGGGTTTTCTACATAAAAAAGGTACTCTTATTGAATATCGATAAATTGTGCCATTTTTGAATAAAATCAAACTAAAAAATGTGTCAAATGATAGGAAATGTACTGCGAATTTAAACGAATTGTTGAATAATTAGCCATGGCAACGAAAAAACTAATTTAGTAATTGGTAAATAATAAATAAGTACATATTTCTATTGCAACATAGCTAACATTTAGGCAAAAACAAAAGAAATAATTTTTTTCTACGAACGAAATTGAAATTTGTTTAAAAAAGAAGACAATACAGTTGGATATACTTAAAACTAGCTTTACAATAAGTGTTCTAATAAATTCCCATTTTGTTGGATACAGTCTCGCTCGACGAGCTAATGATTGCGTAGCTCGAAAAGTGGAAAACCTTTTTCTTCTTATTTCATTTGTAGCCTGATGGATTCTTTGAAGTAAATCTTCGTGAGTATTTACTTCAGTCGAGTAAACTAGGTCTTTTAATGATCCCCAAAAATAGAAATCCAATGGATTCAGGTCAGGTGAACGTGGCGGCCACGCTATAGGACCTCCTCGGCCTAACCACCTGTCTGGAAAATTGACATTCACCCAATTTCAAACATTGCGTCCAAAATATGCATCATGTTGAAAAAACATATTTTCTTGAAACTGCTGGCGCACATCCAATGGTATTATATCCATGAGCTCATTCTGAAGAAGGTTCAGATACACCTCTGAATTAAGACGATTCCTAGAAACTGCTGGTAGAATATTGCACACTTTTTTCGGGACACCCCTGTATATATATATACATATAGCTGAACCCGACGACAGAACTGGGTCGGGGGTCGGGGTCAGTGTGTCAGGTCAGTATGCAACCTTCAACCGACGGTAAAGAGTCACGCGTATAGAGGTAACGAACCCGTATAATCGATTGCGTTTCAAAAAAAAAATAATGGCACACTCATACACCAATAATGAACTCGTTGATATGTTGTTAATTTATGGCGAATGTCTTCAAAATGATACAGAATCGTCGCGAGTGTATGCAGATCGTTTCCCTAGACGACATCATCCAAGGCCCCGCAGATTTGTGTACCTGGTCCAGAGAGTCATTGATATGGGCCATTTGGAGGAATTTCGAGGTGGGTACAGTGGGAGGCCTAGACAACTACGAATGGTGCAAGTTGAGGAAGAACTACTGAATCGCGTAGACGAGAATCCCTCAACAAGCACTAGAGACGTGGCTAGAGACGTGCAAGTATCAAAAACGTGGCAAACGTCCAACGTGTACAAGCCCTTCAACCTGACGATTTTCCAGCAAGAGTGCGGTTTTGTGAGTGGTTGTTGCATCAACATGATAATAATCCGGACTTTTTGAAGTGCATATTGGTGACAGACGAATCTACGTTCACGCGTAATGGGGTGAATAACTTTCGTACGTACGTACTTAGCCCTTCTCATCAACTGGAGAGTGAGTACTTTTTCCTTTATTTTTTTTTACTTGGTCGCCCTCGTTTCACGTCACATTACCTTTGTTATTTCAAGGGTAGTTGTTTCTGAAAAGGAAAACCCCAACTTTGCGGACACCCTGTATATATACAAATTATGGTAATAATTATGTAATATTATATAGTATGTAGTCAAAATCACGAAAGATTACTATTACGTCATACCATAAATTGTACTGACGTAATCAATGGACGTACGTCGTTGCTAAAATCACGATGTCATGAATTTATGTTATGATTTTGCGAAGTTAGGTTATTTCACTGATTATTTTTATTTTCATTTTATTTCATGGTTTTAAGTGATACCTTAATAATAATTTTAGTGGGGAGTTTTTGTTTTGAAAAAAACAACTATGAGTAGAATACACCTTAAGACATTAACACCAAAGACCAAAGGATTATTCGAAATTAACCTAACCTGCTTTAACATAACCTAACCATTCATCTTTCAAATATGATCGATCATGCAACATGAAAGCATCGTCTATCTTTGTCGGATACGTGCAAATTAGCAATACAGTTTGTTTAGGCAATAAAATTCTGTTTATCTTTGTCTAACATATTTGAAACTTCATTAAAAATATTCACAAATCGCTGTCATTTGTCTTTACTACAAACTAAAATGATGACGTAATCGTCATCTTTCGTGATTTCGACTATAGTATTTACTACCGTATTCGGGCACGCTCATTGCTGCCATCTGATAATATTTTATGGAAAATTGTACTAGAAGTTGTTTCGAAGGCGTATGAAGTATAGAGTTAATCTACTTGCCCCCATTTTTTTCAGATGGCCATATACGGAGCAGCTCAGGAAATACCCGATCGATCAATAGTCGGAGACTTCACCAGACTTTTCCTAGATACCATATATTATGTTCCGAAAAAGCATTTACTCAATGGAAAACAATAACGAAATGCTCTAATTATACACTTAAGAGGTTTTATTTGTACAAAGTTCACATGTGTGTATAATAAGTAGCTAAATGTGGAGGTCACGATATATTTGTTTTTGTAAGGTGCATGTGAGTTGCACACCCATTTGGTGTAAACATAAAAATGTAATTTGTTTTAAGAAAAAACTTAATAACTTTTAACGTTATTATATTGAAGCATTTAAAAGAAGCAGCAACTAAAAAATATTTTTATACCGGTTATTAATAGATTGTTCAATTTTGTTTTTTTTACTAGATTCTTACGTAATATGCATGTATATTTCAGAAAACCGCGGCAATATTTCTTGGGTCGAAAGTATACTCAGTGACATTAGAACTGTTACACCCAGAAAAAATAATTTCTTCAACTTGATTTTGTGGCAGCGAGGTAGTCTTACATCGAGAATAAAACGATAACATTCGCAGCAGTCAAATTTCCTTGAACAAAGAGAAGGGGTGATCAGCTACCAAAGGCAATAGCCCCGCAAACCACTACTCCAGTCCTGTGTACATGCCTCTCAACACCAAATCCAATATCACGCCATTCTCCACGGCGGCATCTTACCCTTCTACGACCATGGTGCGTACCTAGACAGAATCGTGCTTCGTCGTTGAAGATGACATTATGCCCTTCTGTCTCCCAATATTGCCGTTATCTGCTCCAGTTCAAACGCTGACGACAGTGGTCCGTAGTCAGAGGAAGCATTAACCGTGGACGGTAAGAAAATGGTGCGATTTAGAGTATGCATAGTAACAGGTCTACCTTCTCCAAACCATTGGTCAGCAATCTGACGCATAGTAGCAAAACGCTCGGTGGACCAGTTGGCCTTCTTCGTGTTCATCTACCTTCTTCAATCCACACACGTCACACACGCATTACTGTCATTGCAGCACTATTAACACGGCGGCCAATTTCACGATAGGACCAACCAACACCTCGATAGGCAATAATTCTACCCCTGTCAAAGTCCCTAACATGGTGATAATTTGGACGTCTTCGAACTCGAAGCATGTTTAGCACTAGTAAATGAAAGGGCAATAACTAAACATATATGTACTACTCAGCTCTCAGAAATTGATAAAACAAAGATAAAACGTTGACATAGTCGCCGCAGCATGCTTTAAATATAGTCATTATGTTGCCAAAAAACAGGTTAAGGAAACATTTTTTTTTTGGGTGTAACACTTCAGTCACTGAGTATACATCCGAAAATCTCTACGCCACTGATGAGGCTACATAAGGACAAAAAATGATTATTGTTCAAATAAGGCTATAGCAACTTAGGATTTGTCTCCTGATACACTAGGCTGAATTCAATGTCAAACGTCATTTTTTATGCAGATATTACCTCAAATATTGAACTTTTTTCTCAAGAAATGCGATTCATATGAAATCATTCAAAAATGCTATAGATTGTCCAAAAAAGTCAGTGGCATAGAAAATAATCCTTTCCAACATAGGGGTGAAAATTTCCCGAATTCTACGCCACTGAGGTAGTCTTAGGCACGGAAATTCTTGTATGTATTGGTTATGATGACAGTACTACGTGTAAGCCAATATCTTAATCCACTGCTAAGATATATTTTTCCGATTTTAAAATTAGCTCAACACTATCGGTAAACGGCCATTTCAGGACCCATATTCATCTAAACTTTTTGCTTTTAAATATTATCGCGTTTTTCTGAAACACCCTATATTTTTACAAAATCAAAGGCTGTTTGTATGACTAAAATGTATATTTAAAAAAATTAAATAAATCAACAAAATAAAAGAAATACAACAATACGAACGCATTTTATTTCCTAATATATTGAGTGATCTTATGCAGCTGCTCCACGAGAGCAGGCATGACAGCTGTCACGGATGTTTCGATAAGATTCTGTATGTATTGCACCGCTTCTTCCTCACTCAAGTCCAACCGCAACTTGTCTTGCACCTTACGAACAGCCTTGTCAGGCTCCAATGCAATATCGGGGACGCTAGCGTCGACCATCAGGGAGAACAGGTTCAGAATAAGGTTGGCGTGCCTGTAAAAAAACGTTTGATTTTGGAATGCTTAGACACTTTTTAGTTTGAAAACTGACATGATACTAGCGCTGTTTACGGCTCGGTCACCGAAAAGGGCTCTAGCGCTGGGTTCTCTGGGCCTAGAACTAGGCTATATCTTCCTTTTGGTGGACACACCACTATTTTTCAGGCCGAAATCTTTGCGATTCTGGCTTATGTATCTCGCATTCTGGAGGAGGGTGGGCCTAGGAGAAGAGTATCAATCTTATCCGACAGCCAGGCTGCAATGAAGGCATTAAGTGCCCGCAATATTACTTCGAGCGTTGTATTGCAATGCAGGGAGACTCTGGATTGTCTCGCAACGAGGCATCCGGTATCGGGGTACGCTGGGATAAGGGGCAATGAGACGGCGGACGCTCTGGCGAAGACAGGATCAGCCAGCAAGCTCGTTGGATCTGAACCAGCTTTAGGAGTGCCCGCGCAAAGAGTTAGGAAGAAAATGGAGGCATGAATTGCAAGACAACACTCAGAAATGGAGAAGTATCTCCAGGCATCTCCGTCAGGGACGGGAACTCATTGTAGCGCCCAGCGCTAAGGATGGACGTTTCTGCTTATCTCTGGATAGAGCTAACGTAGCTGGTGGGACTGTTGTTTGATCATAACACGTTAAGGCGCCACCTTCAAGCGATGGGGGTGGCTGAGGATCCCTTGTGTGAGCGCTGCGGGGACGTCAAGGAGCTTGGACTCAAGGCCAAACTCAACGTCGCTAGAAAGGCGAGGCTTGAGGTCTAAGGAATGGAGAGGTGCATAAAGGCCCGTTTACACGACCTATGCGCTGGCTCCTTATGGTGGACCGAATGCTTCTAATTTCACGATTCATTCATTCAGCGCTGCGTAAAGATTCTTCTTTTTTGGATCCAACGGTTTTGACAAGTGGTTCTGCCGGCCGACAGAAATTGGCAAATGTTGCATAATAACGCTGCTAGACAAAATCTAAAGGACCTCGCACAAATTTAATGGCAGAAAACGTGTCGAATTTTCTGGAACCTATGGATTGAGTAGTAGTCCCAACAGGTACTTCAGGATTTAAAAAACAACAAATTTGAAAAAATAGTATGCTTGTTCAATTACCAGATTATAGGAGTATTAATTATGTTTTCTAAATATTATTATCCCAAAGGCCACCTCATCTGTTTCTACAGGTGCACCTATCTTTTTCGATTAAAATGTTCAGTATTTGAGACAATTGCGGCTCAATTTCACCAATAACTTGAGGAATGACTCCCTTTGAAAAGTCATTACCCTGGATGAACACCAACAAAAAATGTCAAAAGGGGTTAGATTGCATAATTCGGCAAGGTGGCGGACATCGCCATTGCAAGAAATCACGCCGTCATTAGAAAAACGTGTATGTGGCAATTCTCAAGTTTCCCTCTCCGTATGATACATATTGTCGAATAAAATCCTCACTCGACGTCAACATTAACCGTTTAACAATCGTAATTTTCACTAAATGAACGAGTATTACGTTTGCACAATGTCACGATGTCCAATTTTGCTCCCGCTAGGAAGCTTTAGTGTGGTTGGAGGTCAAACTGTCTAAAGTAGATGTGAAAAAGCCAGATTTGATAGAATAGTATGTTTTCACGAATTCATACGTTTTGACGTCTATTGATGTGAAAAGCTGATCAGCAATTATATTTATCTGTTTATAAGTTTAGACTAGGCTTCCAACCTAACTAGCGGCGTCTACTTCTGGCTATCTGGATTACCCTTCTTTCTGATGCATTCCTCCAACGTAAAACGTTTCACAATTTAATTACCGTGCCTCTAAATAACACCACTGCGGTGATTAACGTATTTTACCAGAAGATAGCCAACTCAATTCTACACTTTGTCCAATTGTCCAATGCGAAATTGAGATATCGCAGCGACATCTATGAGGATTTGCCACAGCTACGAGTATGTTTCTCCTCTTTGCACTAATTAGAAATCTACTTTGAAAAGGTTGGTGGCTCATGTTGACTGTATCCAACCAAATAGCATATATTTGGTTACAGCGTCATCTATGGAGACACTAACATTTTCAAAGTAGATTTCTAATTAGTACAGAGAATAAAAACATAGCTCAAATTCTCCTGGCTGACTCTATGGTATCTCATTTTGCCTCGGATATTTTTTTGGATGTGACAATATAGTATCAGCTTGGCTATCTTCAGGTAGAATATGTTAATCAATGATAACACAGATGCAATATACAATATCAGTCATGTCAATCCATAAATTCCAGCAAATTCAATAAACATATTTTGCTGTAGATCAAACGTTCAGCAAGCCGTTTACCTTCTCAAATGCGAAAATGCGGTGTAGCACAATTTTCTAAACTCCTGGTAATGCTCTGACGTAACTCCTCCCATAGCTTCGACCATTTCTTTGCTCAACTTCATGGGAGGTGGTAACGGTTTTGGATCGCGTCCGAGGATGTAACCGAAGTCTATGTGGAATAATTTGCCGTCCTCTGTCAGCAACAAGTTGTCCAGATGTCTGTCACCCACACCTAGAATGTTGTTAAAATCCGAAAGAGTCCTTTTGGTTCAAATACAACTTTGACAAACCGTTAAGATTTATAAAGGCAATCGTTTCAAAGTGCTCAACTTATATCGAAGGAATGTTGACCCAAATTTGTTTCATTTGATTAGACTTGTAAACATAGAAATAGGCATAGCAAAAGCTCACAGATGATTGATAAAACCAGGTACACTTACCAAGTAGATAAGTTATAACACAATATCCGGCACATGAATGCACATATGTATCCATAATATCAGGTGCTATTCCATAAGGACCATTTTCTTGTGGATGTCGTTTTCGGAAGTAGTTCAAAATACTACCTAAAAATATATCATGTCACTTTTCATATCTTCCGTCACCTTAAACCAAACTAATTTTTCGAAACAGGGAGTTCTGTATACCTTCAGTTGCCAAAACATCAGCTACAGTAACACTCTCAATAAACTGCACAAAACCATGTCTTGTACTGGTGGCCAATACTTTGTATGGTGTCAATTTCAAGTCCAAATTTTCTTTGCTGAGAAGTCTGTCCATTAACTGAATCATCTGCATAATGAGCTGGTCTTGTCTTAAATCATCGCCAAGCTTAAAGATTGCAACGTATTCCTTACCTTCCGCTGTTTTGAAAAACAGCTTGGAAGGCATTAGTGCTGATTTGAAGAGACTTGCTTTTTCTGGGATTATTCCGCATATCATCACCTGCAGAATAATTGGTTAGTTCTAGTGATGCACCGAGTACTATTTTTTTCACAAAGCCGCGTACCGAGTACTCGGTCAGATCGAATGCCGAGTACCGGGTACTCGGTCGCTCCCGTTTATTTTTCCGAAAAATTAAAGCACCGCAAATGAACAGCTTAGACAATTTTTTGGGAAAAGGAGCGTGGCAACGCGTCGTAGGTTAGTGCATTAACGGTATGTAAATAATTTTTTCAATACTTGAGAGTCTTACAAAATCTAGGTATACTTTTTTTGATGTGGCTACAATATCAAGTTGGTATTGAAACCACATCTTGGCATTACATGTTTGGAACATATGTTTTTGATTTACTTCTCAATCCTTCCAATTACAAATGAAGCACATTTGTAAAACGCTCAAAAGGTATACATACTCGACATCTTAAACCTACATTTTACCGAAGGTAGACAGTGCGAGGCCCCAAGTTATTCGAATTTCTAGAAATCACCTAATAAAATCGACGCCATATTAAGGCCATCAGGAACGTAGAATTTAAATCCTCTGGTGGTCTGAGCTGCCTTTGGGAGGTTATACAAAAAAGAAATTAAAACTGCTGGATCTCAAGCGGGAGTAATTCAAATTACTAAACCTAAATGATGCTTACGTATTTGTGAACGTTTTCTTTGCAACGAGTAGGAATAGTCGTTATTCGTGTTAATTTTCAACTTTTGCTGCAATTTGCTGAATTTCATTTGTGAATGTGATTTTTTTTGGTGTTCAAATGATAGAAGAGCAAAAAAATAAAAAAAGTCAATACCACAGATTGAACTGCTATAGTACCTGCTCCATGGACTTACCGTAGTTTTTAAGCAAAAAACTTAAAGTAAAGTTTGTGCATAAAAAGTATGCCACGAAAATATCGTGAATACACTGGATTACTGGAGAAGACGGTCGACATTTATTAAAAGAATAATCCAAATCGCTTCCCTGATTCCGGCAAAATTTGCTGTAACCTACGAGTATTTTGTTACAATGCGTTAATGCCTTGGAGAACATATCAAGGTTTGGGCAAGGCATACGAGCTCAGATTTTGCACATCACATCTACAATTCTTTGATCTGCACAAGTTGTGTGTTTTGCGTTTAAACTGGTAATTACCCAGCCGAGCAATTTAATATTATGCCAAACCGGGAACTCGGTAAAATGGGTCGAGTACGCGGAGAACCGGGTACAAATCGGGTACTGGGTGCGTCCCTAATTAATTCTGATACGTATCGTGAGATGCCAACCCTGTACGCTTACATTTGTGTACGTGTCAACTACTATATTTAGGTGTCAGAGTTGACATTTATCGGGCTGTTGCCGCAGGCTAAGGGAATAATTGTCGTTTGTTACGAAATTATCAGAATTTGAAATTTTATGAATGAAGTTTAAAAAGAAAATGGCGTCTGATTTTATTACTTATGTAAAATGTATGTAAACATCTAAATACAGAATAGGCTTGGGCATATTGATGGATTAATGATAGATACAGGGTGGCCAATATATAATTGACTGATTTAAATTGCGCGCCATTTTTTATTCACGTATTTCAGTAGATGGCGCCATAGTAATTGTTTAAAGCACATGTGTCCAATTCATTATGGAGCGCTACACGATCCCACAACGCGTCAGTATTGTTAAGAAGTTTTACATAAATAATGAGTCGATTGTTGCAACGATTCGGAAGCTGCGACACGGTTTCCGTCTAAATAATGTGCCCAGCGTCAACACCATCATTCGCCAATTGGTGAGGAAATTTGAACAAACAGGTGAAGTTAAAGACTTGCCAAGGTCGAGCCGTGTTCGAACGGTTCGTACTCCGGAAAATATCGAGAGAGTTCCTGAAAGTGTAGTGGGACGTGAGACGTCTCCCAGACATCGTTCACAAGATCTGGGTATTCGTCGCACGTCATTATGCACTATTTTAAAAAAAGACTTGCATTTGCGCCCATACAAAATTCAGTTAACCCAAGAACTGCAGCCTAGTGACCATGAAAGTCGCCGACAATACAGTCTTGCAATATTGCAGCTTAATAATGATTTTTACCGATAACTGATAATGAGCGATGAAGCCCATTTCGATATGAACGGATTTGTTAATAAGCAGAATTATCTTATCTGGGCATTAGAGAACCTTCAGCGACCACTAAATCCTCGCCGAGTCACAGTTTGGGCGGTGTTTGATATGTAAGTGTCATTGGACATCATTCTTTGAAGGCGCTGCAGGTAATTCTCTTACTGTCACTGGCGAGCGCTACCGTGATATGGTGCAAACTTTCTGGCTCCTCAAATCCAACAATTTAACCTGTAAAACATGTGATTCCAGCAGGATGGAGCCTCTTGTCAGACAGCTAGGGAAACAATTTTGCGACAATATTTCCGGGATGTTTAATTTCTCCATTTGGCGATGTCAACTGGCCACCAAGGTCACCGGATTTAACGGCTCCTGACTTTTTTATAGGGACTTTTGAAATATAGGGTTTATGCCAACAAACAAAATACTGTAGAGCAGCTGAAGAACAATCTTACGGAAGCGATTGAAAATATTCCTCCCGAAACTTACCAAAAAGTGAAGGAAACTGTAATCAAGAGGGCTCAGGTTTGCGCGGCTCCTATAAACGGACATTTGTTTGATATTGTTTTTCATACATAATTTTCAAGTTTCAATAAAAAAATTATGATAAAAAAATGGACGTATTTTATTTCATTTCACAAATATTCAAGATACAAACCAGTCAGTTGCATATCTGCCACCCTGAATATATAAAATACAAAAATATTAATCAACTTTTAAGAGAAGGAAAGAAAAATCTCGTGTCAGTGCTGCACAGATATTCTGTAATAACGCTTCTGCCTTAGGAGTATGCCTAATCCTGAAACTGATTTCGCATTCAATGCGTTTTGTGCGGTCAATGATTGAACCATGTGATAAAAGTGCTAAATACACAAATAGATTTTGCTAGACTTAACGTTGAATTTCGATTTAATTACCTCAGGATCCAGAGGAAATGGCATAGCATCAAACTTGGAAAAATTAAACTTGAACATATCAGCATCTGCTAATAGTTGCTGTAATTTTTCTGCCTTCTTTTTGCGACTACCACTTTCTCTAGCGACTGTCCTCATTAGTTTTACCAGTTTATCGATGAACTTCTGCTGACGAGTCAGAATCTGCCTCTTTTTCTGCATATTCTCTGAACCTAAAAAGCAAGCAAGCTGAACTATGGACTACTTAAAAACACACTTAAGTATACGAAAGATAATACACTAAACATGCTTACCTCTCGCTAACGTCTGTGAAAACGTTTTCATAACTGTTAAATACATATCACGCACTTCAACGTTTTGTTTCATATTTGGTTCTTGATCTTCGCATTCTATCAGCAAATACCAATAGAAGTAGTTGGCAAGAGTGGAATTTTTGCAGGCACGATGTATCAAGAACGATGCTAAATCCTGAAAGTAAAAAATAATTATCATCCAAAAGAGCAAAATATATGAGTGCTTTTTCTATATTTCTTGTATAGAAAAAATAACATCAAAAATCGGTAAACCAAACTGAACGAATTGTAATCGATGCGCTTTACTAACAAAGATTGACTAGTAACACCAGAAGCAACATTTTTGGTCGTAAGGAAGATCTTCAAAGCTGTAGCTCCATAACAAAATAATGATCTTATGATCTATAATCAGATCAGGTTGTTAATAATGGGGGTATCCAAGGATTCCAACATCGAAATGATTCAAAGGTTAAAAAATAACGTTCTGAGAAGCTTGGTCAATGTCTTCGTATGTTTGTATTAGGGCTATTCATCACGATTTGAATACCTGCCTGATTACCACCGAGATCAAGAACGTGGCGATAGACGGGAAAAAAGGCTGAATCAACCCCAGACTGCCGAAGCTGTTTAACTGTTGGACAATCACAACATGAATGAAGAGTACCAAACCATACGGCGTGTACTGTTTTGCGTCCAAAACAGAGCATGTGCGCGAATTCTTGATGAAAGTAGTTATTACACGTTAAGGTTATATGATTATAAAACAACCTACTTTACTTCCATTACCTCTTAGACAAACAATTTACCGCGATACGACCAGCAAACTATAAAAAATAAATTTCTAAATGTGTATATTACACAAAACACACATAAATATATTGGAATTGTTCTTCGCTGGGGGTGAACATATTCAATTTAGAAATTTACTACATAAACTTCAGTGAGACTCAATTAAAAATCTTATACCAAACATTAGTTAATTGTCACATATAACCTTTGAAATTGTTGTTGGGGGTGTACGAGGGATGTCTTTTAAGTTTTGCATATAGAAACATAGTAGGCCGCGCGGATCGAACGTCAGTACTGAATCTTAACCTCACTCTTTAGTAAACTTAAATTCAAAGTTTCACAACAATACGTGCAGTGTTCTCACTACAGTGAATTTTTAAGTATCACCAAGTCATTAGAAAAATGGAACTCAACCGAGAACATTTTTGCGCCATAATTTATTACAACTTTCAGAGACAATTATCGCAATAAGAATGTCTTGCTGAGTTACTGTCTGTTTTCGGCAACGAAGCGCCACATCAGTCGACAATATCCCGTTGGTATGGAGAATTCAAACGTTGATGGGTGAGTTTTAGTGACGATTCCAGGGTGGGTGCTCCAAAAACGGCAGTCACCCAGGAAAACGTCGAAGCTGTGCGCAAACTCATCATTGAAGATAGACATGTGACATATCGCGAGATTGAGGCATCGTTGAAGATCCCAAAGACCTCAACTCAAAAAATTTCACATGAATTAGGAGTAAGAAAATTAGTTTCTCGTTGGATACCCCACCTGTTAACTGAAGAACAGAAAGCAGCCAGGGTTAATTGGTGTCAAAAAACGCTTGTCCGTTTCAATTCCGGAAACTCAAAAAATGTGACAGTCGGCTGTTTGGGTGTTCCAAAGTGAAGAAAAGCCAACAAAAGTCAAAAGTCATCCACTTAGAAGACATCCCTCGTACTCCCACAACAAACCTCTATCATATCTCTCCAAATCACTGTTTGTAGAATCAACAAGTTTTAATACAAAAAAATGCTTTGGTATAACGAAGTTCACGCGTTAATAAAAATTATGACCATCACAGCAGAAACAGATAGTCATTGCAACGCGAAAACAAAAGAAACAATATTGAGATGATTCATATATTAAGGCCCCAAAGCATATCATAATATACACTCAACTATAAAGAATACAAGAAAATCACTATAAAAAAGATCTTCATGAATGGTTACTGAATACTGAAATAAACTTAGTATGATCCCTTTGTTATTTTTACGTTTATGCTTTTATGCTTCAATTACTTGAATCTTAATTCCTGTAACTGAGTCTTATTGGAATAGGCTACCACTACTACCAAGATTGATGGTTAATGAAGGTGATCAGTTTTAATGGTCGGGCATCACCGTCATAATAATAATAAATATTTGTTTGCCTGTCATCTAATATATTGTCAAAACATAAAATGTCGGATACACATAACATTTTACCTGTACATCATCCTCTTCCTCATTCATGTGGCTCCGCAAAGTATCAGTGTTGCCACTATCAGTGCAGAGGTTGATGAGAGGAGGTAATGATGGAGGCGCAGCATCTCCTGCAGGGTTAGCAGGGTATACCTCAGGGTTGGTTTCGATTACACTAAAAGTGGAAAATACAAAGTGAGACATGATACGACTAAGGCTTGAATTACCACCATAATTACGTCAAATTACCAAATTGTTCATTATACGAGTATTATGTGCTCTAAAATGTGAAGAAATTCCCTCAACTGGAACAAGGAGTACCTACCTGTTCACGTTAGAAGCAGCAATCTGATCAGCCTGGTTATAACTGGAAGATCTGTGTAACACAGACTCATTAGTTATAGTGCTATTACTCTCCTTGCTATCCTTCTTTTCAAGTTGAGCTTCTTTTTCCTCTGCTAGAAAATTCAAATCTCGACCTGGTGATATTCTGGCATAACCTGAGATAAAAAACACCAAATACTAATATAATTTGAAATGCCGTGATTTAATCATAAAAAGATATCTTCAGGGAATAGACCAATATCTTTAAAGATTTGAGGCATACAATATATAAAAAATATATGAAACTACAGCTTATTAAATGACATACCTTCTTGAATTGTTTTAAAGTTCTCATATTTTAACGCTTGCACCAGTTGTAAGAGATAAAGCATAATTTCTTCATCAGGAGCTTGTTGAAGTCTCGTCACTGCGTACCTTCTTACAGCTGGATATGTAAAATTTGGACTGAGTAGTTCTAGGGCATCCTCAACATCCATAGGTGCCCAGATGTCCATCATATGGAGTGCTTGTCTAACCTAGATACAACATTTATATCACATCAAGCAAATGTGCGAACATAGCGGAGTAGTTCACCTCGCCGCGCATCATGGCGATGCTTATCACCATCATTACTCAAATCGCCACCCAACTAAATTGAAATTTGTCAGCTTCTCAAAGAATGAGGATGGTCATCGAAATAAGACATCACAAAGTGCCAACTTTTACCAGAATCGATCACTACGAAAGTGAAAACAGTAAGCTGTCTGTTGGAATTGTATATCAGTTCGCAATCTCAGCTGGGTAGATACGGTCTGCTGGCCATTGAACAAATTAGTAATATAGTTTTCGTTCGTACGGCCATAAATGGCCAACCACCGACAGCTGTTTCGTGCTATTTGGCAACTCTTCAACATGAAGTAAGCTTGGTCTTGGTGGACGATTCTGGTAAAAGATGGCACTTTGGGCTGTCTTATTTCGATAGACCTTATATTCTGAATAGGATAGAGCTGCTCAGCTTTCGTCGTTGTCCACCGAGACCAATATCATGCTGGAGAGCTGCCACATAACACGAAACAGCTGTCCATGGTTAGCCATCTGTAGTCTCCAGCTTGTGTCCAATAATTGATTAACTATACACGGTGTTTTAGAACGTGCATGAGCCTATTAGACTGTCTTGAGCCGTTTAATTACTGTTTTACATGTTCGTATATAACTTTTTTGTAAGAGGGGCCAGTTTTTGCTGAACATAATCCTTGATGAACTGATGACAGCGTTGCGTGAGATGTGCAGAATCAACCTACTTGACGCCATTTTTTTTTTTGGGAAACATTGCTTTGAATATTTGAGGTAAATCGGTATAAAGAAATTCAACCCAATCTCCTTTTAAAATACGATAAAGTTAATGAAGTTTGATGTTGAAAATTATATGTAGTGTAATTAAGTCTCGCCATAGTTATTTGAACATTGGCCTTGTTTTGTCTTCAGCCTCATCATTCGATGGACCCTAAAGATACTGCCTCTTCTGAAACACTCTGTATACCTATCGACAACCGTCTTCAGGTGCCACTTAACAGATTTTCTTTCCCGTCATTGAGAAGTTCTGAGAATAAGAAAAATAGAAATAATTTGATGGATGATCTCCCCTAGAAGGTTAATGCCATATTTAAGGCCCGTATCGTCAGTCGTTCCTACAATTGTAGGATGCCTTTATGGCCTCCTTGATTGTCATACTCCTATCTCTCCGTTAAAAATTTCTAGATAGAACCTGTTCTGTGTCAGCGTCAGCGCTCTCCTTTTGTGAAGATATGTTTTCTTTTTAAATTGTAGGAAATTTCAGGCTGATATAACTCAAAAGCATGCACAATTTGATGCAAATAGATATTTGTGACATAACCTCAAAATAGCGCGCTGACACGGAAAAGCCATAAAGGCGTCCTACAATTGTACGAACGACTGACGATACGGGCCTGAATATACAATGTTCTTTAAAAAGATAATGAAGTCTGTTTTTGTCATTTCTAAGAAAATTACTGCAATCCTACTTAGCAACATTCCTGTTACGATGAAAATTGTATGTGAACATCCAGATACAGCATAGGATTCGGCATCGTAGCGAATACGTTAATCAATCTTTGAATAAAACGCAACTAAGACAATGCAGCCATGGTAATGCACTGATATGGTGAATCGCGCGGCTAGCTTAACAGCTCCACTATGAACAAGAATCTTCCATGCCTCGATGAAATCTGCTTTTTATTAGTTTATCTTACCTCATTGTGCTGGTTCCAGTTGACACACTTAAGAAACTTGGCCAGAGCCTTTTTCTGCGTGCTGAGATAGAAGCGGTACTTCCATACATTATCCTGTTCCTCGTTCGACAGATGCTTCGTAGAAGGATAAGCAACGATTTGCTTGAGAGCATCTCTGGTGGTCGCGTTTGGTTTGGCATCTTTGTCGCAATGGCCGCTACGCAAAGAACGCGCGAGTTTGTGATGCTTGCTCTCCACCAGATTCTCCTATTAAGAGAAAAGTTATTAAAATAAAAACAGTTGCAAGCTTCTACTTCAACTAAAAATTGTCTAATCTCCAGATGAAAACCAAAATTGAGAACTGAGAACTACGTTGTTTATATATAATTATATATATGACGAAGTAGCCGCGCAAGCAGAAACCTAAATTCCAGACCACCGCGGCTGTCATGCGGAGCTCAAACAAACTTTGTTAATCCGATTTTTGAACTACCTAAGTGGCAAAAGTCTCCTCAGGTAGATTGTTTCACAATCTCGACAAAGGAGCGATCGTATAGGCCAAATCTGGATATACGAAGTGCCATACGATTTGGATGGGAGGCTAAGGCCCTAGGCGGATCTGTCTGAGCAAAGCCCGTTTGTGTAGCGGTAGAAGACAGCTAGATCACAGACGGTCAGTCAGTGCGAAAGGGTCCCCCAGTCGGACAGCCCACCTCTGAACAGCATCGAGTATGGAGATTGCAGTCGGGGCGGCAGCAACTCAAACATGTGAGCAGTACTCGACGCTAAGTCTTATCTGGGCCTTGTACAGAGTGAAAAGGTTATGCGGATAAAGAGTACTTCTTACCCATAAAGAAATAACTCAACTTTTTCCTAGCAGATGCCGCTACTGTCGAGATGTGTGCGTGCCAGCATGGTTATTACGTAAAAAACCTAAAAAACGTAAAAAAAAACGACAAAATGTCATCTTGCAGACTAGGTAGTTTTTAGTATACAAATAGTTCATTCCACACAGCTACAAAACGAGTTCACAACATATTGTAGAAAAACCTACGAATTGTCAAAACAAATCTACGAAATGTCAAGAAAACCCGACGAAATGTGACTTTTTAAAATACGTAATACCCGTGCGTGTCCTCGGTGATCTGGACTCCGACCAGCTGAAATGATCGGTTCTGTGGTAGAACTGGGCCATCTATCGAAACCGGATGAGCGCCAGGGCGCTTCTTGTTAGCAAAGGTAGAGTTCTGTCTTTTGGAAACATTAAATCGTACCAGATTTTGTTGCGTCCATAAAAGTGGTAACATACAACTCTCGTCAGAGAGGAAGTCACTGCTCCTCTTTTTTTCTCCAGCTCATCGACAGAGATCGGCTTTTCACTCTGATTTTTCCTGCATGTAGTATGCTTTCAACAGCATAGTTGAGGAAATAAGGTCGTTGATATGCAAGAGGAACAATGTCGGAACCAAGACCGATCCCTGCGGAACAACACCTCCCCCTCCCCCCTTCTGCAAAGCTTCTCTGGAAGGCCACAGGAGAGAAATCTGCATAAGAGAGCAGCACGCCACAGCTTATCGCACGCCTAAAAATGTGGACACATTGAAGATGGAGTTACACCAAAATAAAATATATGTTACAAGAATTGCAGTGGTTGAATATAAAAAATTTCATATCATATTTGGTTCTTATTTTTATATTTAAACTAAAAAATAATCTTTTGCCAGAACATTTAGAACGCTACATAGAATTGAATAATCATTACCACAATTATTATACAAGAGGAAATATAGATTTTCATTTACAAAATTGCAATAGTAATATAACTAGCAAATCGATATTTCAGAAAGGATTACATGAATTTAATAAACTAAATAATGATATGAAGTCTGCTTGTAATTTAAAGCTATTTAAAAGAAAATTAAAGGAATATTTCAGGACAATGAAAATTCTTACAGATGCAAATTTTGTTTTATTTTTCTGAATGTCTGTATGTTATGTAATTGTTTAGTTTTTTAGAAGAATGTAACTGTAGCAATTCTGCTAAATAATTAAACAAGCAAACAAAAACTTCTCACAAAGTTGATGTAAAGTGGCAGAACCGAATCTAGAATCTCGAAAGCCTGAGCTCAGGCTTTGTAGGGAGCCCCCGCTGGTGACGGTTGAAGAGTGGGGAGGAGTGGGAGTGGAGCATCATGATTTTGGGAACATACATTTTGTAATCTGAGGCCCCATAAACCCTCCCGGGACAGAAAGCACAGTGCGTGATCTTAGATCCGCCTCTGTGATCTGATCCGAGTAGACTTTTTCTTGAATTTTTCTGAAGCCGATAGTTTTTGCTAATAAGCCTTCATTCTCAGATGCTTCACAGCCAGGCCTTCGGTCAAATTCAGCAGAATATACGCCACAGAGTGGTTGGGTCTCTTCAGCAAAGTCTAGTCATGAGATCTCAAAAAACGTTACTACGAATATTATGATACAATATTTTCTTACCTCTGAAGTGATATTGTACAAAAAACAAGTAATTGCATAGGTAACAGAAACACATTGTTGTCAACTATGAGTAGATACCGATGAAAAAGAAAGTAATATCGTTGCCGCAAACTGCATTAAAGTGATTCAATTTCCACTTATAAGTTGCATGATCAGTTATTGGATTACATGCACTGTACACAGTGCTAATTCAATTATTTTTCATGTGATATAAGTGTACCAGTAATTTATTGAGAATTACCCTTAGGTGCATGATATATAGATACTTAACGCGCCGCACTTTTAGCGTTACGCTACGTCGATATATTTATAGATTTAGGTCTAAATTATGAATCATTTCGAGCTATGAATGGACAAATTTGACATTTAAGGAGACACTGTGATTAGAGAGGTTAACGCGAGGCGACCACGATGTCGAGCCCCAACGTCATCGTCTTTGCTATCCAAACATTGTGCCCATAGCAATCGTTCTAACAATTCAATATCAGCAATTTAGTGCTCATATAGTTTCAAAAAAAGATCAAAGTCATGTCTTCAGTAACTTTCAGCATTCAACGGTGATCTTGATTTTCACCTTGACCTTCAAGGTTAGTTCATGATCAACTTCATCCTTTCAATTAGAAACACCTATTTTTGATTCCGGCAATCGAAAGAACAGAAAATTTTACGTTCAAACTCAAACTAAAGTCCAAAGTCAGGCTGACTACTAAAGCCCAAATGAAGATTAAGTGTCTGCTGCTAGATAAACCTCTATAAGTCTCATAGGATGAGTGATGGAAATAACTATCAAGGTCAAAACTTTGGTGAATTTTAACGAGGAAGTGAAAGCTGATCTTGGATTTGACCTTAACCATAACTTTCAAGGTTATTTCAAAGTCAACTTTATTTAAAAATAGAGATTTAAAAAATAAAGTTGACCATAAAATAATCTTGGTGAAGGTAAAGGTCAAATTCAAGGTCACTATTGAATTCGTTGCTGAAAGTTACTCAAGTCCTGACCTTGATCTTTTTCAAAAATACCTTATCTGAGCTGTTCCTGAGCTTTTATGTCACACAGTATAACCTTCATACCACGTGTCATTTAGTCAAAGACAATTATGATCGCTGTGGGCAATAAATGAAACCATATAGCTTTGAAAAAACCTTTGGTAACCTCTTCATAATTCAACGGAAAACAGAAATAACAAAATACATATTATTTATATGTATATATATACAGGGTGGCGCAGAGGAAACGCATGTTTTCTGACCGAATGGTATTTCGCACAGAATAGGGATATGACCTCGCCGCACCGCCAGCAGAGAACACATGCGATGCAGTTTCAGCCATGGCACCGTGGATGACGGAGCATCGTGTGTTTGCCGTCGAGCAATTTTTTCGAAACGATGATTCTGTAGTGATCGTGCAACGTTTATTCCGTCGACAGTTCAATGTTGAACGCCACGGGCCAATTCCAGATCGAAACACAATACTCCGATGGATTGAAGCATTTCGAAGTACTGGATCCGTAATGAAGAGGAAGCCACCTGGCCTTCCCCGTACCGTGCGGACTCCAGGCAATATCGAAACAGTGAGAAGAGCGGTCCTTGATAGTCCCCAACGGTCCACTAGGCGCCAAGCTCCAACTCTCCGTATGTCCCGTCGGTCGTTACAACGCATTCTGCATGACGATTTACAATATCATCCGTACAGGATAATGATCGTGCAAGAGCTAACGGAAAGCGATTTTGCACAGCGTAGAGAATTTTGTGCGAGAATGCGGGCCATTTTTGCTGACGATCCTGACGTCGTCATAATGATGAGTGACGAAGCACACTTCCATTTAACAGGATATGTAAACAAGCAGAACTGTAGGTATTGGGCGGCCGAAAATCCACGAGAGCTACACCAACGACCCTTGCATAGTCAAAAATTAACTGTGTGGTGCGGAATCAGTAAATTAGGTATCGTTGGTCCTTACTTTGTTGAAGAGGAAGAAAGAGCAGTAACAGTTACTTCAGCACGTTATGTTCACATGTTACAAAATTTTCTGTTACCCGAACTTCAACGGCAACAAGTAAACATGGGAGAGCTGTGGTTCCAACAAGACGGTGCCACAGCTCACACAGCGAGAGCATCAATGGAATGGATTCGACAGATGTTTCCTGAACATGTGATTTCCCGTTTCGGCGATGTCCCTTGGCCCCCACGCTCCCCAGATTTGCCCGCATGCGACTCCTTTTTGTGGGGTTACCTTAAGGATAAAGTGTACCCTCACAAGCCTCGTATGTTACAGGAACTGAAAATTGCTATTCGTCAAGAAATTGCAAGAATACCACAAGAAATGATTTTACGTGTAATGCACAACTTTCAAGAGCGGTTGGAGATGTGCGAGCGCGAAGCAGGGCGACACTTGAGTGACGTTATTTACCATCATTAGTTTAAAAGTGCACTATCATTACTTTATTTAGCTGTAACTGAAACAAAGTTATCTTGAAAATAAAAAATGTTATGCTTAGGTGAAAATCGTGCGTTTCCTCTGCGCCACCCTGTATATATATATATATATATATATATATAATATTTGGTCAGTCCAATATATTTTATTAATCCTTGGTGAGTTGAAAATATAAATTTGATTATACATACCTTGAGAATCTCCTGATCAGGTACTGTCACCAAATCAGTCTGAGATCTGAATGAAACTATATCTTCACCATTTTGCTCAAAATATACAATGTAATGAGGGATGTTGTCAACACAAATCTTAGGAAATTCAATCATCAAGTAGAGATAATCTGAGGAGCGTTTTTCTTTTTCATTTATCAGTTCCAATTCTCTAAAGGTCAACCTATCCAACCAATCCACCTGAAATTGTTGTAGGTCATGAAGAAAAATGAAAAATGTTCTCACCTTTTTTTATCTGATATTGATTAATAGCAGTTTCAATCCAGTTCAGGTTGAGGGAGAGTTGATTAGAAAAATAAACATATAGCAGCTATTGGCTGATAAATGTATTTCAAAACATTGTTAAAACTGAGATTACATATTCTTCAGACAATAAAGTATATTTATCTATTTATCATAAGAGGGTATTACCTTGGTTAGATGACCATTTCTATGTTTCTTGGCAAGTTTAGACAATCTTTGCATTTTTCCATGATCTTTAGCTTTTCCAGGTGTAGTTGTGGGCATTCTTCCATCTGCCTCCCTGTTTGGCCAAACCCGTAAGTCCAACATTCCCTAAATATTTTTATTAGGTACTTAGAATGTATTAATCAGTATATATTTTTATACATTTACTATTTACAATAAAACTGGAAGATTTTGAGTACCTTTCTCAATAAATTTACCTGTCGAAAAAGACCATATTTGCTGAACAAGGAAATGGTAGTTCCACCAACAGGACCAAGTCGATTGGGTCCATAGCAGTCATATATTGTTAGAGCCAATTGAGCTGTTCTAGGCAGATCATTGAATTGAACAGGTAGTGTCAACCATTCATTCCAACTGAAAATAACATATTTTTGTGCGAATACACCATTAAGTATTTAGAAACACCTATAATGAACAATAGTTCATTGGCTAGGTTACCATCCAGAACAAGTATTAGCCAAAAGTCAAAATCAAAGCTAATTGCAAAATATAAAATTTTGGATTTTCACATAATCATTCCATTTTTAAAAAGGGAGGATGGAGCATCATTATTTGCATTTTTAAATACAAACTTTCTTTGCCCTGGGGCCACTAGACCCCTATTTTGGGACCCTCTTTATGTAGGAGCTGTGGGATATATCTGCCTCACTTGCCTCTGAATATACCTGGCCCTGTCCAAATGGGAAACATTACCAATGAACACTATAATCTTGGTAATTGCCTGTGGCTTTCGCTCTGATAATTCTCCATGTATTCTTTTTTGATTTGTATTTTGGAAAAGACCTCGAAGTGGCCAAAATGTTAGTAGCCTACATATTGTGTGGTTTCATTTAATGGCCAGAAAACATATAGTATGATCTTTGTACTTGTAGTATTAGAATTAATGTTTACTTACTTCCATCTAGAACTGAATGCTTTATATGATGTTGTAACTGGTAATGACAAAGGCTGGTTCTGATCAAAAACTTGACAAACCACTACCAAGTCCGAGCATCCCTCCTGATACAATCCAGAATATTTCAATAGTGGGTCGGCCAGCAACTTATCATATTCAGGTTTTTGCCTCTTTCCCTCAAGAGTTCCTCTACAAAGATTAGAATGTCATTTCGTAATTTCAAGTAATTTATGGACTCACATTTTAATTTGTACTTTTTCGGAAATAGAAGAACTATACACATAATAAAACTTATCGTTTAATTCCTCCATGGTGTCCCTTTATTTCAGTAATCTTTGTTGTTGTCATTAAATTTTTGTTTTGGTTTATGTTGTCAAAAATCGAAGATGCAAAATATCAAGACTTTCTCATCGTATGGAACCTCGACATCAAATACGAGTTCGTGAGTCTTCGGAACAGCAACCACCAATACTGTTACGTCAAATGTTTCCGAAGATTCACGAACAGAGACTGATACGGTAGTTGACCAGCTGACATCTTGCTGTCATTCTATCTTGTTTTTAGTAGTGGGTTAGGTGGTCTGAGTAAAATAAAAAACCTTTCACAAAAAAAACCTTTGATAAAAGTTTTCTCACGCATCAAGCCAAAAGGCTTATGATTAACAAGTCTAGTAGTATCGAACTACTAGAAATGGATCCATACAACAAAAATATTTCATTAGAAACATTTAGGAACGAGTCGAAGACTAGCTCATTGACGAAGCAAGATCCCGTGAGTAACCTTAGCTTCTTTAGAAATTAAGGAGGTAATTACTTCTCCTCTTTTTTAGACCGGCTGGGGAAAAACATCGCCGAGCAAAAGCTACTGTTCATCAAGCTCCACATCCACAGAAAATGTTGTATCAACATTGGAGCGAAGGAAAGTTAGTACTCTGAGTATAGTTTCAGACCACTATAGTCAGGTAATAGATATCACTGGGTACACGAAAAAAAGTACAGTTGAATTCCTCAATGGTACCTAGCATTAATAGATAGATATCCTTTGCTCCCTTCAACATGATGAAATACCAGAAATTCCTACTTAGATAAAGTCAGATGAAAAATCCATTAACAAGCTACTTTATCCATGACAACTAGGGAAAAACTAGTTTGTGCCGGTTTTTGAATTCACACATAGTTTTAATAAATAATGTGATTTTTTAGGAATCTGGTACATCTAAAAGTCCTGATGACCCCCCTTTATTACCAGGAGAAAAGGTTACAGGTCAAGCTAGAGATGTGACATATTTGTGCCCATATCATGGACCAGCAAGAGGGATATTAACAGTAACAAATTACAAGCTATACTTCAAGTCAGCAGATAAAGATATGCCAAATGTGGTAGAAGTCCCCTTAGGTGTGGTAAGTTTTTGTCAGAATAATGCTTTGGTTACTAAAAATGTAATTAAGCTATTTTGGTAATTACACATCTAGTAAAGTTGTAATCAGAAGAAATTTTTTAAAGTAACCAACTAAAAACTATTCTTCAAATGCTAGAAATTTCTTAGACTTCAAAGCACCTCATTTTATACTTCAGATTTGAACCTAGGATTTTTTTTACAATAGTCCAATTCAGTACACCCAAGCTAGTCAAGTAAATAAAGTTTAATTCATTTGTAACAATGCGACACAAGCATGGAAATTCTATCCCTCAATGTCTCAATATCTTATGGCCATTTGTGAGAAAATTTACTATGACCCTGACAAATTTGCTTTTCCTAAATAGGTGCATCGTTTTAGAACCTGAAGCCAATTTGTCACTAGGATTCACAGGGAGTCTCAAGCGCTTCATTTTTTACTCCATATTCGGCCCCACAGCACATTTTTTTACATCAAATGAATTATATCATGTTTTATTCACTTGTAATAATACATACAACATACAAAAATGAAAATCTTGTTCTACAAAGTTGTATAATATTTTGAAGTTTTTTATGAGGACAGAAGCGAAATGAACCAATTTGTGTTTGGTGATGAATACAGAGATTTTACCAAGATCTCAATGAAAAGTTGTATACAGTGTTACATGATAAATATCTGTATACAAATCTGTAATAATCTTTTTTCACTACTAAACCGAGAAATCATCATTATTGGCTGCACTGCTATATTAAGAAGTAGCATTTCTCTCCCTGGTGAATAATGAGAACAAGAATGAAATATGAAATTAGTGGCATACCAGCCACCCTGAGGAGCCCACGCATAGGCCACGAGCCCTTATGCACCTCTACATTCCCTAGACCTCAAGCCTTGCCCTTCTGGCAAAGTTGAGTATGGTTTTGATTACCAGCTCCTTAACGTTATGGGGGTCCCCAGTATAGTATGCCTGTAGTAGCTCAGAGTTTCACAACAACACAGCATGTGCGCCAAGGTCTCTTCCTCTACCTCATAGTGCTCACACAAGAAATCCTCAGACACCCCCATCACGTGCAGGTGTCGTCTTAACATGTTATGGCCAGACAACAGTCCCACCAGCAACCTTAGGTTGTTTCTATCCAAGGATAAGCAAAAGCTTAGCTGCTGGACCCTACAATGCTTCTCCATTTCTGAGAATCTTGTCTTGCAATCCACTTCTCCATTTTCCTCTTAATTCTTTGCGCGAGCACCCCTAAAGCTGGCTCGGGTCCAACAAATTTGCTGGCTGATCCTCCTTTCAGAAGAGCGTCCGCCGTACCATTGGCCTTTATTCCAGCGTGCCCCGGTACCCACACTAACGATACCGGATGGCTCGCTGATACTCCTCAAAACAAGAAAACAACTAGGTAAATAATAACTTTACTCATTTTGACAACGGAACCCTATGTTTTGAAATAATTTAGGACAATTGAGAAATTAGTAATTTTGAGTATAATAGTAGTAGATTTATCCAAATTTCAAACATGAGTAGCATAGCAAAAATATCACAATTAATATGAATATAATACAAAGTGAGTTAACCATGTTTATTGCACCACACCATAAACAAAAACATGATGAAAAAATACAAGTTCATTATGACTAGATAGATAGATTATATAGACAATAAGCTATCTAGTGTTTTTGTTATAGGTAGTTAAAGTCAAAACTAAAGTAAAATAGCTGTTTGTTACACTATATAAAAAAAATTGTAATAAAAACATTTTGCTTACTGATTCGGAAAATTTAAAAATTCATTTATAGAGTAAAAACATTTCTCAATTAATACCTGAAAACCTTATTTTAAAATTTGATATAGCTCTCTATATCTCACAGATCTCGATACACTCATATGTAGTTGAACTGGGGTGACTTTGTATATGCCATAGTCAGGCCCATCGCTATTTGTTTGAACGCCCGCGTACAATGCCGATTTAGCTGCCCCATGTACAACTCTACGCTGAGTTTTTTTGAGTAGTCGGTGAATCACTGGAACCGGGTTCGATAACATCCAATTCGTTGAACTCTTCTGCGATTCCGAGTATCAAATCGAATCCAAAGCCATTGTACTATAAGGGCTTGAGAAAATGAAAAAGATACGAAAGATAATTTACAAAAAAACTGTATTTAGACATAAGTACATGTTTATTTCTACAGAAAGTAAACTTTTCTTGCCTTTATGTTTGAAAAATCTGCTATCAAGTTTTTCGTATCCAAGCTGTCCAAAACTTCAGGTTCAATAGAAACTATAACTAAATTACTTAGTATTTGCTGGTGCATGGTTAACCTCAAAAAGTATTTTGTAATCTTTAAGTTTGAAAAAGGTACCTTTTACCGGATACAACTGTGCCTGGCAATGTAAGTAATATTCGTAGCGGTATTGCTGTGTTTGGAAATGTTGAAATATAATCATTAGTAAAAAGGTATCGTAACAAAGTATGAGACTCATTAGACTGATTTTCTGGAAAATGCAATTTTAAAGCTCTAATTTCATTAAATAAATCGATACCATCAATGTCAGTTTCTCCAGTAGATCCGTCTTTAAGTTTTTGATATAAATTTTTACAATGTATCATTAAGTGATTGTTTAAAAAGCCAAATACGTCAGTAAAAGTGTTTAATTCCTCGAATCTGTCCTTTAGAGAGGTTAGCGTCTGATCTAAGATTCTAAAAAAAAACTACTTTGTTTTTAATCTTGGGTATAGTAACACTTCGCCACTGTGTTCATATTAAAATTAGGTTGGTCTTCTTCTAGGACGAATCGTGTTTATTGATAAGAAATTTGCTTGTACGTTGAGAACCTGAGCTACATTAATAGCTTCTTGTAATAGCTTCGCAAAGTGCACATCTGTGCAATATTCAATAATCATGTTTTCCAACAAATTTGCTCAGATTTGCATGTTCTTTGTGGGGCGTTGCATCATTTTGCTTAAAGCATTAATTTTGTTTAAAATATCAAACCAAATTATTATTGAGCAAATAAATCTATAATTTTGAATGCTCAGCGCAAGCGAATGAGCTTTGTGAGATGTTGCACAATCTCATTCCTTCGAATTATTATCAGATATTTCCAGCAAAGCATCAAATATTTTTTTAGTATAGTACCGTAATGGTTTGTATGTTATGTTTATTGTGACATGGTAAACATATATAAGACATACAAATTATGAAAATGTTTCGTTTTTGTTTCAATATTTGTTTTTGCCGCCCCCTTGAAGATACCGCCCTTGTGCGGTGCTCGCTTTGAACGCCCGCACGCAGCGGGCCTGACCGTTGTTTTAAAACGATTTGCTTTCAAAATGGAATTTCTGGTCTTATAATTGTGATGTTGTGATGATAGCTCATGTAGTTCCTCGAATCATCGATAATTGACATAATGCTTGAATACAGTTTTTAATGTTAACAAAAAGAAAACAATTGTACCTTACTTCCTTTGAGTGGATCAGTCCCAAACAAATTCTCTGTCTGTTGCATTCATTAATTTAGGTTGTCACTTTGACTCCAGGTAACAAGATATTTTAAAGTATTCATAAAATGAGTTGGCACGCGCCTCGGTATAAAAGTGCTTACGCTCTTCTCAATTAGGTAATTTACATTTTTATAGGTCTCTCGCATCGAAAAAGTAGGTGGTGCCTCATCCAGAGGCGAGAACGCCTATGGCATCGAAGTATTCTGCAAGGATGTGCGCAACCTACGCTTCGCTCACAAACAAGAGAACCATTCACGTCGGGGCGTGTTCGAGAAGCTGCAAACGTACGCTTTCCCGCTCTCCCATAGGCTGAGACCGTTTGCTTTCGAGTACGCGGAGGTGTTCCCTGAAAATGGGTGGGCGGTGTACGAGCCCATCGCAGAGCTGAAGAGGATGGGAGTGAACAATGACATGTGGAAGATATCAAAGATTAATGAGAACTATGACGTGTGTGATAGTTATCCAGCGGTTTGGGCGGTACCTGCGCAGGTAACATGACAGCAATGATCCCAGTTTGACCTGAGAGTTAGTAGTAGTACATTTGACCCTTTTTGCCGACCCCGTAATACCATCACTGAACTACCAGGAGCCATCTCCTGGTAACTGATATAATAATCCAGCTCCAGCAATGAGATATACCTATCGTCATTATTGCACCCACTTGCGTGATATAGGCAACAACACCATGGAATTGAACATACGAGGCGGAGATTCTAACTCGCGAGCCGCGAGTTGCTAGTTCGACGCGAAAACCAAGTGAATCTCAAACAGGGACTCATTCCTCGAAAACTTTCGGTCGGAGCACACTGTTTCTACGACTTGAGTTGTTTGAAATCCGCATTTTTCTAAAAATAGCAGAATATCATTTCCCATAAGGATTCTGTGAAACATATGTTTGTACAAACTTTTTATACAGGGTGCGGCATAAAGGACAGATGTTTTTGAAACCCCTAGCATTTTTACCAGTAGACATTATGAAGCTGTGGACGGTTGAGCACCGCGCTTTCGCGTACGACAGTTTTGTCCGACATAATGAGTCTATCACGGCTGTACAGCGTTTCCTTCTCGAAACACCTTGCTACGTTGGGTTCAATCACTTCGCACATGTGGGGTACTGATCAACAAAAGACCACCAGGAGCTCCACGAACGGTTCGAACCCCTGAAAATGTAGAACACGTTCGACAAGCCCTTCTTCGCAGTCCTTCACCCCTACAAATTGGCCATTGTGCAACTGATACAGCCTGGAGGTTACGCACAACGAATGAACTTCACACGTGAAATGGAAGCACTTATCAAGCAAGATGAGAACCTCATTTTGTTCACTTTCATTTTAATGACATGGTTAACCAGCAGAATTGCCATTATTGGGCTAATGAAAATCCGCGACAGTTACATGAAAGACCGCTGCTCACCCCAAAAGCGACGGTTTGGTGCGCTGTATCGCAAACTTGCATAATCGGCCGTTACTTCTTCGAAGACGGTAATGGCAATGCTGTTACCGTGAACTCGGAGCGCTATGTCAAAATGATCACCAACTTCTTTTTACCTGAATTACGACGAAGACGTGTTCCATTCCGACGTGTGTGGTTCCAACAGGATGGGGCGACCGCCCACACAGCCAGAGCAACCATGAACATTATTCGCCCTCTCTTCTGTGGCCGCCTTATTTCGAGGTTTGGTGATGTTCATTGGCCTCCTTGGTCCCCAGATTTATCCATCTGTTGGAGATCGTCTACGCGAACTTTCAAGAACGCCTCCAGCAATGCATCGTCAAAAACGGTCACCACATGACTGATGTGATTTTCCACACTTAATTGTGACAAACGCTATTTCATTGTGAACCCGAATCCGCCAATAAATTTGTTTTTGAGTAAAAATTACCGATTTTGTGATCTTAATAAACCGTCCGACCTTTGTGCCGGACTTTGTACCACCTTTTGAAGTACTACGACCCTAGAAATATTACCAATACAATTCCTCTGAATATTTATCTGTTTCCAGGTAACTGATGACGACATCCGCGCCGTAGCCCAATTTCGTAGTCGCGGCCGTGTGCCAGTCCTCAGCTGGATCCATCCAGAAAGTCAAGCGACCATATCCAGATGCTCCCAACCTCTTGTGGGCGTGGGAGGCAAGAGAAGCAGAGAGGATGAACGTTACGTGCAATTAATCATGGACGCCAATGCGCAGTCGCATAAACTGTTCATCATGGATGCTAGGCCAAGTGCGAATGCCATGGCTAACAAGGCCAAAGGAGGAGGGTAAGCAGGCAATGATACTCTTGAATTATAAGACTCCTGGATTCAATTTATGCAAGGTGTTTTGAATATTGGTACTTTTGTTTCCAGAAACAACCTTGTAGATTTGAAATAACTAAGCTTATGTACGATAAACGAAACGAAAAAGAAATAACGAATTAATGGACTTACTGCCGATTTGAAAAGAAATATAGGTATATGTCATGTCTCATGTTGCTTATAAATACTGTTTGATTTGAAATTATTGCCGTTCGATTCAGAAACAAACATGAGCTAACTCAATCTGCAATATTCAGGGCAGTCTACGAACGGTGATTGTACGAAACAAATATATGTGACACGAGGTGAAAACGTCCATGAAAATGATCTTAATATACTCGCAAAGCATCAGCAGCATATTGGAGACACTCACCATGAATTAACATCAAATCGATAAGTTCGTTTCTGCTAGAGGAATCGACTGTTTTTTTTTTCAAATCCGATTTATAAACAAGCAGCTCGGTTACTTCACGGCGCGCGCCGTTTGAGTTTGATCTATTCACCTGAACCTCTGTTGGAGGTAGGGCCGAATCTGATATCGCAGATTTTGTGGACACTTGATAAGTTGGTATAGGAACACCCTGTATATGACTCTGGGATTCTGCCTGGAAGAAGCTGTATTCGTTTCTTTTGTAATGAATCATATTCAAGCTATAAAAAAATATTTATTGCAGGTACGAGTCTGAAGATGCATACCAAAATGCAGAATTGGTATTTCTTGATATACACAACATACACGTTATGAGAGAATCGCTGAGAAAATTGAAAGAATTGTGTTATCCTAACATAGACGAGACCAAGTGGCTTTCAGGCGTTGAAGCTACTTATTGGCTGAAACACATCAAGTGCATTTTAGCGGGAGCTGTCAGAATTGTTGACAAGGCGAGTTACAGTCCTTTTAGATTGTTTCACGAGATGTATCATGTTTGACGCAAATGTATTTTAGGTGGAGAGCCATAAAACCTCAGTCCTAGTCCACTGTTCAGATGGCTGGGACAGGACTGCTCAGTTAACTGCTCTCTCAATGCTGATGTTGGACCCATACTATCGCACTATCAAAGGATTTGAGGTTCTTATTGAAAAGGAATGGATCGCGTTTGGACACAAATTCCAACAGGTAAATCCATACAAAATCCTGCCTAAAATTTGTTCTTTTTTAAATATACTAAGTGACATATAAATCCGAACACCCAGTTTAAATGGTTTTATTTTAGTAAAAGTTGGTGAATGTATTTATCTTACTGTAAATAACAAGTGAACAAATTTTCAGCCTTATCAGTTGGACATTCCGGTTTTTATACTGCTTTTTTTAATTCACTAACGCTCTAAAAATGAATATTTCAGACGCAGTAAAGAATCAACGTTGGCGGATTTTGGTTCTTGACATCCTTTACGATCGGTTACGATGCCTAGAGTACGGACACCTGTACGATTTCGTCAACTTAGTGAGTTTGATAGGGGCCGTATAGTGGGACTTCGGGAAGCTGGACTTTCTTTTCGGGCAATTGCAGTTAGAGTGCAAAGAAGTGTAGACACTGTGGTTAGGTGTTGTCAGGCATGGCTTCGAGAAGGCCGTACGCAAAGAGCAAGGGGCACTGGACGCCGCCGTAGAACAACAGACCGTGAAGATCGCCGCCTAAGATTATTGGCCTTAAGGGACTGTTTCTCCACTACCAGGTCCATTGCAAATGAATGGTTTGCAGAACACGGAAGACCTATTGGCATGCGAAGTGTTTACCGACGAATGAGAAGTTTTGGCTTGTTTTCATACCGGCCACACTGGGTCCTCCCTTTAACTCGAGAACACCGACGTAATCGCCTTGAGTGGTGCAGAAAACGGTCACTCTGGGATCAGGAATGGAACAGTATTGTCTTTAGTGACGAGTTTCGATTTTGTTTAGGCATGCACGATGGTCGTGCCAGGGTTAGAAGGCGACGTGGTGAAAGGAGGAATCCACAGTTTTTTGTTGAAAGACATGTTCATCACACTGTTGGAGTTATGGTTTGGGGTGCTATAGCTTATGTTATGTCACCTTTAATCTTCATCAGAGGTAACATGAACGCGCAGCGTTATATCCACAAAGCTCTAGAACCCCATCTTTTACCCTATCTTGACACCCTGGCAGATCTAACTTTCCAACAAGATAATGCCCGACCACATGTTGCAAGAGTCACAATAGACTTCTTTCAACATAATGATGTCACATTGTTACCATGGCCACGAAGATCTCCCGACTTATCCCCAATTGAGCACGTGTGGGATATGATGGGTAGGAGATTGCTCAATTTGCAACGTCCTCCTCAGACTCTAGAAGCACTTCGAGAGGAGTTGGTGGTTGCCTGGAATGAGATACCACAGGAGGACATTGACCACCTGATCAGAAGCATGCCTAGGCGCGTTGGAGAATGCGTAGCACATCAGGGTGCATCCACACATTATTAAAGGTCAAAGGGCTTTAAAGCAGTGCAATCATTTTGAAATTTTTATCATTTACTTATTATGCTTCATTAAGTACTTATACAAAATTTTATTAAAATAAAACCATTTAAACTGGGTGTTCGGATTTATATGTCACTTAGTATACTATAATCGACGTAATTTATTTTGTTTCTAGAGAATTGGGCATGGCGACGACCACCACTCGGATGCTGACAGATCTCCAGTGTTCTTGCAATTCATCGACTGCGTTTGGCAGATAACGCAACAGTTCCCGAATGCCTTCGAGTTCAACGACTATTTTCTCATAACGATTTTGGATCATTTGTACTCGTGCCGATTTGGTACCTTTCTGTGCAATAGCGAGAGAGAACGGGTCCAGGAAAGTGAGTATTTGACATATGATATCCAATGTTGCATAATTATACAGAAAGTTCATTAAAAGTCAAAATAGGAACATTGTGTAGTGGGAGCCAATGGTCAAGCCTCGCCGGGCAGCATCGAAGACAGTGTTGCCATTTTCTCTCTGTGATACTTTGATGGTGACACTTTTAACTGACAATATTTTTGCTGCATTATCTAGCTGCAATAGAGTAGCCAGCAACACTGCTAGCAATCGCAACTAGATTAAAGAATATGCAATACCGCAATATTTTTAGTATGACTGGGCTATATGACATGTTTGACGTTTCAGTTACATTTTTGTATATTGCTGTCAGATTTCCGTACGATCAGGGTCCTACTTAATGTAATTCAATGTTGTTTGAAGAATACAATGATTCTTAAGGACAAAGCTAACTTAATTAAAACTAAAATATGTGCAACTTGATTAAATGTATCATAGAACTACGTACCTTTTTCAAGTAATTTTGAGGACAGGCACACCAAAAGATTTGCTTTATTTACTCTTTTACTTTCCACGCCTACTAGCGTATTGTAACCGATAAAATTTTCGAATAGTAGATATCGTTTTTGGATGTTATATGATGTTTATCATGAAAAACCATGTCACTCATTTCCGACTCGCTGTCTGTCCGCATCATTTTTGAAAATACTAATAAATTGAGACTGTGCATTTTAGGGGGCGGGGAGAGCATATCTCAATTTTTTATGTTAATATATTTATACGCTCCCAATTAGTAACTACAGGCACCTATTATACATATTTCACTCCTCATAGATTTATCCGGACATTAGCCTTTAAAACGGATAGCATCTGCTTCTCCTCCCGGCGACTTTTCGCCGGACTTAGTAAGTGTTCTGGTATTACACTTATTACTGGCGCGCCACAGCATAGTGTTTTCTATATTTCCTATATTGGGAAGTGGAGACAACCTATTTGACGCTATTTCTATGCTTCGTTAATATAACCTGCCGCGACGCGTTCAATTTCGTTAGACATTCTTGCCCGAGTTTACAGCGTGTCTGATGATAAATTCTGACAAGTGTATGTAGCTACATATTGCGAACAATATTTGCCAAGTTATGAACATGTAGGCATAGTCGCTAATATTGTTAAATAACGCATCAAAAATATTGTTCGTTTAGAAGCTCATTAAGAAGTTGGCAAGCATACATTATTCTTGTTTGTAGAGCTGAAGGAGCAAACAGTGTCTTTGTGGTCATACACCAATAGCAATTTAGACTTGTATCGCAACCCTCTCTATTGGGCTAACACAATGCAACAAAGGGTTTTGGTACCAATCGCCAGTATTAGACACATAAAACTATGGAAGGCGTACTACTGTAGATGGAATCCAAGCATGAGGACACAGGTAAAATAAGATCACCAGTTAAAATTTACAAATACCCCTTTTCAAGCAAATCGCCAATAATTAGTTTGCTTACAAATGAATAAAAACCCAATTGGATATCTCTTAAGAAAAAGCAAGACAAAGGAATACGGATGAGATGTTATCAGACATTGAGATGTCATTTGGAATATATTAATTTTAAATATTACGGAACTTACGAAAAACAGTCTCCACTCTGCGACTGTGTAATTTGTGATTTCAATCAATAGCTTTAGCTATTGAGGTGGTCTAAAATCATGAACATTTTGACAGTCTCAAAAGAGCCTTGAAGCTGTACAATTTGTCAGCACCTGTAGGGTAAATGACACTTGAATAGTGTATGTTGATTGAAGGACTGTCAGTGCGTGTTATTTAATACATCCCAGGAGAAAATCATGAACGTAGAAGTTTCTTAGACGATACCGACTAACCTACTGGTTTCTGCGACATCCCTCACCATTTCCTCTCTTGAATTGTTTTGCTGAGAAGATAATAGTCTCTAAATTATGTTGGCGTTTTGCAATGATTGATTTCTTGACTACAATTTGTGCTATTTTTTATTCTTTAAATTGACTGTAGCTGATAATATACGTTATGTTGTATCACTTAAATGTTCCGTAGTTTTTTAACCAAACGAATTTTCTTGTAGGATCCTGTATACCAAAGAATAAGAGAACTTCTGAAACTAAAAGAGCAGTTGGAACACACAGTGGGAGAATGTCGCAAAGAACAACAGCAGAGAATGCAGAGGAATAATGTGTCTCCAGCTTGACCCGAAGTCTCTTCATAATGTTAAACATTGTATAAAAGTCCACAAGAGTATTATTTTTATTTTTTATGACAAAGTTTGTGTTTATTACTGTAATATATCGCGTTCAATAAGCTGTCAGTTTGCTAAATATTAGCCCACCTATAAGTCTGACAGTCCTGTCAGAGTTTGATAAGATTTCGACACATGATTGTCACTATATAAACGACCAAAAAGCTTTGTGGGTTTTGCAAACTGAACCATTAGTAGTAGAGTTAAATAAGAATCGTCCGATCTACATTTTTTTGACGTTCTACAAATGCTTGCACAGTTTCAGATTTTTGGCGATACGTATGCGTTCCAGACATATTTTAACATGCACTTGTTAACTCGCGGACTAACTGTTTTGTACCACATAAGCGTTCCCTATGCCCAAAAAAAGAGAATAGGTAGTTTTTAAGGTGCAAACAGTCATTCCACGTTTGCTCACTAGGATCGTTGTGAGCGTCCATCTATGGAACACTGGCTCAACTACACTCATTGTTGGTTGCATATGTTTTGTGAAGGCGAGTAGTCTATAGTTTACATCTCTGAGAAGAAAGTTGGTTGTTTAGAAAGGTCACATCTGGAATATTGTGTTTTGGTCTGCATGTGAATAAAATCAGTGATTTTTGCTGTGTAAGAAAATCATTACTGAATATGCTGCCAACGAAGTAGGTATATCTGTTAGCTGTGCTAGACGGTTTTTTACGTTGTCCTTTCCGAATACAGGTTATGTTCAAAGTTATAAATTACGATTTTTTACGTTTTCTTTGTTTTCAATAACTTTGAGGTGAATTACGGAAAATAACCACCGTCACCCCGTTTTTTTTATAATTCAACGACCCCGAAGGCCTAAACACCCATGGAATACCGTGGTGTTATAGGGGGGCCGCACACTCAAAATGTGAAGCGGAGTAGTCTATAGGTTTCATCCCTGAAAAGAAAGTTGGTTGAAAAGCAAGATCGCATCTGGATGATTACGTGTATTGGTCTGCATGTGTATAAAATCAGAGATATTTGCTGCGTGAGAAAATCATTACTCAATATGCTGCCAATGAAGTATATCTATTGGCTGTGCCCGACGGGTTATTTATATGTTGTCCTTTCTGAACACAGGCTATGTTCAAAGTTATAAATTACGATCTTGTGCATTTTTTCAAATTCTTTGAGAATTACGGGAAATCACTACCGCGCCCACGTTTTGTGTAATTACTGTTAGCATGTATATGACTTGTAATACGACAATGTACAGTGAATATAATTGTTTCTTATCTTATTTTTTAAATTCAGCAAATTTGCATATGTAATTTCCAGAATGGATAAGAAAAAGTGGGTGCGCAACTAATTTCTAGCTTTGAATCTCAAGTAAGTGTATTTGAGACAAGAATCCGAAGGAATCATCATCAACACAATACATATTAACACACAAATCCCACTATGCATTGCCATTACCTCCAGTAATGCCATCCCTGCAGCACATTTTACATCACATCAGAGCCAAACATTAATAACTGATGCCTCATGACGTTCAAGCAACACGTACAACTACGAAAGGAGTTCACAACGTGTCCATCAGCTAGAGCTATGTTAACATCTTGTGGAAAAACCTACATAATGTCACAAAAAAACAATATTTCAAAAAATTTAACACAATGCTACTTTTCAAGATACGCAATACCCGTGCGAGGAAATACGATCAATGGAGAAGGCCGACAGCCCGTGCTAAATTTATTAGAGTATTTCAGGGGTGAGAATGAAAACAGCGGTCCGCTGTTACTCACTTCATGCGTGCTGGAGAGAGTATCAGTTGCGCAGTGTTCCGCCCATTTACTTATCTCATATGGCGGTGATGACGTAACTTGGACGTAACCGCTAAGAACGGTACTACTATTCGTCATTTATTTGTCTGGGCGGTCCGTAGGACCTTTGCCCATTAGTCACTGTCTGATGTACGTTAGTCGAATCTGTCAGTCCTGGTTGCCCAGAAGCCAGACAAACTCAAGGAAAAAGAGAAAGGGAAAGAGAAGAAAAAAGGAGAAGAACAAAGAAAAACAGATATGCTTAGTTTAAGAGGAAACACCTAGGCTTTTTCACTTGGTACACGGATTAATTTTGAGGTGAACTAAACAAATTTTTTTGATTCGGTTTTGTTAGAGTGTAATTTTGAGTTTACTAAAGATTCCCGCTAACTTTTGATTACAGTGCGAGCCGTGGCCTTGAATGTTTACGAACTTGCTCCACTGTGTAGTCCACTGAGTCACGCAACAGAGGGTTGCTGTGCGATTCCGCTTGACTATAACGTCGCTGCGCCTGAAGCTTGACATAATCCCTCAAGTAAGGAATGTCAAGGTCTCTGTGTAGTGTCTCATTTGAGACATACCATGGAGCGTTGCAAATTGTCCGCAAAGTTGTGCTTTGCAGTACTTGAAGACTTTGCATGCGTGTCTTGGCAAGAAAACACCAAGCCGCACATGCATAAGTAATGGCTGGTCTAATAATCATTTTATATAGTCGAACTTTGTTTATCAAACTCAATTTGGAGGATCTACATAACAAAGGATATAGTTGCCGAAACGCAATTTGGAATTTTGTTTTTATGGATGCTGTATGTTTCTGCCAGGTCATGCCTTTATCTAGGGTGACACCGAGATACTTGGCAGAATTTGTCCATGGTACACGATTTCCGTCTACAGAAACCTCTGCTGGGGGGGCGCGACGTTTTTTGATACAATAAATAGCCTGCGTTTTCGAATGATTAATTTTTTATCAGCCACCGTTTCGCCCACTCTAGAACTTCGTCTACCGCATTCTGCAACCCATCGTGTACCAGATCACCAGTACACGACTGGGCGACAAGTGCAGTGTCGTCAGCATAGAGGTAGACTTCACAGTTGCTGGGGGAAGGGACGTCATGGATGAAAAGCGAATAAAGAATTGGTCCTAGGACCGAACCCTGAGGAACACCGGCCCGTACTCGCCGTGTTGTTGACAAAACATTGTTAATTTTGATCCGAAACTTCCTTCAAGAAAGGATTTCAGTAATTTTAGAAGCCAACAAGAAAAACCCTTTTGGATTAGTTTATAGAGGAGGCCCGCGTGCCACACCTTGTCAAAGGCTTTTGAGACATCCAAAAGCAAGATGCCAGAACTCATGCTAATGGTGAACCCTCTGGTTACATGCTCCACCAGCCTGACTGCCTGTAGCTCGGTGCTATGCTCGGACCGAAAACCGAACTGGACGTCAGGAATCACATGGTGATTTGACGAAAAATTCTCAAGGTGACGATGAATCACCTTTTCGGCGAGCTTAGAAGGAGCTGACAGCAGACTTATGGGACGGTAATCCTGAGGAAATATCGAACCCACCTTCTTTGGAATCATGATGACCTCAGCAGTCTTCCACCCAGCAGGAAAGTACTGGATTTTGAGCGTCGCATTGATTATTGTCACCAAGTATGTCAGGGCTTTCGGCGAGAGCAGCTTCAACGCCTTGTTGGTGGCTAAGAACGGTGACTACACTTATAACAGTTTCTAATAGTAATATTTATACAGTGTGTTCGTAACATACAGTATTCAACTTGTAGAATATGTTAATCCGATGCTTATACAGGGTGACTTGTGGAGTCATTTATTTTAACAGTGAGTAGATCTGATCAAAAGAAATGTTTTTTTCCTTTACCATTTTTCTGGTAAAATTAAAGTAACAAAGTTATAGAACTTTGGAAGTTTGAGTACCGCCCTGTCTCAATAATAATATTATGTGCTCGTGTTTGGCGACAACGGATATAATTCGCCTTATCGGTTCATCGCATCGGAAACAAAAAAGCGAAAGAATTTGGAACGATGTTTTTACAATTCTTTCATTCAGTTGTATACAGTCAGTGTCAGTCGGTAGTGGATAGTGGTGTCTGTTGCGTGGCTCAAACGAAATAAAAAATGGCACATGTTTATGCGGATCGGTTTCCCAATCGAGTGCAACCAACCCCTTGTGCCTTTGTTAATGTAGTACAACGGGTTCGTGAATCATTTGACTTAAGACCTCACATATGGACGGCATGCCGGTGCTCCAAGACCTCACGATCAAATACAGGTCCGCACTGAAATACTTGTCGGGAGGATACTTTATAAAACAAGGTAACTTTTTTTTTTATTTTTACACATATATTTTGGTTTATCTTCCTTCTACAATCATTATCTGAAAATTAATGACTCAACTTCAAAGTCACCCTGTATATGCTAAAGTATAGTATTCATGCATCAATATTATTTCGAGTGTCAGATTGCTAATGTGATGTCAAATCAATGATTAAGATTGACCTACTAACAAACACTTAAACCATATTGGTTCATAAACTAAAGAAACTTTGAACAATATTTGTGCAGTTTTTCATATGTGCATTCATAGCTCCATTCTGTGTAAACTGTTGTGTGGAGTTTCTGCCCTCTCCATGTACTACTGCAAACTGCATGATCTTATACAATAATATTATTATTCTAACTTGTATTTTGTTACATTTAGGCAACCACTTGAGCACTGTGCGATTTTCAGCTATTGCCTATTTTTGATGGAGAAAATGGAAAAGAATTTAATGTATAAAAATATATTTAAATCAAAAACAACAAGAAAGAGTATATACAAACAACATATCATCAAGTACTGCTATCATAATATCTTCGCTTCAAAGTTCTATATTTCTTCAACATGTAGAGAGTTTCAATTTCTTTTACAACGAATTCTCCGTGCTCAATCATCCGTTGTATTTTCTGAGGGTCTTTTTCATCTTTATTTTTGATAAAAACGTCGTGTAATCTCCTACGAAAAAAGTCGTATCCATTTGGCCAGTCCTTGCCATAATGCAGCAACTAAAAATAAAATTGTTCAGTGTTTACTGTGGTGTGTACAAATAATATGCATTTCACAGAATCGTAATTATTATCGCAATGTCGTTACTTACAGTTTTGTATAGATTTTTTACACGAGCTCTTTGAGACATTATATAATAAAGGTTGCACTAACAGAGCATTTTCACATTTTGTTTATAACGAAAGTTGTATATCCAAACTCCAAACGATAATTAAACCAGAATTGCAAAAGGTGAAAGTCCAATTACTGCGTATAACGCGATATGTTTATATGATTTAAACCGCTCCCATACGATGTGGCGAATGTTCGACACATGGCCATTAGTCAAATCGTGTGGGAGAGCGCTGACGGATTGCATGTGTCCAGCGTTCGCCACAAGGCACGTTCGGGTTCTTGTCGGTAAATTTGCCGCACGGGTAGTGGGTATTACGAATCTTGAAAAGTGACGTTATATCGACATTTTGACATTATATTGCTTTTTTGAGACAGTAAGTAGGTTTTTCCACAAAATATTAACTTAGCACTAGCTGATGGACACGTTGTGAACTCGTTTTGTAGTGCACGTATTGCCTTAACGTCATGAGGCTTCAGTTAACAATGTTTGGCTTTGATGTGATGTAAAATCTGCTTCAGAGATGGCATTACTGGAGGTAACGGCAGAGTTCTTATCTAAAAGCACTCAACTTGAGTTTCAAAGCAAGAAATTAGTTGCGCATCCACTTTTTCTTATCCATTCTGGAAATTACATATGCGAATTTGCTGATTTTCAAAAATGCGAGAGATAAGAAATAATTATATTCACTGTACCCTGTCGAATTACGAGGCACAACGGGTCGTAGACGATCTCTGACTGTCGAACGCGGAGGTACCACCCGGCGGATCTCGTAGGCGCGGCCAGAGCCAGACTGGCATCCCCCCTTTCCCCCTATAACACCACGGTACCCCATGGGTGTTTAGGCCTTCGGGGTCGTTGGAGTATAAAAAAAACGCGGTCACGGTTGGTCACGGTGGTGATTTTCCGTAATTCTCCTCAAAGTTATTGAAAACAAAGAAAACGTAAAAAATCGTAATTTATAACTTTGAACATTACAACGTAAAAAACCGTCGAGCACAGCTAATAGATATACCTACTTCATTGGCAGCATATTCAGTAATGATTTTCTTATACAGCAAATATCACTGATTTTATTCACATGCAGACCAAAACACACAATATTCCAGATGTGACCTTGCTATTCAACCAACTTTCTTCTCAGAGATGAAAACTATAGACTACTCGCCTTCACAAAACATATGCAACTAACAATGGGTGTAGTTGAGCTAGTCTTCCACAGATGGACGCTCACAACGATCCTAGTGAGCAAAGGTGGAATAACTGTTTGCACCCTAAAAATTACCTAGTCTGCAAGATGACATCTTATAGGTTTATTTGACGTTTCATAGGTTTGTTACATAATACCCGTGCCGCGTCTAAGGACCTAAGGACGTTACAACCGTTACAACGTTGGAAACATGGTTCGTTACGCTCCCACGCGAGATGTCATGTGTTTGATGGTTTTAGATTAGAACCAGTACCGGCGAAAAACATTATTTACTTGTTTGCTGTGGTTGCGGTGAAGTATTTTGATTTCAATTCCTACCTCTTCATAATAATGTATGTTCCGTAACTAAATTTCGAGGAGAATGAATTAAATCAGTGTACCTTCATACAACGCATAAGCTGCCATAACAACACTTTTTTCATACTGCTCATCTTTTGTACGTTTCGCAGGTGAGTTATGGCTGGCCTAAGTATATCTGTATTTTAGTAAATTAAAAAGATTTAATAAATGATAACTCTGAAAGTGCTATCAGGATTAGATGAAATTTTGACCCTAGGTTACTATGAAAATGACGAAAATCGGTAAAGTTGCGGAGGAGTTATCGTCGAAAAACAAACAAAAAGCGGTCAAACTTCGTTTTTCGATATTTCTGAGACTCATGACAGGCCTAAGTTTTGGTCGCTGAAGACAGGTTCAAGCGCGACACTGACACCGATAATAATAGATGTTGGCACCACCATGCGTCGAACGTCCGAAAGTTCATCCCATCGTGTACATGTTGGAAGCATCGTGTGGGACCCGCATTATCCAGCATTTGTTTACCAGGTATCTTGGGATGCCAAAAAACAAAAGGTAGAAAGTTCAAAAGATCGATAAAAGGCACGGCAACAACGACAATTTCACAACTTTGAGAGATAAATCAATTAAGGCTCCAACAGACGTCGATGTTTTTTGATGAACTTGCACAACCTTCCACCGGAAATGCGAATGAAAGTGTAAGGAAATTATTGTTTGATAATATATGTCTATCGAAAGTACTATTGTTTTTCATTCCTCCAATGCTACATAAAATATTGATAGTTTAAAATGAACAGATAACATAACGTACACGATAATTGCGTGCAAAAATGAGGTAAACGTCATTTTCTAGTCTAAAACAAAAGAACTCTCAAGTCAGGTATTTCTACGTAAACCAAATTCTGTTTGTACATTAATTAAATATTTGAAATAAAGCTCCCGTATTTTCCTAAGTACATATAATGAATGCCATTTGAAAGTGTCAGTTATATAGCTACCCAAAATTTGGAGCCTCCATAATAGGCCCCATACACCTGCGAACAAATTGCGCAAACGGATGTTGCACAAAAAGTGGTTGTACAAACAAGGTGATCCACACACTATGCAATTTACTATGCAATTTTATGCAAACTTCAGTTGTGAGTTGTAGTCATGCACCTCAACATGCCGTCTAATGACGCAGCCTGTCTAGCTATAATAATTGCTGCAGCCTGTGATGTTGGCGTTAATAAAAGAAAACGGAAGCAGAGAGTTTGGATGAAAGAGTGGTTAAAGAAAAGATCTCTTTTTAGTCACGCAAATCTCCTTAAAGAACTTCAAGTGAGTTCACCTTTAGATTATAAAAATTATTTACGAATGAATTCCACTACTTTCGGCGAATTATTGGCTCTGGTAACACCATATATACAAAAAAAAGACACAATATTGAGAGAGGCGATATCTCCCAAGCAGAGATTGTTTGCTACTCTAAGATATCCTGCATCTGGACTAACATTTGAGGGTTTAAAATTTGAAACTGCGATTGCTGCTCAAACCCTTGGACATATTATCATCGAGACCTGTGAAGCAATCATAAAGGTTTTGAAGAAATATTTAAAGGTAATAAATGTATTACTTGATTATTCTTTTTAACATAAACCAGAAACTAAGATTAACATACTATATACTACTACTATATCCTTAGTTATATTGTGGGTCAGTGAGTAGTTCTCCTATTACCGTATATTGTAGTTGTGTAGTATCATCAGTTACCTGTACTGGGTTTGGAGACGGGAATGATGGGACAGAATTTGAATGTGACGAGAATGATTGGCAGGATGAAATTTCAAGGGGGGTACGTACAGGGGGTTCATTTATAACAACTGAATGTCTATGTAAAGTTCCCAAGCGCCCTTCATATAAAACATCATTTATGTCTTTTTTAGCATAAGTGCGAAGATGTTCGCAAGCCATCTTCAATAGTTCATTCCGTGTTTGTGATTCCTCAAATTCAGTTGATCCTTTTCGTTTGTTAGCTCTACGTTGTATAGGAGTAACCGGTACATCCATTTCTGAAAGTGTATATGTATCTGCGGCTGTATCTGTTTCTGGTGGTGTGGGCGATTCTGGAGCTGCATGCCTTCCTGGAGGTGTATTGGGTCCTTGACTACTTCTGTCTTGGGAAGAATCCTGCAACAAATAAAAGAGATATAGCATGCAGACATTTAAAATTACAAAAATAATTATAAAAATAATACCAACAAATAACACCATGCAAACTCCTAAAAATACAATTATAAAAATAACACCATGTTTTCTTTTCAGCTACCACAAAGTGAAAATGAATGGAGAAATGAGGCTGAAGCTTTGCGAGGAAGTGGAATTTTTCTCATTGTCTTGGGGCGATAGACGGCAAACATATGAAAATATTTAAGCCACCTGGAACTGGTTCATATTACTTTAATTACAAACATTCGTTTAGCATTGTTCTAATGGGAATCGTAAATGCAAATTATGAATTTTTGATGGTTGATGTGGGAGCAAATGGACGAGTCTCTGATGGAGGGGTTTTTTCCAATACAGCATTCTGTAAAAAACTTGTAGAAAAAGATCTGTGCATTCCTGAACCAGAAAATTTAACATCGACTAATATCAAATTGCCCTATGTTTTTGTAGGGGATGATGCTTTTCCACTTATGGAAAATTTGATGAAACCATTTAGCAAGAAAACCCTCAGCAACGAAGAAATGATTTATAACTACAGGGTGTCACGTAGCCGCCGAATCATTGAAAATGCGTTCGGGATACTAGCTTCTCGCTTCAGAATTCTGTTAAATGAAATTAACCTATGTCCAGAAAAAGCTGTCATCATAGTACTGACATGCTGCCACTTGCACAACTTCTTGCGACATTACAAAGTAGAGTCGTATTATCAAGGTGGCATAGATGTTGAAAACATAAATAGTGGAGAGGTTGCAAATGCTGATTGGAGAGCAGACCCTACATTATTACAACTACAGGCACTCCGAGGAAGAAACACTACCACTGTAGCAAAACAAATAAGAGCACAGTTTTGTAATTATTTTAATACTGTTGGAGCTGTTCCATGGCAGAACAAGATATTTCAGCAATAATTGTAAATTAATAATGTTAACTAGTTTTTTACCGATACTCCTATGAATAAAGAATTAAAATATAAATTGTTTACTTACTGCGTCTTCATTATCAATCTCATAAAATGGGTCATTCATGGTAGAGGTTCCAGGTACTTGGGTTTCTTGATCCCTCAAGAAATCTAATTCCTTGAAGTACCATAAGCTTGGTTCGTAAATACTTTCAGTTCCTGTCCCTGATTTATAACTTGCAATTACTTTTTTTAATTCTCTCCGATAGGCACTGCGTAAAACATTAATTTTCTTCCGCACCATCTCTCTGTCGGCATTAGGTTCGACTTCTTTAAGTTTTTCAACTAGTTTTTCATAAGCCAAATTCTTCATATTTCTATTCTTGTAGAGATCGCTCTTCACCTTCCATACTGCCGGTAACTGACGATATAAATCAATAAAATCGCTTAAAAATTCTTTGTTATTTCCAAAACAACCGCTCATTTTCAAAACTAAGCACGTGGAACTCGGACAAACAATCAGTTATTGCACAACGTGTCTGCAGAATAGCCCATATACTCTGCAACTAGTTGCGCAACGCCGCTGGTTGTGCAATAAAAATCAAACTATTTTGAATTTCTGCAACCCGTTGCGCAGCACGTCAAACAACCCCATACACTACACAATTGTTGGTACAACAGGCTCCGTTGCGCAATTTGTTCGCAGGTGTATGGGGCCTATAAAGGTGGTAGGTAGATATATGATCGATTCTAGGTATCACGTCCAAGGGGTGACTAGAGGATACCGTTTCTCGATTGTTGTTATTTTTGCTTTTTCTGTCATTGCCAGGTGAATAAACTATCTGCTTTATGGATAAACAAGATGCACGCATATTATGTTTTAGGGAAAACCGTCAGGTCCGATTGTCGTACGATCACGTACGCTTTTCACATGAAAGTTGCGTCACCGCCACACCAAATCATATGGATTAATCTTTTATTAAACGACACAATAGCATCAGGAATAAGTATTTTTAGTATATCATCGTTTATTATCTGGTAAAATCTCTCCTCCTCTGGGATGCATCTGGATTCATCCGGTTTCTTCAATCGAATATCCCTTCCTAGACCCTTTTGCTCGCAAAAGGTGAATCGCATGGATTCACGGTTCACGCAAGGATAACGGCCCACGCAGCTGACATCAGCAAAATTTGACAGTTATTTTTCATGGCCTCCACGAGCAGGGCATCTCCTGACGACGATGGCTACAAAAACATCACAGAGGAGGTGCATGTCTCCTACGGATCCAATACAAACCGTAAGTAGTATCGCTATTGATGACGACATACACAGATAACACTCTTATCACCTTATCAGTCCGTTGATGCTTTGTTTGCATAATGAGGTTATGTGTACGATGCTCAACTGCCTTATGTAGCTGGTGATAAGATTCAAAATCCTTTACTGTTTATTGGTAGAGGATTTTTTGTAAGAATTGTGATTTATGACTGGTATTTTTTTTTTTGATGAGATGAAACAAAAATTTGCAATGTCTTATCTGATGTGCTTGGGACTGGGAAGAACTACTCTCAAATGTTTTTGCGTAATGTCTTTAATGTTGCACTACTTTCTACTTCTGCCATATCACACTAGCCCAATAATACAATATCAGAACATTTTGGTAACAATAAGTATTATTCCTAATGTAATAGAGACAACTCTTCCAAAAAAATATACATTAATCTAATAACAACCAAGATAGTATTTTGTTTTAGCTTGTTTCTCATTAAACTTTGATCAAATTATCAATAGACAACAAATACCCTCCATAATAACAGTTGATATCCAAAGCAGCCTCAATTCTGTTATTTATGCACAAAATTTACATTTAGAAGCATTTTTTATTTAAAATTAACATTTTCATAATTTTTGTTGTAACAGATGCAATTGATGAGATGGGGAGTAGGTCAAGCCTCAGCAGAGATGACAACACAGAATTGGATCATTGGGAGATGAACTATCATGAAGCGGCCATCTTTCTGGAGGTAAATATTTACTATTTGGATTGTAATACTAGTATTCATTGAACTTTCATGTTTTAGGAAGGAGAAAACAATGAAAAGTTTGACTCTCACCCAAATCATCCTTCTGCTCTACCAGCTTACCTCCTTGTCCACAACCAATGGTATTACAGCTTTGATGTGGCATTTTCAATACTCCTGATCATGCTGGCAATTGTTGAGAAACCATCAGTTGACAGTTTCAGTTTTCCAGAGGCTATTCACAGCACATTAGAGCTGGTGGCTCTAGGAGTGATAGGAACAGAGTTGGCCTTGAAGCTGAGATGGATAGGTTGGAGCACTATCTTGAAGCACAAGAGGACCATGGTGAAGGTAAAAATTATGGAGATGACACAAAAAAAGTCACAGATGCAGATCTGGAAATGTCAGGGAAAATTAAGGTGCTTTGGAAAACAATGGAAATTGACAAATGTTCAGGGAAAATCACTGCAGTTTAGCTATTTTTGTCTTTCATTCACATTCTGACAAAGTTCAACTTTTCACATATCTCTTCCAATGGTAGAAATCCTTCTATCAGAGAAAAGGTATGTGAAAGAAAATTAAAAAAAACTGTTGGTAGACTTCTGGATTCTGAGTTTTCTTACTATTTTGGTTAATATCCATTGAGATGTGGTGTAGTTAGAGCAGTGAAAAATTTAATTTGAGTTTATGCGTGAAAGAGAACTCTTCCATAGGCATCACACTTCACTGATTTAAAATATTTCACTATTCCATTAGATATGTCAGAAGGTGGTTCCTTTGTCTCAAATGATTTCTAAAATGCTATTTTTCTTAGGCGGTTTTCAATAACAACTTTGTACATCACTGATACCAAGAGTGCTGATGGCTGGTTCATAGGGCATGTACATATACATAAGCGATAATGTATAAGTGGTATACATGCTGACACACCAGTCCTTTATTGAGCATTGCTTCAATATAGGATTAGCAAAAGTAATTTTTTGATACATGAACATTGACAATGCTCTGTTAGGGTTGTTGACATTTTGACACATTTGTTTGGATAAGACATATGATGACACCAACATCATGGTAATGGCACACATACATGCCTGCTTTATCATTCCAAATTTGACGTGACCATAACCAAAGACGGAGATCCGAATCATCTGATGCAATGTAGAGTTTCTGGCTGAATACTCAATCACCCTAAAATCAGCTGATCTACTCTATTTGAACCAGTGTGGATGGTAACATAGTCATAAAGCAGCTGAAAAAGAGTTAACAGTACACTCAGTGCTCCAACAATGCCAATGTATTGACACTATTATCGTTGCTGTTATTTACACTATAGGAGTCGCATTTACCCGATACACTGACGCTAAAAGCATACCATAGCACCTATTTTGCAAATACACCACACCTATATGAAACATATGATAAAACTCGCTCTTCCATTTCAGTGTATAACCCTGACTATCATGGTATTCGAAGCCATAACAGTATTGATACGACAGTCCTCGCATTTTCGTGTAACCAGAGCACTAAGGCCCCTTTTTCTGGTTGACACTCGACCATGTGGGGCAGTAAGAAGGTACTTACGACAGATACTGCAATCTTTACCTCCAATCATTGACATGCTCGGGCTGCTGATGTTCTTTGTTTGCTGTTATGCACTACTCGGATTCTTCCTCTTCAGCAATGATAAGAATCTCTACTTTAGAACACTTGGTGACAGTTTTGTCAGTATGTTCGTTCTTTTGACAACTGCAAAGTAAGTATACAGGGAAAACCAAATTTATCTGACGGCTTGTGTTCAATGTATACGAGAGAGATGTGTGTATCAACACACGTTAAAAAGAGATGGAAAGCCGGCTCAAGAGTGAAGATCATCACCACATTGCCTGCGACGGTGACGCAGAAGGTCGTGCAATCTACCGCGTTGCGAATCTGTTACACCAGAAAATATGTGTTCAGTTACTGTCAAACCCAAGAAGAAGGTCTTTTCGAACATTTACTATTTTGATTAAATTTATTTCAATTTTGATGCGAGTGTTTTAATTAATTTATCTTAAAATTATCGTTGATTTCCACCGATGGTGATAAAATCAACACATCCTGAGTTATTTTTACATTTTGCGACAACGAACGGTCAGAAAATGTAATAAATACCTAGGTGAAAACCATTACGAAGCAGAAAGACACTCCCCTAAGAGCGCTAGGTGGGTACTGACTATGATCATGGTAGTGGAAACCTTGCCTTGGACTTTACGAGATGCGTTATTGCCAAGCGAACCAATGATGCAATGTTTCCGAATTTGTGGCGATCGTGACCTTTCATTTCGACCTAAAATGAAGCGCCGTTAGGACCGATTGAGAATCGATCCTAGACACAATTCACAAATGTGTACGCTCAAAATAAAACCGTTATTTGGGCGTAGAGAATAAACTTACGTATATTTTCAACATGCATCTTAATTCAAGGAACTGGTGTAACATATTGGCAATGCAGTGATGAGCTTCACTAATCCAGCCGGCATCTATCTTTTTCTAACATATGTGTCTATTCACACATGTGTCTCGTATACATTGAGCTCAAGACGTCAGACAAATTTGATTTTTAGAGTGTAGGTATAAACAATTTCATACTAAACGCGGCATAGTTGGGGACTTTGAAATTTACTTTTTGGATAACGTTTCCCATGTCATTGTACTTGCTTTTTGATTTTAGCTTTCCAGATGTTATGATGCCGTCATATGCAGAATCAAAATGGAGTGCAGTTTTCTTTATATCATACATTTCGACTGTCCTATATGTTCTAATGAATTTGGTGAGTTACTGAATGACTTTAAGAATGTGTAAATTTCTCATAATAACGTTTGTTTTTTTTAGATGTTGGCCGTCGTTTACGAAACATTTACTGGTATTGAGAAAGATAAGTTCAGAAAACTATTACTGCACAAAAGACAAGCCTGCAAGCTTGCATTCAGACTACTTGTCAGCAAACAAACTCCAAATAATGTGAGATTCAAGCAGTTTCATGGATTGATGAGATATTATTCTCCAAAGACAAGTAAGTTTTATGTTACTAAAATCTTTTCAAACCATGTTATAAGGAATACGAAGTTTTCAAAGTGTTTTTTTATTTGATGAACCTAGACAAGATGTACAGTTTTTTTTTGTATTGCCGTAGGTTTGCGAGACACGGTACTCATATTTAGGCAGCTGAATGCATCGGGTAACGGACTTTTGACACAAGAAGAATTTTTAAACATTTACGACGCTGTGACGTTGAAGTGGAGAAACAAAAATCCTTTAGACCCTTGGTTTTCTGCAGCTTGGCCTCCACTGAGAATGTTCTGTAGACTTTCTAGAACTTTGGTTACGTGGAAATACTTCGAGTATATTATTTGTGAGACATTTATTGACTTAATAATTTTCCATCACTTAAATGTTTCATGTTGTAGATGTTTTAATAATGTGCAACGGCATTGCAATGCTGTTAAGAGTCAGTGGTGACTTGCATCATCTAGATGATGCGGCAAGGAAATTTGCTGCTTCCTGGGACACCTTTTTATTCTTAGGATGTGAGTAATAATATTCTTGAGTGTAAACCCTCTACAGCCATCAAGAAATCAAGTTTAAAGCATAACCTAATTTTCCTTTTTAATTCGCTTTTTACGAAGCCATAAAAAGAAACATATTGATTGACAGATGCGCTATAATGTTGGTGGCTTGAAAACATCAAGAATCGGTTTTGATCGACACAATTTTTCTATTTAGCTATGACGTTGTCAACTATATCCCAGTCATTACCTTATTGTAGCATATTACCCGGCTGTAAGTAGACCCATACACTTGTCAGAATTTGTCATTAGATGGGCTACAAAATCGGATAATAATTGGTGATGAAATTGAACGCAACGCGGCAGCTTATGTTACTTACTGTAACGAAAACACCATTTTTGCCATTTTAAGACCAATTTATTACACTCACACTAATTACTTACAACACTTGCAGCTAATTTATTACAAACTTATGACTATCGCGTGTCGCGCTGCTGAATCATCATCGACTCTACTCTCTATTCTGTCCTAGGCGCGGATTTATTTTCAAATCGTCGAATTCCAGATGCATCCCGCGCTTTCTAAGCAGAACGTGAGCCTACGTTGTTTGGATACTACTTCTCGATGGGTGTAGACCACTCGAGGACGCGGAGAATACTCACGATATTCTGGTAGCCTAAGCGCCTTTGTACGAAGGTGCCTCACAAAGTTCTAGTTACGAGAGCGTTACATTGCATTCGGTAGGATTCCGATCATTCGGCGATCTGGCGGTAATATATGAAAGTATCATCGGAATCCAAACAACGTGTTTTTATTATCTGGGCCATACTAAAAATATTACCGCGTAGTACATAGTCAAGCTGCTATTGTTGCCATTGTAGCTGGCCACTCTAATGTAGCTACACAATGCAGTAAATATATTGTACGTTTAGAAGCGTCTTTATTGAAATACACTTCTCTTGTTTTAGTATTTTTGTTAGAAGCTATCTTGAAAATGATAGGGCTTGGTTGGTCAGAGTACATTTACTCTGGGTGGAACTTTTTCGATCTTCTTGTTACATTGTTGGCATTAGGTGGATCTTTTCTGATACTGATGATACCAGGCTTGACTACAGTTGTAATCCTAAGGCCACTAAGGTATGTCATGATTGCTTGACGAAAATTCTTAGAGATTTCTATTATACCCTTTCTGTTTTTAGGTTGTTGCGTTTGTTCAAATTAAAGAAACGTTACCGAGACATATTCGGCACTCTGGTGCTACTTTCTCCATTAATGTGGTCGACAGCTGTAGTAATGATGGTGATGTACTACTTTTTTGCCATCATAGGAATGGAGTTATTCGCTGAATATGATTTGAGAAATTGTTGCGCGTAAGTATACTAGTGAAAATTTAAAAATTGAATCATTTTTTTACTTCGCCACTGGCGAGGAAGTACTACAATTAAGAAAAAAAACGAAAATGAGATGTGTTTTGGATATCATATCACATCTACATCATGAAAAACAATGTCACTCATTTCCATCAGTCTGTCAGTCCGCTAATACTAGGCCCATCTATAACTTGGAAGGTACCACTCAGATTTTAATGAAATTGTCACACAAGGCTTTTGAAAATTTATTGAGGGGTAAAAAATTGGGAGGTTGAGAAGGGTGTATCGCGCTTCTAGCAATAATTCTACATGCCTACTAGGCATATTTCGCACATAGTCGTATATTTCTCCGTATATTCGTCCTTGTCTTAAAATTATATAAACACCTTTTATATGTGTAAAGAGTGCGCTAGAATCTCCTGGGAGAACATGCACGCGATGAATTTGTTACCTGAACAGCTGATAAAAAGTCAATGACGCTTCAGCGATGTAACTATTTTGAAGACCAGGGCAATATAATTTATTCAATATAAATTTGGTGAGATTAATATAGGGCTACGTTATTCAAGTTTGAAATAACGAATAGATGTTCAGCAACCTTCTACGAATATGAAGATGTTTCGTGGGATGAATAATCTCATCTATTTTAGTACCTTTTCCTCAAGCAATTAATACCAGGATGTACGAATGTGGTCCCCGATTATTATAAAAAAATAATAAACATTTACTCCAATTATATTCATTATATTGCATGACTCGCTGTAAGGGTTTCCGTAGCTGGCCAATAGTAAAGATTCCAGAAAGTAAAAGTTGATTTGTGAGTAAGTCCATTTAATTTTTTTTAGTATTTTTATTGCTGATATTTGTTCTACTCTACAGCCTTATGTCAGGGTGCAATTATTTTCATAGTTGACCAACGAACCATATAGATACCAGAGCATACAAAACTTGATTCAGACACTATAAATGATGCATCTACAAAGTCCATTCGCCCAGAATTATGTGGAAGGCACAGATTCAACCTACTTGACTCCATTCTGTCTTCATTTGATACGTGTCTCGTTTTTTCTCTTCATTTGCTCAATATTTAAAATTCTACTGACCTATACCTGCTACCACATGTAGAGTGACTAATCGTTTACGATAAATTAAATTAGTATAGTGGCGACAAAACGGAAAGGTGCTTGATTGAACAATTTGTTTCAGGAACTCAACTGTGGAGGACTTCTACAAATTCAACAGCACAAACAGTAGTACAAGCGGCATAGGCTATTATTACCTAAACAACTTTTCGAATCTCTTTGTATCAGGCGTAACACTGTTTGAACTGACGGTTGTCAATAATTGGTTCATCATAATGGATGCCTATGCTTCAGTGTCCAACAAATATTCTAGGCTGTATTTCATGATGTTCTACTTGTCCACGATGGTTGTTCTGACGATTGTGGTAGCTTCTGTCTTGGAGGCATTCAGGTTTAGGATACAGTATAAGAAGCAGACGTCAAAAAGGGATGGTATGTAGGTTCATTATAAACAAATATATACAGGGTCCGTCAGAAAGAACGCATGTTTTTCGAATGGGTACTACATCGAGTGGGCTGGGCCCGTGTCGGTGGGGAAGGGTGTGTTGGATAGTGGAAGAAGTGCCGTTTCAGTTGGCAAGATGGTTTGGAACGTTGAGCATCGTGTATTCACTGTACGTCGGTACTTTCAAAACGGCGAGTCTGTCGTTCGAACTCAACGTGAGTAACAATTACATGACGTTGTTTATGAGTGATGAAGCACATTTTCATTTACATGGATACGTCAATAAACAAAATTGTCGATATTGGTCTCCAGTGAACCCCCAACAGTTGCATGAGCACCCCCTGCATACCCCGAAAGTTACAGTTTGGTGTCCAGTAGGCCCAACGATGATTATTGGCCCTTATTTTTTTGAGGATGATTGAGAAACAACTACTGTGAATTCAGAGCGTTACATCCACATGCTGAACAACTTTTTTCCGGAACTTCGACATCAACGTGTCCGTCACAGAACAGTGTGGTTCCAACAAGACGGGGCAACATCTCGCACTTCAGTGGAACTTCTTCGGCAAAAATTCCCAGGACGCCTCACTTCCCAGACCTGTCAACGTGTGATTTTTTTATAACTCTACCTGAAATCAAAAGTTTACCAAAGCAAGCTTCGGACCCTCGTCGATTTGAAGGAGGAAATAAGAAGAGAAGTAACCCAAAGTCCTGCACGGATGCTGGCCTACGAAATGGGCTCATTTCGGGAGAGGCTTGATTCCTGCATCGGCTCAAGGGCGCCATATGGCCGACATAGTTTTTAAAACGTAAATTTTGTTTTACTCAAAAAATGGCGTTTCAGAGTATTTGTATATAATAAAATATTTTTCCCATACTTATTTTGACTGTACTACGCGTTTAAAAACCATGCGTTTTTTCTGACAGACCTTGTACTTTATGGCGTTTCGATTGACGTCCAATCATCATCAAGCACTCAGTTGACGATTAAAGTTGCATCGATTAAAACGTCTTGTAGTTCTCAAAGCAAAATTTCCACTTTCGCCTCTCGTTGTTATGAGCGGAAAAAACTCTGCATACTAATGGTGGGAGTTTCTGGAAATCTAGACATAGATGGCGCTAGTTAGGTTGAAGGTCAAGTCTAGGGTTATAAAAGGACAAATGTCAATTGCTGTTCACGTCAAAACATGTTGATTTCATGAAAAATAGATTACGGTTCTATCAAAATTGTCTTTTTCCCATCTACTTTTGACAGTCTGACCTCCAACTGCGCAAGCGCCGCCAACCGGGAGCAAAATTCGGCATTGCTGCCATTTGGGACGCTCATTTCGAATGGATCCTTAAAAAAATGTCACCAAGCCCTATTGTGAGTGGAAAATGGGAGTTTTAGCAATTTCACCATTTTGCAGAGGAAAGAATGTTACACGAGGAAGTTGTTATTGACTGGTATTCGCTACAAGCACAAGTGAAAGATGTAAAATTACTGGAGATACTTCAAGTAGATTTTGTAGTAGGGGTAAGTTGAGAGTTAGATACATTTAACACTCGGATTTTGAATATGGAACTCCTAAAATCTATTCAACAGATAGCTTATGAGAGTAATCTCCAGATCTCCACATTTACCGGAAGACTGCTTTGCCGATACTTTTTTGCATGTGTAAATTACGCATTGCCGATAGCAATATGTATATCAGCAATCTACCTTTTCCAATAGGCGTGTTGCATGTTCCTTTGTACATGTATAATACTTGTCAGGCACGTGACATCACCATGTCTTTCACAAAAAAATGCTTGAATTGACAAGCCATACGTCGTTGTATATGTAGCCGTCACGTGTTTGTGACCCACGTAGTCACTCGTACCAAAATACACTGAATTGTTTACGGCCGATAAAGCCGAGTATCGGCCTCTGATATATCGGTAACGGCGGAAATCCTATATCATCAGTCGATCTCTAATATAAATAATATAAACAATGATCATTGAAATTCATTTTTCTGACAGGGTACAGTCGCATACATAGGCAGAAGAAGACGAACGAGAGACGTCTTGCAGCGACACATGTATTCCATTGAAATAAAACAGTGGCTAGAAGAGGCAGAATTAGAAGAAAGAAATGATATTAACAATATTATAGAGGAATCGCAGATCAATGCTAGATTGATATCTGCTTAGCTTTCATTAGTAGTCGTAGAAACTGATATTTTTTCATTTTTGTTTCCTCATGATCTTATGGACCAATCATGCTTTAGTAGGTCACTAAAACAGTATGTGTGCTTCCTGTGATTAAATTGAATGTATAGATATATTTAGGCACAAAATTCACAAGTAACTGCCAGAAAAGAATAGTGTCGTTGAATCAACAAACACTTTAAAGCACTGTATATGTGATCATCCTTGTCTCCTGTGCAATACAAAATATTAATAAGGTCAATTTTAAACTGATATCAAAGCACCTAGATTTGAAAAATCTAAATGTGCAAACTAACCAAAGTGTCTTTAGCTAAAAGTTTAGTTTAGCTCTACTGTATACAGGGAGTTCCATGCTTGAATGGATATAGCGAAATGGTCGGTAGTATGGGCCGAGACCTTTTCATATCTGGAAATCAAAAATGTCTAAATTCAGTTTTCACAGATATATAGGGTGAAAACTCACATAACTCAATAACTTAGACTAGACAGGCGGTTAAAAAATCCAGGGTCGGACTCGATTTTTTAATTTACTTTTTTATGTTATACCGACTAATTTGTTTAACTATGTGCAAAAAATCTGATGAATGATGCTGATTAATCAGCGCAATAGATTGTGAGGTGTTGATTTTGATAAAAAAAAAGAAAAAATCAAGCCTGGCCCTGGATTATTAACCGTCTATCCTTTTTTCACATTGCTCCTAGACAACTTTAATATCGCGCAAACATTCAACAAAATCACCCTGTATATCCGTAAAAAGTGGACTTGAACTCTTTTATTTTCAGATATAAAAAGGTCTCGGTCCATGCTACCTACCTTTCAATATGTCTCATTTAAGTTTGCAACACCCTGTATGAAATGTATATTCAATGGTATAACCTAGTATACCCGTTGTGATAGGAAATAAAATATATTCGTATGTGTAACATTATATACAGCTAGTCGTTGTCATCACATTGATTTTTTATTCTTGTATCCTCATATAATTATTAGGATTTACTTTTCCAGTATTTACTTATTTGTAAATAATTATGTTTAGTTGATCCAGTATTAATTTTAATGTTTATACAACTATGTATTTATTTTTATCATTATTTAACAATAATAAACTACTTTTATTCATTTTCGTCAATATCTCGGAAACTGAAATCATGTTTTTTCCCATTATTTGTTTCTGTTTGGAATCTACCTAAACTGTAGATCAGGAAAGGATATTTAGCTACGAACGTGTATTAATAGCGAAATCAGACGGATCAAGATAGAGAAATAGTCCAATACAATTAGTCCCTACATATTCGACACCGTTGCGATCCAGAAATTTCTCCTCCGCCCTACCGACAACATTGCGATTAGATTGACGATATGAGTAAACTGCCAGCTCGCCTTTGTTGCTCTCTATGCGGGTATTGAAAATATTTATAATCAATTTAAGTAATGCAGCAAAGGTATGGGGAAAATCTATGTGTGAAATCTACCTAATAGGCGCGTCCAATAACCGGGGTTAAGATGCCTATAATATAATAATGAAAAAGTTGAGATATACCCACCCCCGGCAACCACTCGACTATAAAACTGTTTACCGTCAAAAAATGTCCATAAAAGGACTAGTTGTCAAAACGCAAAAACTACTAGCTTTGCTGGCAATGGATCGATTTTCAAAAACTATAAAGCGTTTTCGTCGATAGAATAGTAGTAACTTTGTGCCAACATTCCATCAAAACTCGAGCAGTGCTTCGAGAGTAGAGGTACAAAGACTCAAGACTTTTTTGTATCCTAGTTGAATAATTAATTTTTCTGAAAAGAGAACATCACAATTAACATTTAAAGAACCTCGTTTTATATTTACATTATTAATGGCCATTTGTTTGATAAAAAGAACAGTTACATGGCTGTTTGAAATGATTAGTTAACCTACTTTTCACTTACCTTAAAGGCATAAGTAATTTCTGCCTAACTGTACATATGAATCTTCATTTAGATTCTGCATACAACTCTTGGTATAGCCAAAATGAAAAGAGAGATTCAAGTAGCTCTACATACATGTGACAGCAATTTACAAATTATTATTTCATGCTCAGTACCATTCACACCACAAAGGTAGAAGGAACAGTATTGAAAAATGAATTTTCAAAGTGTAATTTTGATTGTTTCTTTGATTTTATTGGTGACTGTTAACTCCAGTGATGCAAAGAGGAAATCAAATATTCTCAGACAGAAAGAAACAAATCCTGTAAAATTCATTAGGTAAGCAGGTTTTTTTAATTACACATAGTCTACACAATGTTCATCAAGTAAAATTTTATGATTGTAGATATTGGTTTGACATTAGCTTGCATACACAGAGGGTTACAAAATGTCAGGAAAATTTAGGGCAGATTCAGCATATAGCTATACGACAAAATGGTCGTATCAGGTAACCAAATAAGTTCGTGCGGTTGCTGTATATCGCACATTGCATGTTGTTGATCGATAGCGATTGTTGGTTACCTGTTGTCACTTTAGTGTGAATCCTTCTTTTCTCACACACATAAAAAGTTCAGAGTGAGTCCTGAAACTACTCGTTTGCATCTTCATCAGCTAGGAAAGACGTGGAAGTTAAGCATGAACCACATGAACTGAAATATGATAACAAATTAAGTCGTCTTACCATTTGTTCAGCAAACATTCCACGCAACGCTAATGAACCATTTCTTAATCGGTTATTGACCTGCGACGAAAAATCGATCTTGTAATCGAATTTTAAGCGTTCGTATCACTGGTTGTCGTCTACTAATTCGGTGCCAGACACGCCCAAGACTTCCTTGCACCCAAACAAGGTTTTGTTGTGTGTTTGGTGGACAGCAACTAGAATTGTCCATTATGAGTTTTTGGAAAGGGGTCAAACCATCATTGCTAACTTGTATTGTGAGCAGCTTCAACGAGTACAAGCAGCCCTCATCCAGAAACCGTCTCCTTTTATCTATCGGAAGAACGTGATATTCTTGCAGATAACGCCAGTCCTCATACCGCAAGAGTGACCCGAGAATAAATTTCTGAACTCGGCTGGAAAACGTTACCGCAACCCCCATATTCTCCCGACCTTTCGCGCAGTGATTATTACCTTTTTTTTGACTCTTGACAACTGTATGAGGCACCGGCAGTTCACAACTCGAGTTGGTGTAATAAATGCAATCCGCCAATTTTTTGACTCCAAATCCAGGGAGTTCTACAATACCGGCATACAAAAATTGGTCTTTGAATGTGATGGTAATTACTTCGACGAATAAATAGTGTCTTATTGTTTCTCAATAAAAATTTATATTTTTCTACTAAAAACCGCACGAACTTATTTGGTTACCTGATAAAAACATGGTGCAGAGATTCCCATTTCCACAAAATAGTGTTTAAGATTCACAAAAAATTGTACACAACTGGTTGTTGGAAAAATAATTAGTTTTCTGAAAGCCATATTAATTGTTTCTAGCTCAATTACTATTTTTAATAATGAAATAGTAATTATTGTTCCAGAAATTGTGCAACTGTATGTTAATCTTGCACATCAAGTTTCTAAGTAGAATTCATCTGGCAAAACCTGTGAAGCATAGCCTTTCTGTAAATTTACGAGACTTACAGGGGTCGAACACCATTAATGTGTTTTAAGAAAAAATGTTATATATGTTTATAGGACCTCTGTGTCATTGGTTATGGTTAGCAAACATGTCCATTTCAAGCTGAATATGTTCATTTTCTGCAATCCACTAGATTCATGCGCATGGAAAAGTTGTTTCAAGTCTAACTTTAAGATGGAATGGCTATAGCGATCACTTTTTTTATAGATTGGCAGTAATGAGATTGGTATATGGAGTAGCAACAAGGCTTGGTTTTGGTGAGCAAATATCAGAGGCATTGAATGGAGCTTTTGTACCACCAGGAGTTGAAGATTATGATGATGATGCAGGAGGCTTAGGACTCTTTCAAAGGGATGATAGTGATGAGTATTTTTAGTTAAAAACTTGTATACAAATTTATTTATTGATTATTTATAAATATTTAATTAAAGATAATAAAACAACTTAAGAATTATTCTACAAACCACCAAGCTGTAATAATCAGCCATTATCAGGTTTTAGATCACATTTCTTAGAATGAGGAAAAGATGCAACGCATTGCTCAGATTCTACCAGGAACTATCCTAGATGAGGCTTTTATTATTTCAGAGCCAGATTGCAATTGGCTAGTGGGAGTTCACCTATGGACTCTGGGATAGTTTCCTGTAAAAAAATAAATAAAGCAAAAGATTTGATAAACCTAAATGTTTAAGACATTTTAGGGTTTATATGCCCATTGCTTTGGATATTTTGATTTGGGTTCTGATCCAAGCTGCCATTCACAACAGGTGTCATCAGTAACCTACTCCTCCTACGTGTATAATGCTGCCACAATAATATCTGCTGATCATCTATGAATTTTGTGCACTGAGCATTCACAAGTTCTCTTCTGAAATGTTCATACTGCAGTAGATCCAAGAAATACAAGCACATTGGGTACTTTAGGAATTTTGCATAGTCCGGCTCTTTCCAGTACAACAGGTACTTTAGGTAATTGATGAATGTGCTGTCTTTGAAGTATCCTCTTTGAGCTAGAACTGAAAAATAACGCTTTATTAGAAACTCAGTAGAAAATGCTAGTTTGAACCTACAATTGAGATAGTTTGGATTTCCTAAACATTGGACGAATTCTAACTCCACCTGGAACCTCAGCTTTTGCTGTTCTTCAGTTTCTGGAACACCTGCAACATAATTCCAGCCTACAGAAGAATATAATTTTAAATTCTTTTTATTTACAAACTCACCTTTTCCCGTCAAACCAGCCATTTTATATTGACGTTAACCTAGAGTGTCATCTTCTTATTACAACACGTGACCTAGACGGTGATCCCGTATGATAGTATTATAGAACTGGACTGATGGATATGTGGACATGTAAAAAAAAAACATACAACCTCCTTACATTCATTATTAAAAATATAAAATTACTCAGAATCAGAATGATAAAATTCATTTGCATTATCTAACGGGAGTTCTATATCCATATTATTGTAGCATCCTTTGTATTTTCTGACAAGGTCACCCCACAAAAAAGTATCTTTACATCTTGGACACTGTCTTTCTACTGGTACATATTCTCCAGGTTGTAGATAATATTCTGATAAGCAGATTATGTGAGAATTCAGATCACAGTTTTCACTCAGACATCTTATTTGCTTTTCATCAATTAGTTCATAACAAATGTTGCATAAGTTCAACACCTGCTCTTGAACAGTAGCCTTTTTAGCGCTATTCATTTTTTTGCTTATCACTGGACCATGACATATAGGCATATGGATTGGTGGCTGTTTGTCAGCCTGAAAATAAAAAAAAACAAATGTGAAACAAAACATTAGAAAGACATTCAGCATGAATTTAGTCACAATGTGGAAAACAAACATACTGGAAATGGTTTCACAAATTCTTCATTTAGCCATCTCACTGTAAGAGGTAATCTACACCAAGGAGGGACAGTTAGCATCTCTGAGAGAACTCTTAGATGAAAATCGTAAACCTTTTCTCTTGGTTTCTTTTTGTGTACCTGACGAAGTCTTCTAGATATGTGAGGATGCTGCCATGCCCATTCAAACTAAAAATGACCAATGTCAACAGATAAAAAATGCTTTATGCAGACACTTCTTACTCTTAAGGCTGATACATTATTTGGAAATCCATGAATAATCAACACCATTGTCCTTAAAGGAGACATTATAAAAATGTAGAATAATTCAAGAAGAAATTTACTCACCAAGGTCCTCTACTACTAGTTCTCCAGGCTCCCCCATGTTTTTTGCCCTTGTTATGTTGTTTTATCCTCCTATTGGGATCTACTGTGTATCCCACATAAGTACGACCCTTATATTTAGGATTTAAGCAGTATAGAAGGTATACACCAAAAAATTGTTCAATAACTCTAGCTTCACTCATAGCTTTTTAACTGCTACATTGTTTGCAGATATCGTAACTTGAAAGAATAGAGTATTCTTGAAAGGCCATTGTTCCTATTTTTGACCGCGAACTAGAAATCTAAACATAAACAAAACAACACAACACACAACTGTTTCAGCGGCTTGAACACCTGTTGATTTGATTGATTTGAACTACAACCACAGTCTTATGTGTTCTGTGGTTTTGACCAAGTAGGTTGTAATATGTAGTTCACAAATGACTTTTTGGAAAGTCGGCGACGGATTGAAATGTTGTCGTAGTCAACTAACATATGTCAATTCAAACATGTATGGTTAGTTTGATTTCATTTAAATTTTGGCGATGGAATTTTCCGAATTAATAATTACTCCAAAAGTTGACGGCGTAATCCTACATAGCCCATTTCAAGATCCTATAGATGGGACACTTTGTATCACTGGGCATCATTTGATTCTCTCCTCTAGAAAAGAAGAGGTACAGGAACTATGGGTGAGTTGATACTTCACTATCTGCTTTGCCTTCATTGACTGAAACTTTATCTGCCGTAGCTATTACATCAATGTATCGACATGGTAGAGAAAAAACCATCCGGTAGCAGTTCGTCCCAAAATGGAGGTTCGATTATTTTGAAATGTAAAGATCTACGGACTCTACAGTTGGATATTGCTCAACCAGAAGACTTTCACAACATATATCTATCGATATTACGTCTCTCTAATCTAGAAAAACCTGAATTACTCTATCCATTCTTTTATAGACCTATGTACAGCATCTTAGAAGATGGTTATACTCTCTTTGGACCTGAAGTTGAATTTACAAAGCTCTTGGCAAGTGAGGAATGGAGATTATCTCATGTTAATAGGACCTACTCTGTGTGCAGTAGTTACAGTTCATTGCTTGTAGTACCAAAGAATATAGATGATGACACAATCACAGCCTCTGCTAACTTTAGGCAAGGGGGTAGATTCCCAATTTTAAGTTATAAGCATGACAATGGGACAGTATTGTTAAGAAGTAGCCAACCTTTATTGAATGGATCTAACAGGAGATGCAAAGCAGATGAAAAGATTTTAAATTCAGTGCTTGGTCCATATAAGAAGGGCTACATCATTGACATGAGGAGCTCCTCATATGTAAGCAATTGCAAAAGCAAGGGAGGAGGTACAGAACCGGATGGTTACTATAATCAGTGGAAGAAAGTTTTTAAGCCTTTAGATAAGATTTCTAAGTGTGATGGATCTGTGATGGAGCATATTTCTAAAATGGTAGATGGTAAGTAAACTTCCAAAAATGAGGTATTTTTCAAGCATAGTTGACTATGATGCTATTTCTGTAACATTAAAGAAATGAAAAAATACTGTTATTGTTAAATATTAATTATGCATATCTTTTAATTGCAGCTTGTGGTGATACAAATTCCACTTCTGATAAATGGCTCTCTAGATGTAGTAACTGGCTAACACATATTCAGAATGCTTTGAATGCAGCATGTCTTGTGGCTCAATGTTTGGACAAAGATGGTGCCTCAGTATTGGTGCATGGGTCTAGTGGGCTTGATGCCACACTTATTGTCACCTCAATTGCTCAGGTCATTCTGAATCCTGATTGCAGAACTGTAAGAGGTAAATAAGCTTTCTATTAATTTTGATATTAATATTAATCCCCATATTCTTCAAGATTCTATATCAAAAAAAGATAACTCCTTATTCTTCCCTTTTTTATCCCCTTCTTATCCATAACTATGATTGAGATCTGGGTAACCAAACCTCACAAACTTACTACAAATACAAGGATCTACAGAAAGAAAAACAGTAAATCAGGGAAAAATAAAAAAAGTCATATATGTAAACACATTTTTTTAAATATCCTCAAAAACTTAATTTGATTTCCACCAATTAATTCAAACAGTTCAGAATATTGATGACTAAATTTTTGTAAGCCTAGTTTATTTGTAACTTTCCTTTTATGGTATTCTAGGTTTGCAGGCTTTGATAGAAAGAGAATGGCTACAAGCAGGCCATCCATTCCATACAAGGCATCTGAAGTTCTGCTTCTATAATTCTAAAACAAAAGGAGTCCAGCCAACATTTCTCATTTTTTTGGATTGCATCCATCAACTACACCAGCAATTTCCTTGTAGTTTTGAATTCAAGACTGACATGCTCATACTCATTTTTGAACATTCATACTGTAGTCAATTTGGTGAGTTGAATAGTCCAGAAAAAACAAAATATCTGAAAATACTATAAATAACCTACAACGATACACTTGCAAATAATCTAAGTACTCAACTGCTTCTTGTGGTGTGTTAATTATTTAGTAAAATAAATCAGTTTTTGGAATGAATGGATCTTCCAGAAACCCAAATATATATTCAAAATCACAAAAGATGACTGTTACATCATATGATAAATAATTGTACTGAAGTAATCAATGGACGTATGTCGATGATAAAATCATGGTGTCAGGAACATAATGACAACAAATTTATATATTATGATTTTGCGAAGCTAGGTTATTTCACTGATTATTTTTATTTTCATTTTATTTCATGGTTTTGAGTGATTCCTTAATAATAATTTTAGTGGGGAGTTTTTGTTTTGAAAAAAACAGTTATGATTAGAAGACAGAAACACGAAAGACCAAAGTATTATTCGAAAACAACCTAACCTGCTTTAACATAAAATAACTACTGATCTTTCATATATGATCGATCATGCAACATGAAAACATCGTCTATCTTTGTCCCATACATGCAAATTAGCAATACAGTTTGTTTAGACAATACAATTCTGTCTCTCTCTGTCTTGTCTCTAACATATCAGAAACTTCATTAAAAATATTCACAAATCGCTGTCGTTTGTCTTTACTACAGTCTAAAATGATGACGTAATCGTCATCTTTCGTGATTTCGACTATATACTCGTATAAATATATATATATATATATATATATATATCTCAAGATATATATATAAGATATATATATATATATATATATATATATATATATATATATATATATATATATATATACTTTACCGAGTACCCGGTAGTCAGCGTTTTGGAAAAAGTAGTACTTGGTGCATCCCTAGTTTTTATAAGGATTTTGCTTCCATATAAGAAAAAACAACACTGATATTGATGAAACAATCAATTGTAAATATTTCCAGGCAAGTATATTTGTAGAAATGACAACCATTTAACTAGATGGGTGTTGATTTTTGCTAATAAAAGTTAATTGTATGCAACAAAAATCTTGAGACTTTTGACTAAAAAAAAATTTGTCAAACAGTACATGTGACCTATTTCCATTTGCAGGATTATTAAGCAAAACTACTGTTTGTACTCCTTAAACAAATTGGTATCATTTCACATTTCTATGACGTCAGTATTTCTGGTGCTGCCACCACAAAATAATTGCCTGTTCACAACAATGCTCTGCTCAAACTGGTGCGGTGGCGATCACATAAAATTTGTTAATTGCCGAGCGTTTATAAAAGCTTAAAAAGGAATATGAAATATGGAATGAGAATGTCCTATTTGCCAGACTGGTTGACTCAGCATATTTAGCAGAGGTGTGTGTCGATGCTTAACTGTCACATTGAAAGATGAACTTCAGAAATGTGCCATATAATGTGATTTAGGCAGGTTGGGAAACATAACAAAGATAAACGATTTCCCGCCACGAAAACTTAGTTTTTGCTTCTTTCAAAAACTCAATATACAGGGAAAACCAAATCTGTCGGCTTCAGTTCAATGTATACGAGAAGTGTGTATCAACACGTTAGAAAGAGATAGAAGCCGGCTGAAGAAGCTTATCACCACATTGCCAAGGAACGGCGACGCATGTTACACCAGAAAATGTTCGCACGGGCTTTTACATTAGGTTAGGTTACTGTCAAGCCCAAGAAGGAGGTCTGTTCGAATATTCAATTCAATATTTTGTTTTCATTTTGATTAGAATTATTTATTTCAATTTTGATGCGACTTAGTGTTTCAAATTATTATAGAACCGTCTTTGATTTCCACTGATGGTGATAAAATCGAGCGGTCGGGAAATTTAACAAATACCATTACGCAATACAAATTATCAGTACCTGCGTGTACGCAGACAAAAACCATTTCGAAGCAGGACGACACTCCTCAATGAGTGCTAGATGGGTACTGACCAAAATCGCTCATCTTTGATCAATCTGACAGAATTTGAGGCGATCATGAGCTTTCATTTCATCCTAAAATGGAGCGCCGTTACGACAGATCCGGAATTAGCAACGCGACAGGTTGCTGCGTCAACGTTGCTAGGCAACGCCGTGAAAAGCTTCGCTATCCAGTCGGCGTCTATCTCTTTCTAACATATGTGTCTATACATACTTCTCTCTCGTACACATTGGACTCAAGCCGTCAGACAAATTTGATTTTCAGTGTATACGAATTGGAGCATGTCTCAACATTTCAGTTCACTTGAGTAATGTAAACAAATTCTTAAACAGAAACAGGTAAACGAGCTCATTATTCACATAGTTGTAAAGTATTCCTTTTGAAATGTACTATAGTTGATATATTTCTAGGTACATTTCTGGCGAATTGCGAGAAAGAACGCGTCCAAATCGAGCTCTTCCGCAAAACGACAAGTTTATGGTCGTACCTGAACCGCCCTGATGTACTTACTTCTCTCCTGAACCCCATCTATGAGCCCAACAGGGCTCCTATTTGGCCCAGCGTCGCTCCTGTCAGTTTAGAGCTTTGGACCGACTTTTACTTGAGGTGGGTGGTCGATCAACAGCAACAACGCAAGGCGGGACAGAAAGTACAGAAGTTGGTGCAACACGCCAAGGATCTCAGAAGCCAGGTTTGTTTAGAGTGTAAAGCTTACGGATGGCGACACAAAATTTCTACACTATTTACCAATATTTCTCCACTCCATACATTCTGGCATCTATTTTTCTCCTTGCGTTGAGTTTCTACTATTGGCAACAGTATGATTCAGTAATATATCAGAACAATTTTTGCCAAATATTAATTAAAATCGATTCAATTCATAGCTGACTTGAAACATCGACTAAATCATCACGTGCTCAATTTATAATCAAAATATTTCACAGGCTGTGAAACTACGGAAGCAACTGCAGGATCTCCTGAAAGAATATCAAGTAGTTGTGCTTGAGGCAAAGGAATCTGATGATGAGGATTAAACTATGACTGTGACATAAGTACCTGGATCTCTCTTTTAAGGTGTAAGCGGTTTAGTTAATTTTCATAATGGTTTAAGATTAGTGGGAAAATTCGGAGCAATCAAAAGATTCGCAGGATCCATTGAAAATCACCAAACCTCATTATCCAATACTTGAACAAATTTTATAAATTAATATAGTTTTTAATCCGTATTTCGTAGATTTCCGATACTTCCTGATTCTCTAGTGCGTCATAATAATTATCAGAATGTGTACAAAAAACTATTCCATTTTTCAATATAATGTTGAAGTGAATACAAACCATTGTTTTAAATCCATCAGATTTTGATATTTCCCTACACTTTGGACAGTTATGTCAATTTTATTGTGTATCCTTTTAATGCATATCAATAATTCGTCTACGCGTTTCACAACTCAGAAGTATAACATACAATTGTGGACAAGATAATATTGAGCTCAACTTTCGACATTGATATATCAGGTCCATATGTCTTAACAGGATTTTTCTTTTTGAAAGCGCAAAAGAATGAACAAAACAATTTTTATAATTTGTGGTTAACTTTCACTCTTCCAGCAGTGTGAGAGTGGATATAAATGCATTTATTTTGTAATTCCTAAATTGAAGATTATAATGTGATTAATTTATCCATGCAAATGCTAATCTAAACCTGAAGCACTATTTTTCTAGCGACACACAGCAACAACCTCATAATGCAATATATGTTTCATTTTAATTCAGTGCTTTAAATGGAATAATGTGATATTGTATGTTTCATTCACTGCACTCCCTTCCTTTGCACTATGTAGATACTAAGGCATCAGTCACAATATGTACTATTTTTTCCCATATCAGCTCATGTGAAGATTTATACTCCATACACCTTTTTGAAATAGAAAATTCAAATGAAAATATTTTTCCTTAAATTCTATTCCAGAGCAGAAGCTATAACTTCTTTCATCATTAAATGCAATATAGTACCTGCATGTTCACATTTAAAGTCTTTTCAGCAGGATGGACAAAAAAACACTTATTTTCATTTGAATGTACATATATACTTTTATTTTTATATATCTTGTGTAGATACTTTTACAAAATATACCCAGTGACAGAAGTGTTACACCCAGAAAAAAGAATTTCTTCAACTTGATTTTTTGGCAATGAATGAAAGGACAACATTCTCACGAAATTTTATTGACAAGTAATAAAAAGAAAAAGAATTTATGGGGCAACCCCGCTGCTGAATACACTCCCTTATACGTCTAGGCACTGAAAAAATGAGATGATCGATGTCTGGTTGTGGCACCTCATTCCAGGCAACTCGAACTTCGTGGATTAGCTGTGGCAGAGTCTGTGGCGGATGGTGCAAAGTGGATAATCTCCTCCCCATCATATCCCACTTATGTTCGATGAGATTTAAATTGGTTGAACGGCGTGGCGACGGCAAAACATTAACGTCTGCTTCTTGAAGAAAGTCCGTAGTACGACGAACAATATGGGGACGTGCGTTGTATTGCTGAAAAGGGACATGTGGAGGGCCCTCTAGATACGGCAGTAAAGTAGCGCAGCAGTCATATTGCCTTGAACAAAGAGAAGGGGTAATCGGCTACCATAGGCAATAGCCCCAAAACCATTACTCCAAAAATCCTTGGCATAATGTCATATTCGTCGCTGAATATGACATTATGCCATTCTGCCGCCCAATGTTGCCGTTCTCTGCTCCAGTTCAAACGTTGACGATGTGTCTGCAGTCAGAAGCACTAACCGTGGACGGTATGAAAAAAAGTCCAACTCTAGTAAATGAAAGGGCAATAACTAAAAATATCTGTACTACTCAGCTCTCAGAAACTACTTTCTTCACAATAACTGAGAGATAATATTTTAACAAAGGCAAACAAAAACAAAGATAAGACTTTGTCATTGCTGCCACAGCATTCTTTAAATGTAGTCATTATGTCGTCAAGAAAACAAGTTGAACAAATATTTTTTTCTGGGTGTAACACTTCTGTCACTGATTAGATTTATCTTTGAGATTTTTATTTGTTGACGTAATTCGGAAAAGGGAAACTAGGTCGCATAATACTATTCAGGAAATGCATAAAATATGACAATAAAGGTCTATGTTAAATTGAAAATAGTTCCTGAAAGAGATTCTTCAATATTATTAATTATTATAGACGTTTGATACTTAAATATTGCAGACCTAGCTACATCTTTAACTACGTCAATTTTTAATATTGGATTTATACATGTTTTACAGTAGAAATGCCAATTATTAAAACAATAATTAAACATTTTTGGGCTTTAATTTTCCAAAACCGCCTCAAACCAGTATGTCTGCGTCGGGCTTTTGAAAATAATAACCATGTGTCATTAATAAAATATATATTGAAGATATTTCCTATTTACATCTCAATACATTGTATAACTTATCAATTACTTATAGTATTGCTTTTAGCACCTGGTAACAAATTATAGAAATATACAAGAAAACTACAAAAAATAACATTTTTAGGCTTTACTAACATAGGCCTCAAATAATCCAGTCTTTCACACTGATATATCTTTGACACTTTTTTTTTTCAGAGTGCCTCATAAGATTTTTTACGAATAGGCTAATACATTTTTTTAGGCAACTCAAAAATAGCACCATTCGATTGCCTTTCATACAGAATTATTTTATAATAAATGCAAAATAATTACAGAATTTCGCATTTTTTGGTATTCTTTCATTATTCCCATACTATCTCCATTTAACCATCACAAGTGGCAAATTCTTGACTTCGGCAAGTGTGCACCTAACAATACTTTACATAACTAATGTGCTTTATTTGGCACTTATTTTGGTTACAACAACCCTGTAGATAAACAAATAATGTTGAATAGAAACTACTAAATGCAGTAAAATCAACCTGTGATGTAAATACAATTAATGAATGCAGATAAAAAATGCGTATGACGATAAACAAAGTAAATGTATAACGTATTAAATTACAGTTTTCTCGGAAGTTTAGTCCCGAGAATAAGCGTTATCGAATTAAAAGCAGCTTATCTGGACAAAAGGATCTCACAATACCCATTTAGTATGTAAATAAATTTTAACTTGTTGCATTTACAATCAAGCTCATCATTTTCTTGCAGGGTGCTACATATTTGTACAACCAACGTTAAACCACTATTGATTTTATATAAACAGTATTAAAACTACATTCACTTCATATTATTAAAACAACTTTCAAATCCAACAACCAAAAAACGTTTGAGTGATAAGTGTATCTGCCATCATATTGCTTTGGAAAATGCATCCTATTGTGGAATGTTTACACAATTATCAGAATATAGGGATTTTATTTGAAAATCTGTTGCAAGTGCATAACAGTAATGACTAAAATATGGCTTCGCTCACCATCTGTTGCACTGTCTTTTCGTTGATCATTTCGATTTTGGATGAATATGAAGACAGTACACTTTAACTCGTTTTCACGTTTCACAGCAATAACTTTTCTAACCAATACTTCGGACTTTTCAAAAAATAGGCTGACACCCTGGAATTAGCGACCACGGCCAAGCCTGATACATATTCGTGAGATAAGGGGCGTAGCACCCATGCACAAAACTTGTTAGTGTCACACTTTAACTGTGAAACATTCAAGTTTTAAAAAGTTTGACAAGCAGTGCGTTCTGTCTCTAATTGCTTTTCATACATCTCTCTAAGCTTTGTTTTGACTAAATAGTCAAATGACAGTGACAGATTGTCTCTATCAGAGCTATGCCACTAATCTCACGAATCGGTCCCAAGCTTGGTCGCTATCGCAGTCTCATATCGTTAGAACGGCACCTTTTTACCCAGGTATTTCTATCATAACCTATATAATACTCAGTCTTTAACATCTGGACTGAATATTATCGAAATAATTCGCCACCCAATTTTAGCAAGATCACTGTCATATATGCGAATAATCTTCAAGCAGAGCTTCCCCGTAATGTACGACGATGTAGTCATGGAAATACATCATTATCACCAGCGGCTGTCCCAGAATGATGGAGGCCCAGAAGATTATGTTGCCAAATCTGGGACCGTATTGCTTCTCGATGAACTTGGAGATGTAAGACAAAGGGATCTGACCCATCATACCCATGAACGCCCAGATCTTGTATGTTTTCAATGGAACACTTACCTGGAGACCAAGAGATTTTGTATCCATTAGCTTGAAATGATTTTGCTCACACTTAGGGCTGGCGCACAACGGGGAATGGCAGACGGGTTATTCGAAAAGGATTGGCCTGGAGCATCTAAATCTATTATTTGCAATGTGTAGGCACATACCTGGTCAGAATTTTACATCAGATGTACTACAATTAACATTAAGTAGGATTCCAATAATTTGGCAATCTGACAGCGCTACATGAAAATAGGGCGGAAGTGTCAAAAAAGTAAGTCCCGGCTAAAAAAAATATTGCTCGTTTTAAGGCGTCTTGCGTGGGTCTGGGAGTAACCCATACCTGTACAGAGTATACCAGTATAAATGGACCGCTTCTGACTTTCTGGTATGACCGTTTAGAAAAAATTATTTATACAAAAGTTGCAGGGCCTAATATAAAGTTCTACGTGAAATATGTTTTTATATATAGGGTGTCTCAGAAAAGTGCTGTCGAATAAAGTTGTATTTCTTAAATCGGACACCCTTCATAATTTTAGTGAAAATGATAGTAGTTTTTTTCTGTTACCAAGTATTTATGATTTATCATAGTTATTTTCATTAGTTGGGTTTAAGACATAAATTCTGTGCCACTTGTTCATATGTGTCCGAGTTCAAATCAGTTTGCATCTAGCCGCCTATGCAATCTGGCATACATGTGCTTGAATGACACGTAAAATTTCAGTTCTTGACTAGAGCAATGAAAATAAGCATACTAAAGTTATATTTAGAATAAGAAAAATAGCGACTATCATCTATACAAAAATGTACAGGGTGTTCCATTCAATACAACTTTATATTCGATAGCACCTATTTCATCTATATAAAATAACGTTACCTGCAGATCCTTACATTAGATCCTACAACTTCTGTATATATTTTAACCACAGGACCTTGCTGCTCCAAGGGAAGGCACAGCGCCCTAAGCTAAACCTTCATCGCAACAATGAACCTGTTTATAGGATGATCGCTACGCTGCTCTAAGACCTTGCTTAGAATGTAAATTCATTGGTATAAATGAAAAGTATGGCGCCACCTCTTAGCACATAGCCGTATTAACTTACGGAATTGCACAGCCCTATGATTAGCTAGCCACGGTGTAAACATTGCCATTGAATATCTATTGGAATCTTTCATTATGTCCGTTAAAAAAAGTGCGCCAAGTCGATTACTATTTTTTAATGAAAATAAACAGATTGAGGTACTGGTTATTAAAGTAGTTTTTGTTTCAAAAACGGTGCGTTCGAAAAATGAGGAAGAAAATGTGGAAGGAAAATTGAGTATTTTGGAAGCTTATCTCTGGTCATGTCACTGATATAAATGAAAGTGCTCCGTCCTCATGTTGCTGGTAATTGGAAATTGTAGCGCTTCTGGAAACGAATGCGTTTATAATAACTGGAGAGCCGAGGTGCTTCCAGCTCCCACAAAACACCAAACATCGATTGTTCGATTTATTGGAACATTTTATGGAACGTTGCAAATTTTTTTTTTGATTAGCAGCTGCGAAGAAATTTTGTTAATCCGATTTTTCAACTGCCTAAGTTTAGTAGAAATGGGAAAAGCCTCTTCTACAATCTCGATACCCTAGGGACCAAGGAGCGGTCGTATCGGCCAGTTCTGGATGTACAAAGCTCGACACGGTTAGGATGGGAGGTCGAAGTAAGGCGGGTCTGCAGCTCTTGATAAGATGTGTTCGTGCCATATCAAGTCCTAGATGATCTGGACCAGCCAAAATTAACAGCTCTTTGGCCATCCATCGAAATGGGATGAGCGCTATGGTGCTTCTTGTTAGTACAGGTACAGTACTGTGTTTTGGAAGCATTAAACTGTACCAGATTGTTGCATCCCTAAGCATCAACACCTAGGTCTCTCGTCTGATAGGCAGTCGCTACTAGTCTTGTTTTCTCCAGCTCGCCTCTGAACGGCTCATTTATCGACGCCGGGTCGCCACTTAGGCTCTTGTTATTCAAGGTTCAGTACCGTGTTTTGGAAGCAATAATCTGTACTAGAGTCACGACCTCCAGATGTCTCGTCAGAGATAAAGTCGACGACTCCAGCACGGATGCTGGCGACTTAATTTTTTCACTTTTTCTCGCTTTTAAATATTAACTGTGACAAAGTTGTTCATGTACAGGGTTCTTCCCATGCTGAGCCAATATGTATTGCATGAGAAATTACCAACATTAGTCAAAATCTACGTTGAATTTTAATCCAGCTATGCTAAAAGCACGTTCTCTCTCTCTCTCTCTATATATATATACGGGTGGTCCATTTAATTTTTTTTTAAAATGCTATAAAAAAACTACTAAATATTTTTCCAAATTTTTTTTTTATTTGAAAGTACAATCCTTCCGATTAAGTATGGAATACAACTTCATTTAAATGACTGCCGCGGCTGGCTTTGCAGTAGCCCATACGGTCAGTCCAATTTTTGACCACATTTTCAATCGTATGTGGCTGTATTTCAGCAATGGCATCGCGTATGTTCTCTTTTATTTCGTCAATTGTTGCTGGTTTGTTGGCATAACACTGGTCTTTAATGGCACCCCATAAATAATAATCTAATGGGGTCAAATCACAGCTCCGAGGCGGCCAAACAACATCAGAATTTCGGCTGATAATGCGATCACCGAAAACACTTCGCAGAAGAGCAATCGTAGCGTTTGCTGTGTGACACGGAGCACCGTCTTGTTGAAACCAGATGTTACCGACATCAATATCTTGAATTTGTGGAAAGAAAAATTCATTTATCATGGCACGGTAACGCTCACCATTCACAGTAACTGCTGCTCCGACTTCATTTTCAAAGAAAAATGGGCCAATGATGCCACCAGCCCAAAATCCGCGCCAAACAGTCACTCGTTCTGGATGCATTGGCTTTTCTTCGATTGCGTATGGGTTCTCTGAACCCCAAATGCGGCAGTTTTGCTTATTAACATAGCCGCCAAGATGAAAATGCGCTTCATCTGAAAAGATGATTTTTCGACCAAAATCAACATCTTCATCAAGTTGATTGCAGGCCCATGAAGCGAAGCGAAAACGCATTGGATGGTCAGTTGGCTTCAATTGCTGAACCAATTGAACTTTGTACGCCTTCATACCAAGGTCTTTATGCAAAATTCGACCTAATGATGTGCGTGAAATGTTCAATTGTTGAGAACGTTGGCGCATTGATGTGCTTGGAGACTCTGCCACACTCTCAGCTACAGCATCGATACTCTCGGGTTTTCGGTCTTTCACGTGTTGGTTTGTCAATAAGAAGACCAGTTTCACGAACTTTTTGCACAAAATACCTCACATACGGTGCTGACGGTGCTTCATTTCTTCCCATTTTTGCACGTAATTTTCGGACACAATCTGCAACATTACCACCACTTTCGAAATATTGTTTTAATATTTCCCAGCGTTGTTCAAGCGAATACACAACCATTTTCGTTAATCGGAATGATATGACTGATGTTCTGTCAAATCAGATGCGAAATAAGTCTTGACATATCCCAAAAAACCAGTAACTCAAAAAAAAAAACGATAGATGGACCACCCAGTATATATGCACTAGGGATTTCAAATTCGGAAACGGTAAGCAATGCAATACAAAATCGTTTATGGAGGCAAAGTTGCGCATTTAGGTAAATGATAAAATTTTATTTAGACAGTATGGCAATTGAGAATATTTTTAAAGAAACAGAAAATACGAATTTACCCTGAACCGTCTGATTTTCTCCTTGATTAATTTGAGCTGGGATTTCAATATAAATAGCATTTAAAGTGGCCAGTTATTACAGGTAATAACCAATCGAGCTAAAATTTTGTATGCCTGTTTGGTTCGTGTGACTACGTAATGAATTAACCCAGATATGCCTACAGCTCAAATAAAGTATAATAAAGTATGTTCTCTGCAAATTCATTCTATATGAAGCATATATTAAACAAATTAATTATTTTTTAAATTTTATTTTAGGAAAAAGTGTAAAAAAATGCCGTACAAAACATGGTACACTAGGCACATAGGCGAACATTAAGCTTTAGTATAGAAGGACAAAAAACATTTTACATGCATCCCTACATTGCACTTAGAGCACCTTGTTTTTGCTCTATCATGACATAAGCCACATCTAGTTGGCTTTTCTTGTGGTATCACAAAATGATCTAAACAATCAAAACGGATATCTACAGGGTGACTTTGAAGTTGAGTCATTAATTTTCAGATAATGATTGTAGAAGGAAGATAAACCAAAATATGTGTGTAAAAATAAAAAAAAATAAAAAAAAAATTTACCTTGTTTTATAAAGTGTCCTCCCGACAAGTATTTCAGTGCGGACCTGTATTTGATCGTGAGGTCCCCTGTGAGGTCTTAAGTCACCTGATTCACGAGCCCGTTGTACTACATTAACAAAGGCACGAGGGGTTGGTTGCACTCGATTGGGAAACCGATCCGCATAAACATGTGCCATTTTTTATTTCGTTTGAGCCACGCAACAGACACCACTATTTACACGCGTTACCGACTGACACTGACTGTATGTATACAACTGAATAAAATAATTGTAAAAACATCGTTCCAAATTCTTTCGCTTTTTTGTTTCCGATGCGATGAACCGATAAGGCGGATTATATCCGTTGTTGCCAAACACGAGCACATGATATTATTATTGAGACAGGGCGGTACTCAAACTTCCAAAGGGCTATAACTTTGTTACTTTAATTTTACCAGAAAAATGGTAAAGGAAAAAAACATTTCTTTTGATCAGATCTACTCACTGTTAAAATAAATGACTCAACTTCGAAGTCACCCTGTATATATTCATTAGCCGAAGGACGTCCTCTAGAAAAAGATGGCGGCTTCTTGTTTTGTTGTAACAAGGCTGTGGCAAGCCGCCGTCTAAATAATAATTGATCCATATGTCCTCCGTGCGATCTATAAACTTGCCAGGAATTATGCAACAGCCACATCAATACAGTGGCTGATCAATGAAAAATATCACTTCTTACCCCGGATGGAAATGCGATACAGACCAATATTTTGATCACAACGATCAACGCCGCCCATATTTGCGTTTTATACATTTACAAGATGAGGCTGTTCTTCCTAAAATCAAAAGCATTTTTGAAAACATTGATTTTCTTGCAGATTGTGTTTCTTACCTGAATACTTTTTTATCGTTTTGAGAGTATCGCTTTACAAAGCGAATTGGTTGCAATCCTGCGGCATTTGAACAGAGTGTTACTAAATTAGTCATGCCATTTCACTGCAATTATGTTTGTATCGGAAATTTTGTTGTAATCGTAACTACCTCTTTTTTCCCTTTTCATAATTTTAGAATCTCTGAATTGGACGCCTTGTAAACGATTTTCTCTAGCAGTACCAGTCGCAGACATTTTTTTCTGTCAATTTTACCATAAGAGGGAGAGAAGTGAACAAATTGTCGAAAACTAAATGAAATTTTTCATTTGGCCATTTTCTCCTCAGTGCATCAGAATACTCTAATACCACACCAGCACCAACCCCCAAATCTGCATAATTCTTACTAATGTTGGTTGACGACCCTTGGTAAGGTTCAACCCAGTAAACGTAGCCTAGTCTTGATGCTCCAACCCATAATTTATAGCCGTATCGTACAGGTTTTCCGTGAATGAACTGTTTGCATAAGTGTCTCCCAAAATAAGGAACCATTGCCTCATCTACCCTATGCATTTCTGTCAAAATTCCATGTTCCATAAACTTTTGATTCAGACTCGCAAATAAAGGTCTAACTTTTGCAAACTTATCTCCTTGCTGTAAATTGTAGTTATCTACTAAATGAAAATTAGACATAATATATTCAAATTTATCTCGTGTAAGCGCTTCTGTGACGAGTTGATTATTAGCATCTTTCACGTTCCCAGATCATTCTTCTACGTGGTACATCGATATAACCACTCAATATTAGTGTTCCAATAAATGCCCTTATTTCATACCCTTGCACCTCTTGTTGGCGATTCTTTTGCCTGGCATATCTATTTGTTCCAGTTGTTATGCGTGCTATAAGTTCGCCGTCAAAAAAAAGTGAAAACCATTCAAGTGGAGTCTTATTATTTTGTTCAAGAATTTCTTCGAAGTTTCCTGAAACTTCTTGTGGTAGATCTTCCTTCACCCATTTGTACGTTTTTCGTTTCTTTAGTTTTTTATTTTTTAGCCAATTCAGACAATGGAATATTATCTTCGGATTCAGATGAAGATATGCTAAATTTTTCATGAGGTATGTTTATCTCAGCAGGTGCTTGTAATTGTGAACCCGGTAGATTATCAGCTGACATTACATTCTCATCGCCGGAGTCCTCGTCTGTGAGAATGTCACAAGCATTGATTGGAGGCATCAATGTGATATTATCCACATTTGCTACTACATCTTCATTATCCTCCAGCATAGCAAGGGCTTCCTCCAGAGAAAAGCCCCTAAAAATGAAACAGGCATGTATTTGACGCAATTGTGAATCCGAAATAATAAGTAATTTGGCATTATAACTGGAAAAAAGCACGTGTGTTGTATTGGTAGAAGCAATCAAAACATTTTTTTATTTACGTAAAGACCATATATTTACTTACTTGGCAAATCGTATTCCATATTCCGCCATGTCACAAAATATAAAAACTTATTCACAAAATCGCAAAAAAATCTCAATACAACGATAACACCCAACCGCACGTCACGATTTACTAAGGCTTACAGAATACATCTGTGCTATTACCGCGTCAAAATGAGCACAGGTCGTTGCAAGTCGCGACTTGTTTACTGTGTACCATAAATTGTACGCTAGGCATATCTGGGTTAACAGTAGCCATTTTGAATCTAATATGGGGTATGCTACATAAGGGCAATTTATCCTTTCCATAGTATATGATATGAGTATCAAATGAAAGAGCTTGATGATAGAAACATCATAAGCAAAATGACATTCTAAATCCAATGTCGGAACCGCAATTTGCCGATTCCTGATTTCCATCAGATGATAGGGCTTGAGAGAAACGCATTAAGCAAAATGTCATTTCAAATGAAATATGTCGACCGCCGCAAGATGGCGTTTATAATTTCCATAGTCACCCTCATATGGATATCAAATGAAAGGAATTGAGGATAGAAACACAATGCAAAGGAAGTGGCCAATGGAACTCATCGAATAGAGCCTTGCTTGACTCCTAATGACAAGTACTCTAGCCTTACAGTCTGATGATTAGGTGAATGAGCTATTGTGTAAAAAATTATCATCCATAATAACTTTATCAAATTTCAACTTTGTAACATTAGTTTGCTAAAATGTAGGTTCAGCCAATTGGCAAGAATACTTAGTAGATATATTTGTTATATTTTTTGTTTTTTATGCATTGTTTGCATTATCTTAAAATATGAACTCATATGAATATATTTCTGCTTACGTCAGTAAAACAGTAACAACACGTTCTTATTTATATCCGTTTAAATTTGGCAGTACGATATTCAATTTCTCAGAAAATTAACTCAGTTTTATGTGTCAATTCACTATTTCTCACTACTTTTTTTGAGACCTGACTTTTCTCACTTAAATTCATGCTTTGGGCTGCCAGCACGCCTGCTCCAGCTCACCGGCAGCGATCGGCAGGGGTATTATGTATAAAACCTAAAAATCGTCAAAAGAAAGCGAAATGTCATCTTGCAGACTAGGTAGTTTTTATCGCACAAATAGTTCATTCCACATTTGCTTGCTATGATAGCTGTTCGCAGACGTTTAAACAACACGTAAAGCTACAAAACAAGTTCACAACAAGTGTGCAACAGCTTGGGCTAAGTTAACATCTTGTAGAAAAACCTACGTTATGTCACAAAAAAATTACAAAATGTCACTTTTCAAGATACGTAATACCCGTGTGGCTTGTCAGTCTAAATTCCTGCATGTACAGTGCTATCACCAACAACTCTGTGAATCGGATTGATCCGGAGTTAGCCACCAGTCTACAAAGCTTCTCTGGGAGGCCATATGATGAAAGTTTGGATAAGAGGCCAGCACCCGGCAGCTTAATAATGAGAATAATGAGCAAATTTGCAGGAAAAGCAATGAGTAAAAACGAATAGCTGAAAAAACAATTAGTAAAATGATAGCGTGAACGGAAGGAAATTAAATCCTGTTTGGTCCCCTCTCCTGCCGTTCCCAGTGTGTGCTAGCTCTTATGTTCTATATATTTTTTATAATGATAAAGGTTTTTCTCTGAAGCATACACATGTTCTAAAACATCTGCGATATGCAGCTGTACTGAACACAAACCTTCGGATAGAAATGGTGGCAATCATAATTTTATTATGTACATAACTGGTTAACATTAGCCAACATTGTAGTTGTATGTAATTTATGAATGTAATTTCATACTGCAAGATAACAAATTAGTAAATCACATGATCCTATTCTATTGTTAAATTATGATTTATAGGGTCTTCAGATAACCTCATTGCTCCAATAGCAGATATTCCAACAAAGCCATTTCATAAAAAACGAAATTATAACATGGTACAACCGGCTATCAAATATACGATTATTGTGTTATCAATTGCCGGCTGAGGTCAATTTTCCAAACGACGTCTGAACGTCTTTTTGTGTACAAATTATTCTAAAAAAACGTTGCATCTATCGATTATATATCGTCGAAAAACCCATTTGACACATTATTTTTGAATGTTCAAATATTAATAATTTCAATATACTGTACTGTGCTTGTAACATTTCCCATTTATAATCAATCATCTCTAGTGATTTTTTTTATAATTTGGAACATTGTCAGCATCAATATTTCTGGAATGCTACCTACATCTACATCAATGATTGTAAGATTTACTTACCATGTATTCATGGAAGAAAGCACTTATGAAAAAAACTGCGATGCTACCAGTTTGTCTTCCATATCCCATCTCAATCATCGGAAAATAGAGATGCCTCAGCGCCCATCTAAAATACGTGCGTGTTCATGTTACTAGTCTCAGATCTGCGAACATTAAAGCTGTACGCCCATTGAGACGAAACGATGCGAAGAGAACTGTGGCGAAATTTGTCATTGCTTACAAAAAAATTAACAGCTCGCTTCGCTTCGGTTCAGTTCGTGGACTCTCAGTTGACTATGGGTAAATGAATCAAGCGAACGTTGTTTCGCTTATCTTCACCTCCCATGCCCTTGACTTTCATCTTCAGTTATGTGCAGAACCAAAAGAAGATAATTACGAACACTAACCTGTGTACTGGTAGATTCCAATTCCTCCAAAACATATCGATATTGTTGGCATTCCACCAATCATTATAAAAGCTGCGATCAGCAAAATGAAGTACTTCACCAACAAGATTCAACCACGAATGAAACATAAGGTAAAATCCAATAAGCCACGCCAAGTGATTTGGAATCTAAAAACGAATATCTTTGTTGGCATGGTTGTGCCATTCAGCCATTGTTATTGAACGAGAAAATAGCAACCGTTTTTTTTTATCCAACTAATTTAGACTAGGTAGAAGGATACTTGTTTGTCTCCAAAATCTCGTAGTCAGGATGAAAGTTCATACTACAAGTCAATCAGGCGTAAGCCGCCAATTTGACAGATGTTGACATTTCACATGAAATTCGCATTTTTTCCGAAAACAAAAGTGCGTGGGTTGCATAAAATTAGGAAGTTTCCTATAGTCGAAAATACTGACTGTGTTACTTGCACCTGATACTATAACTAGTTATCTTTGACAAATCTGAAAGAATTATTCTAATAGCTTTAAATTTAAGGAAGTTATGGCATTTTCTGTGTTGGCTGCTGTAGCCGATCGCTCGCGCGTCGACGTTCCGTAGTGACGTCACATGACGGAACGTCGCGCCTTGGTAGTGAAGCGGTCGGGCGATACGACGACATATCGCATACATCCTTAGCGCTCAAGCTGACAAGACGTAATTTATTGTTTGAATCTTGGGGTAGACTGTTGTACGGTAGATACTACTATGTACTATAATAATCAAAATGGAATGTTTTTTACGTGCCGATTCCACAAATCTTTTGAAGGTGGGCATAATTGAATTTCTTCACAAACAATCCACCTTATGTCAGTACGTAAATACGTAAGTAAGTAAATAGTATAATTTATTCTACACAAATCTGAACGTTTTTGAACCCATTGAAAGTGTTTTGAGCCATCAACTTTACGTAGGACGCGTGGTGTCAGTGGCGGGGTATTATGGATGATCTTATTTGGCTTTATTAAATTTATGAATAGAAGAAAACGAAAACATGCTTTGCATGCATCAAATAATTTAGGATGACCCAAGCTCCAGCGGATACGTTTGATAAATAATAAATTCAAAATCTCGCAGTGACCAGAAAATCAACAGTTTAAACTGAAATTTAATCCAACGCCAATAGGACTTGATGGCGATCCGGTGTTGACTCACAGCAATTTATTAATTCTCAATTCACGATGTACATTTGTTAAGCAGGAGTAGAATCAATGATTCGTCATTCATTTTTGGGTATTGTTATTTGGCTGTTGTCATTATAGGTCTGGAAGAGACACCTATGGCAAGGCGATTGGTTATGTGCAGTTAAAAAGACGGGATCTCCGTATTGTAAAAGCCAGGATTACGCCCGAACATAGAGTCAAAAGCAAACCGTATCATTGCAGTTTTGAATGCGACCAAAAGGAGGAAACTAATCAAGCTAGAATGCAGTGGTTGTGCTGCTCAAGAGGGTGGCTGTAAGCATGGTATAGCGCTAGTAATGTGGCTGCACAGAAGAACTAAGACTAATAATAATTATTATTGCTACCATTTATATCATAGCTATAAATAGCTGCTTACATCAAAATGGGATTCACAGTAAAACAACATTGATTTTTCGGACAGCGGCAATTTATCGTCCCTATTCATTACCTTGCACCACTTCTTTCTAATACTTCCCTGTTCTGACACACAGAAAAAATGTTTATCTGGAGCTGACATGCTAGTATTTGTCCACCTAGGTACAATAAAATATTTGTAGGTTCAAGGTTTGACCCACTTTTTACTCATTGTTAATAATAGGGGAAGCGTGTGGCGCATCTCCTTACAGTGGCACTGGGCTGATAAGCTTCCGTCATGTGACGTCATCACGGCCCACCACACGATTTAAAGATATTAAAAAACTTCGTTTTGCTTGGACTATCATTTTGAGTGTCTTTTGAAAAATAGGAAACTTCCTCATTCTGGTGTTCCAGACAATTGTCGAAAATGATGAAGGTTTCTGTGGAATGCGAAACTGAATTATCGATCGATAAGTATTAACATTATAGTCATTGATTTTGGTAAAGGGCATGAATCTCAACGTTGCGCTTTTACCTGGACAGTTGTGAAATAATTTCAATTTTCGTTCCACTTCTTGTTTCTTTTAGTAAGATTTGTTAACCGGAAGTTATTGAAGACAACCAAATTTTTTGGTGGATACCGAAAAGTACCTATCTAAAAATTAATTAAACCAAACTTTATTTATTTCATTTTTGAATCTAAGAGTTATTAGGAAAGGAACTTTCGCGTTATAAGTAGTAATTTTACGATTTCATTTTAGTGTCTCGAGATCATATGGAGGAAGCTCAGTACGCAAAAAACTAGGAATATCAAATTCCTACCAAAATTTTTATTGGATAAGTATAGTGACAATGCTTTAATAGCAGTAATTTCCATATTATACTCAACTAGCTTTTAGACAAGAACCTGCTCGGCTCACAACAAATATTTCGAAAATTTGAGTAGCATTCAAGCAAGATGTCTCACTATGTACCAATATCTGGTATTCCGCTATTGCTACTGTTTGATGACAACTTTTCGTATTGCATCTTCCAAAATAAAGAATTAAGCAGAATTGTCTATGTGCTATACCGTTAATAAATGTGTAGTTTAGTTTCTTTTTACTTATTTAATTGTTTGTTAACAATAACTGAGCGATTCATCGCAACAAGTATTTCTTTCTGCCAAGCATGAATTCGCCCAGATTGATTGGCTACACCCGAGAAAAAAAAAATCTCCGTTGTATTGGCTTGTCATTTTGGTAGGCAAGGGAGCCAAAAGTAGTATGCACTAAAACTACACAATTTTGGCGGCAAACAATGCAATGCTTGGCCTTCTAACCTATTCCTTAGTTTTACCAAATAGTAAGCAGCATCCACTTTACAGTGTTGTCAATTTGATCCCTTAGCTGCATCATTTTCACACCCAACACATACATACAAGCATTACATTGATTTGATATGTATTAAGACATACCGCCAATTTCAGTAATCTTTCAGCAGTCCTGGTATAATCCATGTTACTGAAAGGTATTAGAGAATTTTTGATGGATGGAACCATGTACTGCTGCATGATAACCATGATAATTTGTCCACAAACGAGTACTTCAAATATTCTTTTCAGTAGAAATCTCTTCCTTATCCTAACTGTCTTTGGGAAGTTTAGCTCATAACATAGGGTTGGTGCAAATATAAAGTAGTACAAATCTTTTAGGTTCAAATTATCTGGATATAGAACCAGACTGACCTTCAAATCTTTGGAATCATCTGAAAGAATTTTAGAACCCACAGTTGGAAACCAGTCACAAAGCTACTCATAAATTGTGTATTATCATTGATTAACATATTCCACTAGAAGGTATCCAATTCAATTGAGGGCCGTGCCTGCGCGAGATCTAAGCAGTGTGTCCCAGAAGTCGACGTCGAGCCAGAAACGGGGGATAAGCCAAGTCATAATAGTTATCAGAAAAATGTAAAAAAGTCTCAAGTCGAATACGTTTCAAATTATATGCTTTAAAAAAATGGAAAAATTCTACACCCTGTGTTGACTTTTTAGTTACCATTACTACAAATTTCAATTTTTTCTTAGAGGAGTGATGGACAGTGTCATTCTACGTAGTGACAGCAAGACAGATAGTAACGCCACTTTTATTAATTCACAATAAATTAATGTTGTCAGCAGCAATGTAAGCTTGACATCTTCAAAATGATCGGGTTATCAGACGGGTGAATCTTCCCAGTAAAAAACAATCGAGTGGGTTTAAGTCAGGTGAACGGGCTGGCCACGCAATTTTACCAGACCTCCCTATTCATCTGCACGGGTATTGCGCATCAAGATATTCTCTAACTAAACGGGAACAGTGAGCAGGGCAGCCGATTTGCTCGTACACATGTCTCTGTAAATGCTTAGAGGCACGTCTTCCAATAAATTTGGAAACAAAATTTGTAAATAGTCTTGAAAAATATCGCCATTCAAGAACCCCGACATGATTCTCCCATTTGGAATCCCGGTCCACATGTTTACTTTAAAACCATACTGTGATCTATATGTCTCATCAAATGTGAATTTCCTGCATGCCACTCGTGTACGTTGTGTAGATTCACGTAACCATCTTTTTTAATAGTCGACTCACCAGTCCATAAAATGTTCTCTTAAAATCGCGGGGTTGTAGAGATTGTACTCGCTGTACGTGATACGGGTGGAGCTCGTTCTTTAGCAAGATTCGGCGGACTCTACTTATGGGCACTCCCGTGCTTGCTTCTATTTCACGCAATGAAGTAATCGGTTGATATGGGGATCGTTCCTCTGAGAGTAAACGATGCAAATTCACAAAAACTCAGTGAACGGGATGACGAGCAGTATTTAGGTACCTCTCACGATAAAGCCTAGCTGCAGCACTAGCATTGCACCTACATTCCACATACATAAGATGCATGTTGGCGTATTCCTGTATGGCGTACAAAGACATGGTGGTACCACACAATCATGAATTAATAAAAGTGCTAAACTACGTTGAAATTTTAGTAATGAGAATTAAAAGATCACAGGGTGTATTTTTCCGATTTTTTAAACCTATAATTTAAAAAGTACACGACTTAGATTTTTTTATATTTCTCTGGTAACTAGTATGACTTGGCCTATTCCCCGTTTCAGGCTTGACGTCGACGTTGAGAAATTCTGTAACTAAATGTTGGGAATAATTATGAGTGTTTATGAGTAAACAATTTTCAATAAAAAATTGAATGATTTTATTACTTCACACGAGAATTACTATATTCCTACTTGGCAACATGGCTGTATCAATGGAAATTGTACGTGAGCATTCAAATACGGCATAGGCTTAGGCATCTTCTTTGGTAATGCTTTAATCAATGGTATAAGATATGCAGTTATTACCTGACTTAAGATCACTATGTGACAGTGACTGTCTCCTCATGCCACTTTTTGCATTCTGCCTGGCAGTTCTACACCACATGTTGACTTGTATATATGACCATAATTTTAAAAATAATATACTATATATTGTACAAACACAAGAGGCTCCAACTGTGAACAAGATGTAGATTATCAAGATGTGTAAACTGTAGTTGAAAAGATAAACTTACTCAAATTAAAACCTTCTTTAAAATGTATCACAATCATTGGTAACAGTATCACAACCAGTAAATTTATTATGTGAACAAACATTCCTGGCACAGTTGAAATGATTTCCTGGAATAATAAATTCAGTTGCTGTTTTGGTTGCAAATATTTAAGAAAAATTGTTTTAACAAAATATAAATAAAATAACTAATACATGAAAGCAAGTATTAAGTACTTAAAAATAACTTACCACAGCCAATCCCTTCTCTATTAAAAGGCACAATACTACAGGGACAACAGAATCTACAAAGTAGAATTTATTGAGGACCAAGTAAAAAATTATCATGTTTAATTCAGATATATGTTAAACCGGTACATACATAATATCATAGCAATAGAGGGATGCTCTGAATTTGGTTGGTCATCTACCAAAAGTTTTATCCATTGAATTGGATCTATTCTGATACCATACCTAAGGCAATTCAAAAGAGAATGTTAATATTATGGAAATAATGATTTTGAGTTTGTTCATGGACTTACTTTATGAAATTTTCTAATAACAATCGTAATCCTCCAATGCTAAGCAAAAGGAATGCCCAATTCACAAAACCAGTGAAATTATCAAAGCCTGAATTCCATGAAAATAGGGAATCCCTTGGTTTATGGCAACTGGAAAAATTAATGAAACCTATGTAAGAGATGTATAACTTGAAGTTTCATAGAGTGACAGAGCTGTCAATTATAATTTAATAACTTAACCAAGTGACACATTTTATATGTCAAATTGGGCCCCTTGACACTTCACAATTTTTTAACAGTCATGCATGTATTCAACGCCGAATTGTTTAAGTGTACCTAGTAATCTGTGTCATTTTCTCTACTTATTGGCAGAGTTTTTTGGCCATAACATACATAGTTATCCTAAAATCATACATTTTTGTTTGTCCTATCTGCACAAATGAACCGGAAGCTCAAACTTGGGAGGCCTTTTTCTTGGTTCATGTTAGCTGCAGCACAGCAGCAGACTCATTTTTTGGGTAAGCTAGGTGCACAGATAACGAATTTCGTGTCAATTATACAAGGTGATTCAGTGAAACGGCACGACTTTGCAACGCTTCTGTCGGAAACATAGAGGAGTTGAAGGCTTGCGACGTAAACATTGTGAATCTAGAGCGGGAAGTTTAGTTATCATGGAGAAGTGGTTGACTGAACAACGCGCATTTGCTGCGAAAGCTTATTACAAAAACGGTGAAAGCTTTGTGCGTGTACAACGAGCGTTTCGTTTACACTAACATTTGCCGCCCCCCGCTCCAGTTCTTTGGGGGTATCTTAAAACAAAAGTGTTTCAAAGTAACCCCCAAGACCTATCGAGGCTTCGAAAGAACGGATACGCGGAGAAGTGAAAGCAATACCTCAAGAAATGTTACTCAATGTTGTAAACAGCATTGTACCATGGCTGCAAGAATGTGTCCTACAAAATGGAGGTCACCTTTCTCTATTATCTTCAAAAACTGAACATTTCTTCACTTACACATCAATTTCCATCTGTGTAGCATACGTTTTTTTTATGAAATTCAATAGAAAGAAATTTTTCAGTTTTTTTGTTTATCTGAAATTGTACTGTTTCATTGTACCTGAAACTAGGTTTCATGACCATTCATAATTTTTGGACAGCCATATTCAGATTCTGCACCCAGAATTATCTTTCTATAAAGTATCATTCACTCATAATAACGGGATAAAAAACAGAAATGTTTACTGGCAATGTTCTATAATTGTTCAAGATGTACCTTGATAAAAAACTCTCAAAACGAAACACTGCATATCTCTGATTTAGATTTAGACTCATTTCCTGTTTACATCAGGTGCACAGGTTTTAAAACTGAAGTCAATTTGATGCTAAGACCCCGAGAGAGTTCCAATCAAAATATTTTCTTCCTCTAAATTGGACCACAACACTTATTGACAATCATATTCAAATTCAGCACAAAAAGGTTTCCTGTCAGTCAAATTGCAAAATTGCCTTTGTGACTGTGATCTGGGTGAAAACATGTTCCTTGAGGGAATTGGTTGTGTAAGTTCCAGATATGCCAACAGTTTGACACTTGGACCCATAAGGAGGCTCAAGCCACAGAGTTTATGATTTTATTTGGCCTACTAACACTAAATGAATTTACAACAGTCTGTTCAAATTTAGCACTTACAATTACCCAACCATATCAAATTTCTTTTATTTGTGACAACAGGAGACAATAACAAAACAGTTGCCCTATAAAATTTAATATTTTTGAGCTTATTTTTTTATCAGGAAGACGTTTTTAAAAATATATGCACATCTGAGAACTACATGAAATCATGCTACCTATGGGGTATGCACATTCTGAATACATACATCATTAATTTGGTGTTAGGGCACACAGAAGGTCCCAACTGATCCAACCAAATTAGTACCCAGATCACAGTTTTGATACTTATAATAGTTTCTACCATACATGCAGATAAGTGAATTCAAAGCAATATACACATGACATGGAGCAGCCCTCATTATGTTTGTTAACTAATGATGTTAATAGTGATCACATATTATTAGATGTAATGAACAAATTACAGCATTCATAGTCAAATTGTCCTTGATCAGTGTATTGAAAAAAAGTTGAAAATATTTGTTAGAAGTGCATTTAAATAGTCGTTTTTTCAATAACATCTTTTCTAGTTTATGTGCTTCCTAGTTCTCTGCTTGGTATCTGATTGATGAAATTCCAATGCTAAATACTTACGGTTTATCATGCTGATTTTTTCTAGCTTTCTGCTCTTCTGCTTGGATTTCTTCTGCTCTAGTCACACTTTGAGCTCTTTCTCTTTTACGGATACCTTCTTGTTCAGTCATTTTTGTCTTTTGTCGGCTTTGTACCTTGATAAATTGCTTTTATTTATAGATGGACCTTCCACAGTCGTTCATACAGTATCTGATTTTACTAATATATGATTTTAACCTTTGCTTATCATTTTACGAATGTTATCTCTTATCGACAAGAACATGCACTGCGCCACTACGGGCGAGCGTCTATGAAGATTTTGTTGGAGGGGACGAACACGAGCTCAAATAGAAAAAAATATAAACCAAAATAACAATAACCTTAATCTTTGAATTTCCATTTGAAAATGATCTGTTCCATTGAACTCCTATGAATCTTTTGTCTCTTTCGCACTTGCGTATCTTCCTACTCTCTTCTCTTTTCTTCCGGGAATTGGGCACTATCTGCTTTCCTTGCACTAATTAATATCCAAATAACAGTTTTCATTTTTGGTTTTATATAAATATTTGTTATCCAACTAGACTTTTAGAGTGAAAAAAATATGTTTGATTGTAAATAACTCTCACTATTCAGAAAAACCTAAGGCATGGCGGGTATTTCAAATTAAATGTGCACCAGTGTACACTGATTCGACGCTCATCAATCAAATGGAACATGACAGTCGAGAGGCAGTCGAGTTATGGCGTTTGCAAGAAAGTAGACGCTATTTCTGTGGAAAGCTTTTTTCCCGCCTAAAGGTTCAATTTGGTGGATTACTGCTGTGGAAAAGTTAATTTGGGGTAAGTTTTTCACGCTGACCACATCAGATAAGCTCCATATTCCGTAAACAGTGACATTTTATTGACAATATTGACTGACACTTTGTCAAAAAATTGTCACATCAAATGCCAAGAGGACGTTTATAAACAGTTTTCAAACTGAAATTTGAATAATTTGCTATATTTTCATTATATCTTGTATCCCAGCAAGCGAGAAAATGGAAAATAATTTCCACACGCCCTTCACTGCGTCTCCCATTATGACGTCACCATCTTTTTTTTGGTCAACATATTACGGAGCGGATTATGTAGCTTTTTAACGCCTAATTTTCCATCCTGCCTTAACTACTCCAGGTTTTTATTTCAGCAAGGAGCATTTGATACTACAAGATTTTAGCCAAAATTTGATATTTTTCCGAGGTTAAAGTAGGCCAAACCTAATTTGGAAAAATGTCTTCAAATCAGTATGAAATCAGGGAGCTGGTTGGTAAGTTCATTCACCACTCTACAGTGTAGCCGATTTTATATAGTTTATTTGATCATTTCAATCCCTTAAGTACTTATATTGAGGACAAAATAAAATGCTTTATATAGTCAGGTTAATTTATGTATGATTCATAGTTCAGTTTATAGTCCAGTAAAAAAATAATTCTTGGTTTAATTTAATTTGCTGTTTAAGCTTTATCACAAGTTTTAGCTAATTCAATAAAAATATGCCTGGCTCATTTGTGTTCTTGCATCCCATGCCAACCTGCAATGTATTTTAATTTCAAAAATGATATATACATATATCTAATATATATATATAACAAAAATAGGAAAATAATGGGCAAAATCCGCAAAAAGTGGATTCGAGCAGAAAATAGTATAGGTAACCCGAGCGATACGTATTTCTGCTGGTTGGCTTCATCAGGCCCGAAATGAATGAACATATGCAACTACAAAAGTAGATACACATGCCCACACATCCGGATACGGGTGTAACCTGAGGAAACGAAGATGGAGAGGAAAAAAAAGACACACGAAGTCCACAACAAGAGCCAACCTACACATTGTAGTATAAAATGGCTAGAAGACCTTGAATTTTCAAGGCGACAAATAACCACAACCACGCGGCCAGTTATAGCCACTTGCTGTGGTACTTCAAGCCCAAAGAATCTACATAGAGAAAATTATCATACGGAGAAAGGTATATAACAAAAATAGGAAAATAATGGGCAAAATCCGCAAAAAGTGGATTCGAGCAGAAAATAGGATAGGTAACCCGAGCGATACGTATTTCTGCTGGTTGGCTTCATCAGGCCCGAAATGAATGCACATATGCAACTACAAAAGTAGATACACATGCCTTGAAGTACCACAGCAAGTGGCTATAACCGGCCGCGTGGTTGTGGTTATTTGTCGCCTTGAAAATTCAAGGTCTTCTAGCCATTTTATACTACAATATGTAGGTTGGCTCTTGTTGTGGACTTCGTGTGTCTTTTTTTTCCTCTCCATCTTCGTTTCCTCAGGTTACACCCATATCCGGATGTGTGGGCATGTGTATCTACTTTTGTAGTTGCATATGTGCATTCATTTCGGGCCTGATGAAGCCAACCAGCAGAAATACGTATCGCTCGGGTTACCTATCCTATTTTCTGCTCGAATCCACTTTTTGCGGATTTTGCCCATTATTTTCCTATTTTTGTTATATACCTTTCTCCGTATGATAATTTTCTCTATATATATATATTTTTTTGATGTCAAGTTATATCACAAAAAATCATGTCAATTATTTCCTCGGTCCCTATGACTTGGAAAGTATCCTCCAGATTTTGATGAAACTTTCGCACAAGGTTACTACTATGTCAGTTGTAGATGAGCTACAGGGTAAAACATACTCAAAATATCAAAGTTCACTTAGTACCAAAGTTGAGGTTCAATGTAACAATGTAAGATTTACAGTGCCTGAGGAATATTTCTATATCACAGCCTTAATTTGTTCCTTACATAATCTTTTATGAACTGTTGACAGTGTTGTGTGGGAAGTGCAGAGTCAACTTACTTGATGCCATTTTTCAATTACTCTTTTAGATCACCGATTCCAATGTGCTAGCAGTGCTGAGGAAAATGAGACAGCATCAGAGGATGAGCAAGTACCTATTGTCTACCAGTATGAGATGGTAGAAAGAACAGTAAAACGCAGGGGTCACTTGCCTAAAGATGCTGTAAAGATCCTTAAAAATTGGTTATATGAACACAGATTCAATGCATATCCGACAGAGATTGAGAAGCATATTCTTTCTCAGGAGACCAATCTCACAGTTTTACAAATCAGCAACTGGTTCATCAATGCTAGACGAAGATACTTACCAGAAATGATGAGAAGAGAAGGGTAAGAGGAGATTTTTTTGTATTCTAATCAATTCCATTAATTTCCATTTAATATGGTACATGTATACAGTCTGGATATTATCTTTGCTGAATTGAATTTTGGCTACTCAAAACACCAGTATTTAGGTCGCAATTTTGTATAAAAGTTTTTCAAATATATTTGTGCAAGTAGATTTCTGATATTGAATTTGGTATCTGTACCTTCTTAATAGTTCAATGTAGTCTAGTCATATTACATATTTTTGTAAGGAAAACACTTTTTCGTATTCAAAGGCTTCTAAGACCTTAACATAAGTTTTCCATGCAAAGTTTCTTAGGTGTGTTCAAAGAAACTGTTGAAGGTGCAGACAAAAACTGGTAAACATAGTATTTCTAAGAATAACATTTGTGATTTTGGACAGATTCAAATATTGTTACTGATATTCTAAATTTAATATATCATAGTGAGTTTTTTTATGTCAGTGATTCAAGCAAAGTTTCATAGTTAGTCTAGCAATAAATAATAAATTATGCTTGAAAAATTTCACTTGAAAGCTATGTAGTATGTAACAATTATTACTAATCTTAATTAACTAGTGTGTAGAGTATTGATCGACCAGCCAAAGATTGCTAGGGACGAAAGGGGGAAATGCGATGAAAAAACCTTACCATTAGACGATTTTATATGGAGTCATAGGCGGAGATCGGAGAGACTTGAATTATTAATTGAATTTATATTTTATTACAACTGGTAGTATTAATATTTTTTTGCGATTCATAATGACGTGATACCAAACATACATTATAAGAAATAAATATACACAAACACTGAATATTGAGAACAAAATAAATATATTTTTTAGGCAACAAGTAATATTCCTATGTACGCATTATGATTGAACAGCAAAACAAATTATGCATTCTTCTAAAATAGAATACAACAAGTCAAAAATATCTGACTGAATAGAAAAATATAGGAAAACAAAAAGTAATTTCTTGATGAAATAACCCATAAACAACACATAGAATTAGACTTTCTACTGAGATACTAAAAGCCACAAACCAATAGTATAATAAATGAATATCTAAAAATTCTAAAAGGTAGCCAATCTAGTATAGTTTCAATCCTGATTAGAGTCATGATCACTGTCTGAGGAACTGTCATTGCTATCACTTTCACCTCCTATGTTGATTATTATTTCTTCCTGTATTTCTTGAATGAGACTGTCTTTTTCCCAATATTCATCTTCAATTTTTATAACATGTCCAATAACCTTTTGCCAGTCACTGGCACTTACTGAAGCGATGGCCTTATTAGAAATTTCATCTAGTTTTTTTATAGTAAATTCGCCGCTTGTATTATGGCTTCTAATGAAAAATTTTACTTGTGCCCAAATCATCTCTATGGGATTAAACTGACACATATAGGGTGGCGTTCGAAGTGGGGTGTGTCCGAAACTTCTTATTAAATTATCTATCTTATAATTTTTCTCATCAGATGGTGGCCTATGTAGACAAGCTATTTCATAAAGCTCCATTTTTTTAGCATTAGGATCATGCTCTATACCTTTTTTGCTCAACCACGTGATGATGTCTCTTTTTAGAGAAGATCTAGTTGGAGGCTTGTCTTCCAAAGCTGAATGGTAAGGTGCATTATCCATTATTATAATACTATTAGGAGGAATGTTAGGAAATAGTTTTTCAGTAAGCCACTTCGTGAAATTTTCTTGGTTCATTTGACCGTGATAATCACCAGTGGCACAGCCAGCCTTGAAAATGAGACAGGCTCCAGGAACAAAACCATCTTGCGAACCCGCATGAACAATTATAAGTCGTCCTGGAAATGAATAAATAGCCTCATTTTAGTGTTATTTTAAGTTTGCCAACACCTTTTTGAATCACTATGTATAAAAAACATATTTTTGAGAAAAAAATACTTGCAAGGGATTATGTATTCAATTAGACAAATTAAATGAGCACTTATTAAGAATATTCCAAAATTGAGAAAAATGTATAATAAGCAAAATCGAGGTGAAAGAAACTTTATTACCTGTAGAACTTATATTGCTCAGGACACCCATAATTTCTTCGCTTTGCCAGCATTTCTTGAAAGTGAGGTCATTATCAACCCAAGTTTCGTCCAAATAAATAATATGCCTTCCTTCTTCCCGGAACTTTTTAATAGACCTAAGATACTTGTATCGCCAATGTAAAATACTGGGTCTTTCCATTAGTAATTTCCTTTTGTTGTGGCATTTACGCCAGTAAAATCCTTTTGCTTTTAAAAGCAGCCTCAACGATTCTTTACCAAATGGAAATTCCATTTCTTCCTTCAGTTTGATTAGAAGTTTACTACAAGTAGGTACCACTTTAAAATCACAGTAAAATTTTTCTATCATTCTCCGAATAATGGAAAAATCGACTCCATCAATTTTTTGGATCACAGAAGGGCGTGATCTCTTTTTTCCGGGAGAAGCTAAAGGCTGTGTGGAGGTTGCATTTTGCCTGTCTTTATCTTCTTTTCTAATTTTACTTATAGTTCGTTCACTAACACCCGTATAATATGCCGCCCTTGCATTTCTAGCTACCAGTGGATAAACGAAAGTATTGTTAGCCGCTTCTGCATCGCAAGCACGTATCACGTTTGCTATTATTTCCCTTGCCTGGCTGTGAATAACTTTCCCATGCTTGAATTCCATTATCACCACTAAACAGTAAATTATATTTTCAAAGTATTTGCCAACTGCCTACGCCTATGGGAGTAGGTTTATAAATGACCGTGCCATCGGCACGTTATTCTAGTTTCAGATAAGATAAGAGTTTTGGACCAATCAGCGACCGGATGTTTACCTGCGGCCTGGGTTTTCCAGCTACATTGCCAAATTCAGCGGAACAATTCTATATCTTAAATATGTTAATATGTATGGACCGCATTTTATGTAGAACATCTGACAACTTCGCAATTTTTTGTCCGCATTCTTTCGGCTTGCAATCTTTCGCTGGTCCAACAGTAGTAACTCTTTGCTCAAAACTATGATGTATTTTCTTTGATATGGTACTGAACATTTTTGAGGGATGGGTGGGTTTTTAATTTTTTTTAGTTTGACATCAATATTTTGTTTGTTTTTATTTAAATTCAACTACATATACTTGTAACTAAAATGTAAGTTATATTAAAATTTTCTGTTAAACAGATGTATATTATTCTACCATTTCACATGGTGTTTCAAAATTTGATTACAGCTATGAAACTAAGCCAAAATATCTTGCAGAATATTTTGAAAATAGATCTAATTGCTGAAAATAGCATTCTAGTTTCATTTCCATATAATAAGCGTTCTTCTATTTTAGAGGACTATATTTTTCATATTTATTTAGGTGTTTGTCTGATGTTGTTACTACTGGGTGTCTCAATAGATAGATACTTTAGGTTTTATATTTGGCGCCATTTTTCAGAGATAACCCCCCGGGAATTTAATTATGGATTATTTTACAACAAAGGAATGCATGAAAATTGTGCAAATGTACTAGGAAAGGTCACTCACGTTTTTTGCAATACTTGAAATATTTACAAATATGAACTTTATGGGCATGTGGCAACCAGGCACACAAGATGACCCATCTAACCCAGCTTAACTTTTTTGGTGGGGATCTTCAAAAATAATTTCTATTTAAAGAATTCTCAGATGACTAATGACCTGAAGCAGAACATTGTCAAACTAGGTGAAATTGGGCCGCAATTGTGCCAGAAGTGCTGGAGTGATCATCTGTAGAAACAGCAGAGGGTGACACTTCTAGTATATTCTTTTTAAAACATGACTCACTTATTACATTTTGATTGTATTCACAAGCATGATATTTTTCAGAAATTGAATCTTTTATTTAAAAACAAAATCCTGAAGCACCTACTGGGATACCCTTTACCCTTGAAATTACATTACTGTAACTAATGAAACTATTGTTATTATAAGGAGATCATGTTAGGTCATTTTTGCCAGGCACATTGTTAATCGCACAGATTTTATTAGTATATTTTCGCTGAGGCAGTGAGACTCGTTAATCTGACTAGACTACAGGTCAGGTATATCAACTGCCTAACTGACCCAATCTAAACCTGTAATTTAGGCTGCGCTTTTCCAGCTACGACTCTGTCCACTACACGATAACCCGCAGGCGGCGATCATCTTCATCGCAGCGGCGCAACAGCGGCGGCGGTACACCGGGCGGCGGTTCCACCACTGAAGTATACTACCCCAAGGGGGCGAAACTGATGAGGGTGGACGGCACAGCGATCGCTACGGCAGGGGATGATAGCCAGTCTGAGTATGAGGTGGAGCCTAACGGGTGAGTATAATGATGGTTGGCATAAAACAATTAATTTTAACTGTCAACTTGAATCTTTAGTCATGGAAAAAGTTAATATCATAAAAGGCCTCGTAGTTGATATGGATCATAATCTTTCTTTTAAAAATCACAATGAATGTATAACCAATAAGGCAATAAAACTGTTGGGGTTTGTGGTTCGAATATTGAAGGATTTTAAAAACATTTTTTCTTTGAAAGACACATACTATGTAATAGTAAGATCCATTTTGGAGTATGCTTGTTCTGTTTGGTCACCTGACTATAACATTCATATACATTCAATAGAGTGCATACCGACGTTTTTAATTCACATAGCCTATAAACTGAAAATACCATCAGAACAGATTTATTATGGTGACTTCAATCATCTATAAAGTAAGTAAGGATTTATTTTGATAATTGCACCTTGAATAAATTGTATCATGGACTGATATGTTCCACAGACCTTTTATATAAAATTAATTTTCTGTTAATCCTCACAAAACTAACTGTGCCATGAATGAGCAACCACCAAATTTATGACATTTAAATGCTACTTTGATTCCATAAATTTAAAAAATGTTCTCATACCGTTAACAGACACCATCAAATTTTTGACTGACCAATGATCATAAATTGAATTTTTCTTGCTTACTCGATTAGCAGTTACTTTGCCTTATTTGAGAGTAGATTGATATATAGCATTCCCTTTTGGTGTGTCTGTTCCCAGAATCGTTTAAAAAAGTGCTTATTCTACAAAAACGAACTATTAGGTATACAGGGTTTGTCCGGAAAGTAATAGGACTGAGTCGATTTAAAAAAAATTATTGAGCCAATCGTTACAATTATTTAAAAACTTTCAAAATAGGCTCCTTCTGTGTCGATGCAGCGCTGCCAGCGCGATTTCCAAGCATTGAAGGCGTCACGGAAGGCATTCTCCGGAATAGCCTTGAGAGCCGCGGTGCATGCTGCCACATCTGGGCTGAAGGGCGGCTGCGGAAGCGTTGGGATGCCGGCCTTGGTCAGGTAGCTGTTCACAAGAAAGGCGGTGTGAGCGGGGCGTTGTCGTGGTGCAACTTTCAGTCGGCTGCGATGTCTTTTCGGACCCGACTGACCCTTCGTTTGATTCTCCTGAGCACTTCCACGTAAAACTTGGCGTTGACGGTTTGTCCAGGAGGAACAAATTCATGGTGGACGATGCCTTTGATGTCAAAAAAGACAATGAGCATGGTTTTCACTTTGAATTTGCTCATTCTTCCCTTTTTTGGGCGAGGAGACGCCGTCGTGTGCCACTCGGAAGATTGCCTCTTTCTCTCGGGATCATACTCAAAGATCCACGACTCGTCACCTGTGATTACGTTATTCAAAAATTGGGGGTCACTTTCACACATGTTCAAATTTTCTTGGCACACTTCCACTCGTCGCAATTTCTGGTCGTCAGTGAGCACTTTTGGGACCATCTTCGCGCACACCTTGCGCATGTTCAAATGCTGTGTCACAATGTCATGAACCACAGATTTTGGTAAATTTAACATCTGGGAAATTAAACGAATACAAAGTCGACGGTCTGAGTTCAAAACTTTGCGCACACGAGTCACATTATCGGTGTTTGTCGAAGTCGAAGGTCTTCCAGCACGGTCTTCATCAGCGACCTCTTCCCGGCCCTCCAAAAAGGCCTGGTGCCACCGAAACACACCACTTCTTGCTAAAGCAACACCTGGGTAAGCCTGCTTGATCATATCAAACGTCTCTGTCGCAGATTTACCGAGTTTCACACAGAATTTAATCGCGTACCTCTGCTCTAACGAACGCTGCATTTTCGGCTTGCACGACTCACAGAAACACATCGCGCGAAAATGCCTGCCCTGACTCTCCGAGTGCTCGGAGACAACTGACCAGCCGCTCATTCGTTAGCTAGGAACGCCCTCTACCGAATTCAGTCGGTGCGCGCACGCTCCAGTACAGTCATGGCGGAAGAAAACGAGTCCTATTACTTTCCGGACAAACCCTGTATAACCAAAATCAATCCTAGAGCCACACTCAGGCCTTTATCTTTAAATCTTAAAATAACGGCCGTCGAATTTCTGTGTGTAAATGTTGTTTTATTCACATTTGCACCATGAGCTATGAGTGGCTATGTGCCATATAAGCACATGACTACTTGCTGTGTAAACATATAACCTCACTTACTTTTGCTAGGTTGTCAGTTTTTGTATACAAATTTGATATCAAATTTCATATTGTGAGGTGGGTTCCTAAGTCCGATACAGGTTTCAAAATGATCCATTTTCTACCTCATTTGGTCTTACAATGCTCCACAGTTTTTTGACGGTAATATTCGAATTCAACGCCCGATTTCATTTGCTTGTTACATTGGGATATGAAGTCGAAGTCAAGTTTTCTATGAGTAAATTGTCACAAATCACTGCATATCTATAATCTGAGCAAAGACTCGTTTCTTGAGTAAATCGAGTACGTAGATTTCGAATTCGACATAATTTGATGTGTAGAACCGACCTTTCCTCTACCTCAAATTATGTCTCACGACTCCTCACGATTTTTTGAAGATCATATCCATATTCTGCGCCCCAATTTACCAGGTCTTATTTATTTGTAAAAAAAACTGCATAATGATATGTCCTACGCAAAAAATTCAAAAACATTTACGTATCTGTCATCTGTCCAAAGGGTCATTTTCTGGGTAGATCAAGTGAATATGTTTCTAACTTAAAGTCAATTTGACACTGGGATCTATGGGGTTTATCTAACAATCGATTTACAACCGTGGTACTTTGTATGATTTTTTGACGGGCATATTCGAATTCAGCGCCCCAAAATACCTGAGTGTCCCAAATTTTATACGCTTGAATCAACAAGCGTCAAAAATTAAAATTTCGACTCACAGTCATATAGTGATATATTTTTCGAAATTGCAGATATGTACTGGCTTCGTCGACTGCAGCCAGAACGCCGACAGGTGTAAAGAGACGTCGATTGACAACCATACCTAGGAGTTCCATCTCTGGAGGCGAGAAATTCGATCCCTGGAATGCAGATGTTCACTACGGCCTCACCGATAATCCAGCTGAAAGAGGGTGAGTAACATAATGCGTAACAGAAAAATCGGGTTGAGTCCAAAGAGGATAGGTTACCCTGCCTAGAGGCATTCATAAGGATTATACATTGAAAAAGAACCTCCTCGCGTCTGGACTGGTTACAACGGCTTCACAAATGCTATTATGTTTTTACTGAGATTTTCTTGAGAGTTGAAATTAAAAAAGTGTTTTGTCTCGTTGCAATTTAATAACACTACATTTTTTATCCCTTTTCAGAGGAGAGGCGATCCAGGTGACTCATGCCGAAGAAGTAACAAATGTCACACAAGGCTCCTCAGGCGTTCTACCCTCTAACTTAATGGTTGTAAGAACAGCATCTGGCAAAAACATCGTTCTGAAGGTCATATCTCAGACGACAGAGGTATGAAGATTGAATTTTTTCATCTAGAAAGTTTTACCGAGTTTCTGACATCCTATAGGTTTTCTACGTAGTAACCCTGCCGATCGGTACTTACTGTGATGCGGCAGTATTTATCATGGAATGTGATAATGAGGTTTTGTGCCCATTGCAGATTCTACCTACCCTTTTTCCGTTGATTTGCAATTTTTATTTTTTCCAGATCCCGAAGACATATGTACTGAAGCAGGCAAAGACCATCAAGGTGGAACCACCAAAAGCATCTCCGTTCAAACTCCAAACAGTCACCAAAATGCCGGTTCAACATCAGCATGTACAACCAATGCAGAACATCAAATACGAGGTGATTGAAGACGACCAAGATGTGGAAGAAGAGGTGCAAGACATTGATAATGTGGATCAATACGAGGAACATCTGGTGGAGGAAAATGAAGAGATATCTGGGGATGTTCCTGATGGAGTTACTGAGGTAAGTTTGGATTTGAGGTGGATTAACTATACATATTATGTTGATATTTGGTGAGTTATCATTACTAATATTATAAGTGAGAAACTTTCGATGTTTGTTACTTAATCATGTCAAGATAATAAAAATAATAAAGGGATCTATGATTGACCCTAACAACTACAGGCCTATAGTGTAACATTTCTGTTATAAGTGAGGTGATGGACAGGTCAATAAATCGGGCTTGATTAGCGTCAGGCAGTATGGTTTTCGACATCAGCAATCCACGGGGCACCTTCTAGGTTACTTCCCGCAACTGTGGAGTGAACTCATCCAGTCTTATAGTGAGACTCATGCTATTGCTCTTGATATCACGAAAGCATTTGATCAGCTGTGACATGCTGCCCTCTTATGTAAGCTTCCAACGAAGCTGCAGATGGGTGGCTGACTCTCTTTCTGGCCACAAGATATCCGTCGTAATTGCAGGATTCTCCTCTTCATTTCACTACGTCAACGCAGGGATCGGCCTTGGCTACGACAATGTTGTCGTTGCACATGATCGCCCTCCTTTCCTTATGATCAATCCAATCCACAGCTTTGAGGTGTGCCCGCGGTTGGTTATGGTTACCGGAGACGGAAAGCAAACATGTCCTTTTCAGCTTTTTTTTAATCTGCAACATCCTGTATTTTTAACAGGAAGAGCTAGTAGACGCCCAAGAGCACGTAGTAGAAGAAGGCGAGGTAATCGCGGTAGAAGGCGAAAACTACCTCGGAGATGAAGTATACGAAACCGTGGAAGAGGTCCCCGAACCGGAAGAGGTTTTTGTCAACGAGGTCACGCTTGAGGACAACGTGAACGAGGTGACGATTGAGGAGCCTGTCCATGAGGTCATGGTGGAACATGAAGAGGGAGAGGAGGAAACATTAGAAGATTGCGATGAGGTCATCATCAGCGATATGCAGTTGGAATAGTGGCGCCTAGAGGACGCGATTTGTTATGAACAAAGGGCGGTGTTTTAGATTTTTCATGGTTAGGTAATGTTGTGTTGCGTAGAAGCCGGGCCTTAACGGAGGAAGTTTACAGTTTTGAGGTGAATGTTGGAAGTCTGATGCCAGAATGAATTAATTGTTTCTACGTGGGAGAATCTAATATGGGCTTGCTGCATGTAAGGATTTTATTTACGTATAGGTATAAATAATTTGAGTATTCATTTATAAAATCTCTAAAAGGCAAAATATTTTGGATCATCAGGTAAATGTGTTGACTCAAAAATTTAAAATATAATGTGGATAATAGCAATGCAACGAGCGTTTTAAGATCCAGAGAACAGAGAAGTTTATGTGAACTTCAACTTCATTGCTTTTTGATGGCATATATTTACGAGTATAGTATGTAGTGTTATATAGTTTGCTGTAGCTCCTTGACAACAAGAAAGAAATGTCAACATATATCTGCTATAATTCACTAAGAAGTGTAAGAGTTTAAATAGTCTTTTTTGGCATAGAATGTAACTAAATATACAATAATTTCTTGTACATAATTCAAGAAAGCTTACATCTAGCAAGAGGTTTCATAGTTTTTCTGTATATATATAGTATAGGTCTGCTAAATCTCAAAACGTAGCTACGTCTTCTTCAATTTGAGAAAGCGCGTATAAATTATTCGATTATGTCAATTGTTCTCCACTATTAATGAGTATTGTTATCAGTAAATTTTGGATGCGAATTGAAGAGATGACTATTTGATACTTCTTCCATTTTGGCTAGGTGGCTGCGGGATGTATATTATTTTTTTTCCGATATAAGGTGTACGTGTATCATTATTATCAATATTTTGTCGAATAGAGTTCTCCGGTTTTCTACGCTTTATAAAATGTATAAAGTTTTTTGTCGATTCTCAAGCACTTACATAACCATAATTTGTTTATATATAACGAGGTAGAACCAGCGAAAGTGTCCTATGTACACTTTGTCTATTGTATTCATGTCATGGATAGATAATTTTAAATCCTAGATAAATACTTGTTTTAGCTCTTTTTTATGAGAATAAAGCGTAAACCACTTTTTTGTGTTTCAACATTCATGCCTACCATGGTGTCAGGTCTGCTAACCTTGGGTCTAGGGCATGAGGAAAAAATTACACAAAAAATTGGAAGGAATGAAGGAGGAAAACAAAGAGGAGGAAGATAATTTCGATTTGGCGAGTGGATTAAAATATAGTCTAGTGAAATCAAGATCGCAAGTTTATTTGACAAACTTCACGAAGTGGATAACTCGATCCTGTCGGGTGGATTGACTTATAAAGTCTGGAGAAATTATTATTAGGCAAGCACTTTGATTTTTCTGTATTTCTACCGAAATCATACCTTATTTATCGAAATACCGAAAAAGAGATAACTAATCTGACTATGCCATTTTATGGTCTATAATGCGCACACTTAGGCAGTCGGGCACACGAGGGATGCAGCTTTGGGTTGCTTATAATTATGTACGCGCCTTACGCCGCATGCCGTGTATTGGTTACTCTGCATCGTTGGCAATAACGAATCGGGTATAAATCTAGCAAAACTTGTTTGCGGTGTTGTGTTTTTTGTATGCAAATGAACTTTTCTAAATAAAAGGGCTGTTAGAAAGTACAAAATGAATCTGTAGCGTACAAAAAACCAAATCAAAATACGGCTCTGACTACCTGGCAAATTTTGAGATAGTAGATAATCAGCTGTCATTCTAACGTGATGGATACTCGTGAAGTCGTGAAATAGGGTATACAGGCTGGTGGCTCACCCTCATTATCGAACAAGTAATAAGGAAACCAAAGCTCGTCCGTTTTTAATTAAATATTAAATCATAATGTCAGATGATGGGGTTTCAAGTTCAGTGGTGGAACAGAAAAATCTTATAAACAAGAATGCAAAAATCGTTATAAAGTAGTTTGAAGAGTAACCAGTATGCTCATAGGACAAATTTTAATAAATGATTTAACTTTTGCCAGGAAAAGATGCTCTTAAAAAACCTGTGCTACGTGTGCGCACGCAATACAAATAAAAGTGATTGTTTTCGTAGACGGCGCTGCGTGACGTAGAGGCACTTGATCCACTGTTGATCTGACGACGGCAATGATTTCTCCTTCTACCGTTTTTGTTCATGAATTTACCGATTTCCAGTAACACCACATACCTGTTTCTTTTTCGGTTCGGCAACACTGCCTCGAACGGAAGTATACTATTTTTCACGATATTTCATCACGGTAAAAGGTGTCAACAAATAACAGCTGGTTATCTAGAGACATTCAAAATACCAAATAACGTACATATCATTGATACATTGTCCTGGTGTTTTTTGACACATGTTGAAATTAACAACAACAATGCTCTTGACATTAAGAGTGATAACGCTATGGATTTTTAGTACACTTAGTGGAATTCACTTCAGATGGCACTCAAAGCAGGGTACAATGTCATGTATACTACTTACACCCCCTGATATCAAGTGACGCACAACTCTGACATAGTCGTATTAAGAGGAGTCAGTGAAAGTATGCTTGTGGAATCAGCTGTTTACCTGGTAGACTTTAAAACATGTTGACATATCGTGAAAGATAATGTAACACCAGAAACTTATCCTGTGCTGTTAGGGGTACCGAGTCAATCTACTTGCCACTATTTTTTTCCGATTATTTTCTAATAAAACATCCGTAACGAAAGACGATTTTAGTGTTTCGAAATTTTCAGCGTCTGAAGATAGACTACCATGCTTGATAGTCAAAGTTGCCTCAAAGAAGTCCTAAGATATTTTAATGACTTTTAATATCGAAAAGCTTCTGTCAACTGTTGAAGTAGTAATTTCTTAAAGAGTTATAAATAAAAAGAATGCTGCTATCAAATAGCTGTACAATCTACTATAAGAAGAGAATTGAGAATTTTTAATTCAACTTACGACATAAAAACTTGTTAAATATACATTTAACGCATATTTTTTGTACGGCGGACAATTAAAGGTATTCTTGTAATTCTAAGAAAACACATTAAATAATTATTTAACATATATTTCACGGAAATATTTACAGAAAGAAATTTTTCGCTAACCCTGTATAGTATGTAAAGTAAAATATACATCTCGAAAATCGCAATATATCTTTGCGTACAATATGAATACATCGTATCAGTTCATATCCTAACGAAGTCTTAGAATACCCGACTTAAATAGAGAAAGTATAAATATAGCACACGTTTTTTAAAATATGTATACGTTAATTTACATTATTATATGGCAAGTTATGTACAACGGTTATAAGACTGATATGTAAAATAGAGATCATTCCCTAAAGCGATGCTATTCGGGCGATCAGAGTGTAGGTTTATCCTATCACACACTTTCGTTCTCTAAGAAGTTGAGGATATAGAATCCCACCAGTATTGACGTAAAAGTTTAGTGGCGATCCCGATTGACATCTTATAATATGAGAATATGTTTTTGTAATCTACCTAATCAAGAAGTTGTTTTTTTGAGAATAAAAATACGATATTGGATTTCGAGCTAAAATGGAATGAGTATTACACAGGTTATATCCCAATCTGTTTACAGTTGTTGAAGGCATGCATTTTTTAAAGTTGAAAGAGCTGCGTCATTGTTTGAAAGGCAAATGATTTGAACTCTGATATCGATGTCTCATATTGGTTCAAGAACCTTGGTGGGTGATTTGATTGGGTTATAAACTCTTTTACACTGAAGACGACGTATATATGAGAGAACATGTAAGTAGATTACCAAAATATATGCTGACCCTCGAACCACATCACGTTTATCCACCTACACCGGATAAAAGAAACGTACTTTGTTCAAAAGAAAGAACGCTATCATCTTGAGATGTGAAGCTCAAAATTTTCATTCACCAAAGCTCCATAACCTCTAAGATCAATAGCCTTTCTGTTATACATTGTACTTTTCAAGCTATCTTTCAAAAGTTTTACTCACGACCATCTAAATGTTATATTTCAGTTCGATACATTGTTTATTGTCCTATCTAAGGAGAATGACTTTGTTTAGTAGATTTCTAAAATTAAGTCAGTGCAATGGTTTTTCTCAGCGTAAGCTACTCTCGGTTTATCACAGTTGTGCCGTTTATTGTTGAATGGAGTAATATTGATAATGCCTTATGCTGCTTGACTGTGTATGATCATATTTTGCGTCATTCTGATATTGCGAAGGAGTAATATGATTTTTTGTACATTTATCATATGAAATATCGTGTATTTACAAAGTCTATAGATATATGTTCTTTTAATATACACAAGGAAGAAATTATTTAATAAAAAGTGAAGCTTTAACTTTTGAATTCCTATTAAGACTACAGTATCAGCTATTAGGATAACTTAAACTAACTTTTGAATTTTATGTTACGTTTCAATGGTGGGCGTTTTTGGACGAACAACAACCGAACACCTTAAAATGGAACTATAGTATGGCTCAGAAATTAATAAAAAAATATTACAGAGATTATTTCAGGGTACTAGCCCTGCTCATAAGTCACTTTGTCACTTGTATAATGGTCAAACCTTATAATTATCTTACGATATTATTAGTAAGGATGTACTGTCCAGCATATTACATTCACTGTCGACGTTTAGTCACTCGTAAAGTAAAAGACTAATATCAAACATTTCTTGAAGTCAACCAGCAAAGAAAGTACTGACGTTAATAAATGATTTATTTCGTTCCACATTATCTTAATAGAGTGCGATAAATGAAGAAAGAGCATTGGATCACTTATCGAAAGTATGACTCTTCGCAGAACTGCTGACCAAAATCACATAAACTCAAAAATATAATTATTCTGTATTTCAAATTTCGAAATTTGCTTACTGTATGGTTCGCCTAAATAAAATTTTAAATGTTCATACGGATTCTAATGGTTGCACTTTCGCCTAAATTTCAACCCTTGAGAAATTGTCTTCTGTGACTAAATTTTATTCAACGTTATATTGAAATTTCAATTGCATATATTTTTCAGATTAGTTTTTTGGTCTGAGTTGCGGTCCAAAATTGTCTTAGGCCCGTATCGTCAGTCGTCCCTACAATTGTAGGGCGCGTTTATGGCCTCCTAGATTGTCATACTCGTTTCCCTCCTTCGAAAATTTCTAGATTACATTTGTCCCGTGTCAGCGTCAGCGCTCTCCTATTGTGAAGATATGTTTTCTTTTTAAATTGTAGGAAATTTCAGGCTGATAAAACATGATATAACTCAAAAGCAAGCACAATTTGATGCAAATAGATATTTGTGAGATAACCTCAAAACAGAGCGTTGACAGGGAGAAGTAGAAAGCTATGACAATCAAGGAGGCCATAAAGGCGCCCTACGATTGTAGCGACGACTGACGATACGGGCCTTAGACACTTCCAACGCACCAAACTTTGGGCATGGTTTACACAGTCTCGTTTGCATCTTAAATAAAACAACACCAGAATTAGCTGAGGCTCGATTCTAGGAAACAAGAATCTTCATGTCTTCGTATATGTTAAATATACTACAGAGTGTTGTAGTATTTGATACCGTCCTGATCGCCCGTTATGGGCAAAAGCAACCGCTATATGTCCGTAGCGCCCACATCTGCCAGTTGCAGTCGCCTTTCCTGCCATCGTTGGACATTTGGAATGAAGAACAAAATCAGGCCACTGAGACTGATTGTTATACCTGCTAGGCAGAAGCCTGGGTTGTAGGATAGGGTCCAATCGTATAGACTGCCTAAAAACAAAAAAACAACGATGATTTAAATACTTCCTAGGCTAATATCTTAATTTCTCGATAAAGAATAAAACATATAGTGGCACCAGTTCCTATAACAGATACAAATCAAATCCAAGCGAATAACCAAAATTTCTGTGTTATATGCCGCGGTTATAATATGGTTCAAGATGACACACGGGTTGATGACGTCAGGTACACGAATCGCTTGAACGCGTTGGTTTTAACCGCGGTTTTGTTGCAAGTTGTTTATTTTAGAAAAGCGCGTATATAATCTCTGATTATTTTTATTATCACTTAATAATCGGTGCTTTTTCGTCTACAACTGTATATGGAAAGTTTAAATAAGAAACCTTTCATAATATTCATGGGAGAAATGTTTTTTTCAGATTTTTTTTTTAATGATGGAACCATGGCTTTGTAGCTATGATAACTTTCAATTCTCTAAATTTTTCCGCATGTCAAAGAAAACATTTATTGATTCAGCAGAAATGATGAAAAAAGAAATTAGTAAAACCGTATACAGGTGGATATCATCTAGTAAGTTTATATGGCCATATTTTAATATTCTTGTGGTATATGGCTACACAGGATACTTTGTTAAGCATAGGAACTACATTTAAAGTGTCCTCAACAACCGTAATGAGTATAACTAATAAGGTGCTCCACTTTATGGTAAAACTGAAGTCAGCCTGTATCATTTTTCTCAAAAATGAAGCTGAAGTACAATAACAATATCCAATAGCCGGCAAAATTCTAACTTGTCACATTTCAAATAATAACCAGAAATATAAAACTACTCTTGAGTAAATGTCAAGGGATTACGAATGTATTATTAGAATTACTGTGTTTTCAAAATAGTGGAACCAGTGTACTGGACCCTGTACAACTGATACAACTGTGCTGGAACAAGACTGTTTTATTTGAAGACGGTTCATTTTATTGATAGTAAACAAGTGGTAATTTATTTTTTAGCTTAAAGATCAGGCTTCCTAAAAAATGTTATCATTGAGCCATTAATATATAAGTTCAATTTTCTAGCAAAATTGTGTTTAGGCCAGTCCGCCTGAGTTAATTGTATTCTAATGCTCTCAAAATTTGAATTTTATAGTGCCGTTCTGCAGTTATTTGGGAAAATTCGATTTTAGTTAGCGGAGCCTGTATCCTCGTAGGAGAGACCTATGTTATAAAAACTTGTGGGATCATTTTTTTGTGTTATATATACTCCCAAGATTTTGACATTCTAGGACACCTTGCATCCTAGTATCCTAAGATCCAAAGGTAACCCCACTCTTCTGACGCTCTTTTTAGTGATACGCTTTGGGTGGTATTTTCTAATGTTTTTGATCAGGGTACCCTTGGAAAACTTGAAGCTTACCTGCGATGGGAGGACCTATCAGTGATGCAACGCCCTGGAAGAGCAAGAGTAGTCCGAAGGCATTCGTTAGTCGATCTAAGCCGAGGAGATCGACGAGGATGACAGACGTAAGTCCGACATAGGCGCCAATGAAGAAGCCAAATACTGCAGATGCTATTGCTAACGCGTAAAAACTGCTACAGAAGGCACTCATGAAGATTGCTGAAAAGAATAAAATACGTATAGTTTAACTGAACATGTTACGTTCGTCCGGTCGACCAAAGAAAGCCAACCATGGACAGATGTTTCGTGCCTGTTAGTAACTATGGTCTAGGCTTGGTTTCTGAAACAAGAGCGAAAGCATAGCAACTATCCTTCATGCAAGGTATGAGATCTATCTAAATAAGACAGCGCAAGGTTGGCTGTCTTTGGTCGGACAGCGGTCACTGGTCACAGTGTGTGGTGAATGGACTATCAAACGTAAACTGAGATCTTTATAGTGCCAATCAATAGATGCTATACACTCTCGCAATGATCGATTCTGGTAATAGATGAGCTGTCTTATTTCGACGTTTCGTTTACTTTTACGAAAACACTTCCTTTAAATGACATTTGCGCTGCCTCGGAAGAAGCTCTGCTTTTGGTTCGACTGATTTTTGTGTGACTTATTGTTGCGAACTCTACTGGCCAATAGCAGCGCAAGAATTTTGCCATCGAGAGCCCTATATTTTGATGACGTAAATGGCATTTGGATGGAGTTTTTACGGGAAAACTATGGTTATTTAAACACCTCATTTAGAAAAGTATGGAGCACATGTGACTTACCAATTCCGCATAGAGTAAGACTAGCATTATATACGTAAAGCCTGTTGATCCAGGGTTTGTCTGAGAGGTAGCCCAATATTATTCGGCCTATCGTATTTGCACCGCCCATGACAGATATAAGGACGCCTGCCCTTTCAACTGTCATGCCAAGTTCTTTCGCCTTCGGCACCATGTATACGTAGGGAATGTTGAAACCTATGCTGGTCAACAGGTTACTCATGGAGAATAGGATGAATACTAGGTCCTGAAAACAATATTTTTTATTGCCATTGCCAACTTTGTTAACGAGGGGTATTTATGGTTGAGCTTTTACATGGCTTGAAACTAGAGACGTACATATTTTTGTTCAAAATCCAAGGAAAACGAGTACCTCTAATCTACTTGCTCATTCTGTCAACTGCGCAGATTATGGAAGAAAATCCGAATGGTATATAGAAAATAAAATTGCAAACGGCAACCTGATTGCTGCAGATAGAGTGGACGCTCTTACAAGAAACTAATTTGTTTGATGGGTACAGTATAATATATACGTTGCGTGTCCATGGACACGTCACTTCATTATTATTATTAATTACGAAACAAAAAAGTATAGCCGAAGCTGTAAAACTCAGAAAAATAGAAGTTACAAGAAATATAAAAACTACATGAATTTGAATGATACAAACTGTCCCCGTTTTTGAAAGCATTCGCCGATGAAGAGTTCGCTATATGTAATGAGAAAAAGAAACATCCGCCCAAAATCTAACATATGAAGATATATAATAGCAACAATACAATATCTAAAAACATCTTATAAACTAGATACTAAAATGATCCATTACAAAGATACAGGGTGTTGTAAAAGTTTATATGCCGCTAATGAGACTAAAGCTAAAAGATTAACATTTTTCAAATAATGATATGGCGAGTTAGGAATATCCTCATAATACATTACGCATAATTTTCAATGTCAAATTTCACCAACCACAGCGTTTTTCTAAAGTAGGTACGGGTTGAATTCTTTTACACGGATACAACCCAAAAAATTAACAGACTAAAGGAGTATTTTGGCAAAAAAATCTCAATAAGGGCGATTTTTGTAAAATGGAATAGGTTATTTGAAAATGTAACCTCTGTTTCATAAAAGTTAGTGCCGTAGAAAATAATTTTATTTTTTATTCTGCATGGGAGTCAACATTTCCGTTTTTCTACACCACTGGTGTAGTTTCATGCATGACTTTTGTATGTATTAACTATAATGTCAGAACTACACTATTCTTATCTACTCAGAAGATGTATTTTTTTCTTTGGATTTCGAAATTATAATTTCAATACCCGCCATATGGGCTTTTTAGGACCTTGTTCATATCAACTTTTCGTGTTATTTTCTGATATACTTAAGTCCTGGAAATATTGCCACGATTTTCTGAATCACCCTGTATATATGGTATCATTTGGCCAGAAAAATATCGGGTTTTATATAGAGCATTGACGTCATTAGAAATATTATTCCAGGAATTGTATTCCAAGCGCTTCATCTGAATATTTTCACATTACTTCCCGTTTGATACAAAATACAAGAATAAATGTGTGAGTTTGCCAATTACCTTGAATAAACTGAAATCCAACATTTCTTGGATTTCATCTGAGCAGGGAATAAGTCCGCAGACTTTTCTGGATTCTCCGCTTTCCGAGTCGTGATGATGACGTCTCTTGTAGCTATAAGTTGAGTGCCGGCGCTGCATGAATGGATCATCTTCCGATTTACCCAAATTTTGTCTGGAAAATAATTTAGACATTTAACAATAAACATGTGATATTTACAAAGCCGGAAATTAAATTATGGATCGCTTACAGATATGATTAAGAAAGAACACATCAACTATGAAAACGTATTAGGAAATTTCCCTTTCATTGTTTCATGAAAATCACAATGGTGGAGTCACGGCGAGCGATATTACAAATTTATTTGATGTTAATCTATGTTAGATTAAAGACATTTGTTATATGATTCCTCAAATGGGCAAAAAGCCCAAATCATAGGCAACCAGTTATTATGATGGTAACGTCAGAAATGTAATCAGGACTATAAATTGGTGATCAATTGATCCTCTCAGAATACCAGTAGGCCGCTATGGCTTAACATCCTTCTCTATTCCATATTCGCTTTCGAGGTGCAGTAGATGTAAACAATTTCAGGCTCTAGGGGCTGGGCCAGAATAACCACAGACGTAACAGTGCGCGCGCGATGCAGTGGCGGATCTAGGGGGTGTCCCCCGCTCTTCAACTTTCAATCGCGGATACCACCCGAGACGAGCATTTTTCTGGCCATAAATCTTGAGCCTCCAGCCCCCCCAAAATTTTCAAATTCATGGACCCTCCCCCAAAAATATTTTCGAGATGCGCCCCTGGCGCGATGTGTGAGTTCATGAAAATCTATTACACCACCGATTAACATCTCCCACCACATGAGCTAAAGGTTAATTAGTGGTTACACGCAATGTTTCTTTCGACAATCAACCAATCAGCGTCTTACATCTACGCACTAGAATCACAGAGTATTATACCTAGGCGACACTGTCAAAAATCAGGTTCTATCAACGCCAACTTGAGACCTATGCGTTTGGTGGGATTCGTGTCGCTGTGACATTTAGGATTTAGGGGTTATCAAAAACATTGAGCTTTGTCAATACTATATATACAGGGTGACTTTGAAGTTGAGTCATTAATTTTCAGATAATGATTGTAGAAGGAAGATAAACCAAAATATGTGTGTAAAAATAAAAAAAAAAATAAAAAAAAATGTCACCTTGTTTAATAAAGTATCCTCCCGACAAGTATTTCAGTGCGGACCTGTATTTGATCGTGCGGTCTTGGAGCAGCATGCCCTCACCTGTGAGGTCTTAAGTCACCTGATTCACGAGCCCTTTGCACTACATTAACAAAGGCACGAGGGGTTGGTTGCACTCGATTGGGAAACCGATTCGCATAAATCCGTGATGCATCCGGGAGCATTTTGTAAAGACTGCCCCCCCGTAAATAAGAATCATGTCCACAAGTTCAGCATTTTCGTAAACATGTGCCATTTTTGATTTCGTTTGAGCCACGCAACACACTACTATTCACTCAGGATTTATCGACTGACGAAAAACATCGTGATAAACGTTTCAAATTCTTTCGCTTTTTTGTTTCCGATGCGATGAACCGGTCAGGCGGATTATATCCGTTGTCGCCAAACACGAGCATATAATAGGCAGGGCGGTACTCAAACTTCCAAAGGGCTATAACTTTGTTACTTTAATTTTACCAGAAAAATGGTAAAGGAAAAAAACATTTCTTTTGATCAGATCTACTCACTGTTAAAATAAATGACTCAAATTCGAAGTCACCCTGTATGTATAAATATACAGGGTGTTTCAGTTTATTGTTGCATAACTTTAAGATTCGATAGAACTTTTAAAATTAATGCATAAAGTCTATATAAACATGGGTCGAAAAATGCGTGGCTTCCGAAATACAGGGTGTTTAAATTTACTTTCTAAAATAGCTTTTTTTAAATATTTCGAACAATATTTGATGTATAACAGTGAAAATTGGTATACAAGGGTTTTTTGGTACGACAAAACGAACCATGGTCATAGTTTTACTGTAACCGCTAGAGGGCGCTCTCTACTGTACCTGTAATGTATTGAAATGACCGAAAAAATTTTCTTAGTGCAATTTTTTGCTTTTTGAATAAAAAAACTGATTCTCCGCACTTTTCAACATAAAAAAGCTCTCTTGAGAATTTTCGTTATAGTTAGCCGTTTTTGAGATATTTCGATTTTTAAGGCTCGATGCATTTTTAATTATTTATGATAAAATAACGTTAAAAACCCAGTATCTCGATAATTTTTAGAAGTAGGCTGTGCCTATTTTAGAAATCTCCACACAAAGCAATCTACTGGATTTAGGTCAGGGGATCGTGGAGGCCAGGCGACTGTTCCCCCACGGCCGATCCATCTTTCTCGATAATTTTCGTCCAGCCAGATTCTAACTATTCTCGAATAATGAGCTGGACAACCATCAAGTTTGAACCAGGCCAATCTTCTTAAATCTAACATAACATCATCCCACATATTTGCATGTTCAGCCTTTAAAAATTCCAAGAAGGTCGCAGCATTTAACCTTGCCCGCAAAAGGTAGGGTCCAAATAGTCGATTACAGTAGATACCAACCCACACGTTCACTCTAAATTCATGCTGAAAATTTCTTTCCCGAACTGCATGCGGATTTTCATGCGACCAAATATGTTGATTATGAAAATTTACCACTCCACGTCTAGTGAAGACAAAATGTGATTCTTCGTTCTCCGTCCCCTGGCTGTAGTCCTTGCACAGGTTGCAAATGGTAAGGACTTCTATGGTCATTTTTAAGAACACGGTGAACATGGCTTGCTGAAATTCCCAAGGCACCAGAAACTCTCCTAACACTTGTGGTCGGATCTCTATCAAACTCACGCAGAATCATACGGGTAAATCTGCGCTGACGAATATTTATGTTTTGATCCCTTTGGAGATTTCCAAAACCATTTTCAATTATTTGGCGATGCACTCTTACAAATACTGAGCGAGTTGGATGTCGTCTGTTTGGAAATCTTCGTACGTATTCTCTGGCTGCTTCTGCTGCGTTTCCATTTACAAAGCCATACACAAAATGAATATCCGCTAACTCTTGATTGGAGAATAAAACTGGCATTTTTACAAAACTTACAAAAAAAACAGGTAAAAGAAACTAAATTTCGTGCATTCACAATTGCAAAAAAATGTTTCAGGTTTCAACAGACAACAAAACTATAACTGTCAACTAATTGACGTTTAACCTTATTCTGCTTTCAATTTTAAAAGTATTTGCAGCTGTGCCTACTTCTAAAAATTATCGAGATACTGAGCTTTTAACGTTATTTTATCATAAATAATAAAAAATGCATCGAGCCTTAAAAATCGAAATATCTCAAAAATGGCTAACTATAACGAAAATTCACAAGAGAGCTTTTTATGTTGAAAAGTGCGGAGAATCAGTTTTTTTATTCAAAAAGCAAAAAATTGCACTAAGCAAATTTTTTCGGTCATTTTAATACGCTACAGGTACAGTAGAGAGCGCCCTCTAGCGGCTACAGTAAAACTATGCCCATGGTTCGTTTTGTCGTACCAAAAAACCCTTGTATACCAATGTTCACTGTTATACATCAAATATTGTTCGAAATAGTTAAAAAAAACTATTTTAGAAAGTAAATTTAAACACCCTGTATTTCGGAAGCCACGCATTTTTCGACCCTAATAAATTTCTTGATTATGTTGTTTGACATATAACATTCGTGACGTCTTGCTAATAACCCGTAGGAAAAAATCCTCCGGACGTTATTGAACATAAGCGGGAAATGTGGTAAGCATTTGGAGACACGAAGATCAAAGGGACCGACAGCAGACAGCAGGTGTCGCATCTGTATAATCTGTGCTAGAATCAATGAACTGTCAACACTGATGGAATCGCCCCGTCCCATTTGTACAATGAAATGATGATGCGGCCAACATACGACAAAGAGGTCCGAGAGAGAGATGGAGCTAGTCAGGGCAAAAAGCGCGCGAACTTGAATGAATTGCATAGGAAACCGAGGATTCTTAGAGAAGATTTAAAAGTTATTCAGGCAACTGGAACGAGATAAAATCCTGGAAACGTAATTATAATTAAAAAACCAAGTTTTTTTATTTAAATATACATATGTATGAAACTTGACAATAAATTCTCCTTTACACATTTGAAGATATAAAAATTAGTATTTAACATAAGTAATTAATAATTCAGGTAGATTAACTTAACTGCTCTAATATGCTATATCTTACATATAAAAAATAAGAGCTCTAAGAAATATCACAATAAATACATGTTATTTTCTATGTACTGGGAACACGTCCAGTTTTGTAGAGATTAAAGTGTACAAAGAAAAAACCCTTATATATATATGTATACAAAATATTTGTGCACAATGGCATTAACAATACTGTGGATGCACAGTTTTTCATTATAATACAATATAGGTTATACCATAGTTCATTCTAGAAATTATGTATTCATGTTTTTTTTTCAGAACCCTTCAATGGCTAGGTTCTTTCTTGAGATGGGCTGCAAAATCAAACACAGATGGAACTGGCACCTTTTTTAGTACCTTGTTTCCATGAACACTAACTTCATAATCCTCTGGAGTGAAATGCTTTTCACAAATTACCGTTTTTGTACTGGGAGTAAAGTTTTCTCTTCTTATAGCATGTAACCACAACTTCCTCATGTTAGGATCTGTAGGTATCCTAAAAATCCAGATATTTTCTCGAATTGCCAATTAACAGGTAATTCTCACACAAAAATGAATGAGATGATTAAAACCAACCTGTGAAACTTCATTTTCACATCTTTTACTGCGTCTATTGCAACAATTCACCGCACTGCAAGATTCAACCATTTTTAAACAAATATCACATAAAACAACAGCTCTTGAAGGCTGTCCGGCATAAAAATGTTGTCGCAAACTATCAGTATTATTCTTTAACGTCACTAAAAACAAACATTCACCAAAAATCCTTAGAACATATATGGAAATACCACATTGGCTAGAATGCAGACGTTTGTTTTGGCTGGTTGCACATCAAAAATAAGTGTGGTATAGTAAAAAAGCTTGATATAAACTGTATGCGAACTATAGATTTTTGGGAATAACTGTTATAGGATTTGAGCCTGTTTGGAGAACATAATATTGTAATATACTAACCTGGACCTGTAAGCAGGAATATTCATAAGACTCCCTTGATAGAACACATCCACTCTATCGATCGGCCCCCCATGTTTCCGCCAGCTCTGACTGCCCCAATTGTGATGCCTATGATGATGGTGAGCATAGTGATGATCTGCAGTCAACATAGGTTGACTTAGGGCCAACCTGGCAGCGTCGCCAGGCTGTTTGCCTTGCTGGGAGCCCTGTTCGCTCCCCACTTGCATGTTAGAGTCCTGGGGACGTTGGACACCCCTGGGGAGCGAGAAGTGACCCATGCTGTGAGGCCGGTGCATCGAACCATTACCGGGGCTGTTGATGGATAGGGGCTGGTGGTTGCCGTTCATTGTACCTGCCGAAAATTGTAAAACTGTTGAAACTTAAAAAAATATATTTTTGAGGAAATTTTATATGTTCATCCCAAGGATATGGTTCATTCCCAATACCATAAATTTGAAATAGGACGGAAATACAATGAAATTTTTGTGTTAATATTACTACGTAGGGAGTACTGGGTGGCACACGTTTTATGTTATGGTTCAAATTAATTGAAATTTTTTTATTTAAATGACGATTAAAACGGATTTTGTTCTAGAAATATTCTGCTCAATGCTGTTACATTCTCCTTCTTGTATCTAGTTGAGGTGTTCCATAGTGGTTTCCGTAACCTTTCGGGCGTTGTGACTGCGATTTCAAGTAGGTCTTATTATGAAATATTGCAGAATTTTTACATTTTGATTGCCAATAATGGAATCCAGACTTTCTTGTGAACCCTCCCATACCCGTCCAGTAGTTCCATAAGTCCATCGTCTTGGAGCGCAACAAAGGTTCCATATTTTTCTTTATTGTCAAATTTTAGGAACCAAATAGATCATTATTGGCACTGGGTGTTCCTCATCCTTACATGGCAGCGATGTTCGATTTTGCTTCCATTATAGGTGGCGCTTGTGTGGTTGAAGGTCAAGCCGTCAAAGGTAGATGGGAAAAAGACAGATTTGATAGAGAGGTGATGGAAAAAGATTTTATAGACAGGTAACTTATCTTTTTTCGTTTTCACGACTATTGAGGTAAACAGCTGATCAAGCAATTGTTATGTTGGTTTGTTCATAACCTTAAATATGACGCTTATGCCCCCCAACCTTCCTAGCGCCATCTGCTTCTAGTCTTACACAGTTTATATTAGCTGATTATATATACACTTTGACGTAAAACAACAGATCCCAGAGTCTAAAAAGGAAATAATAAAGAAAAGTTCATTTTGAATAACCGACACGTTATCAACATTTCAAATCATAACGTTAATTTTGTTCCACTCTGTAAATGTAGATGATGACGTTGTATAACACAAAATGCTATATTATATTTCCATATCCTTGTTAGTACCATCGCATTAGTTGCAAAAAATATCAACAGTTTGGTACATGCGAATTTGATGGCTTTTAATTCTAACGGTTTTTTTTGTAACAGCATTCTGATAGTAGTGTTGACAACATTACCCTTGTTTCTAAAACGAAGATATCTTTTTCTCGAAAGTTATGACCACTTCTTCCTAATACTAACCATTCATTGGTTTAAACTGAAGATCATGATCCGAAACGTGAATGTCAATCTTAGCTTCTGTGGGTTTGAGTTTTGTTTCTTTCTCTGAATCTTCTTTCTTGTCGTTTTCAAGTGGCTTGAATAAAGCTCCAAACAAGATACATTCTAGTACCACACCAGCTATTATTAGGATACTTCCTCTCCATCCATACTCTGTCAACAGCCTAAAAAATAGCTACATATGTATTTAGAGCGTTAATGGCCCGTGGCATGAAATTAGAGCTTAGGGTGCAAATCCCCTTGAGCATTAACATGGTAAGTAACATAAACGCTTGTTAGGCTCAAGATAAATACGAAATCTTATACAGGGTGACTTCGAAGTTGAGTCATTTATTTTAACAGTGAGTAGATCTGATCAAAAGAAATGTTTTTTCCGTTAACATTTTTCTGGTAAAATTAAAGTAACAAAGTTATAGCCCTTTAGAAGTTTGAGTACCGCCCTGTCTCAATAATAATATTATGTGCTCGTGTTTGGCAACAACGGATATTATCCGCCTTATCGGTTCATCGCATCGGAAACAAAAAAGCGAAAGAATTTGAAACGCTGATCACGATGTTTTTCCTACAATTTTATTCAGTTGTATTCGGTCAATGTGTCATTCGGTATCCAACCCCTCGTGCCTTTGTTAATGTAGTACAAACGGCTCGTGAATCAGGTGACTTACGACCTCACAGGGGAGGGCATGCCGGTGCTCCAATACCGCACGATCAAATACAGGTCCGCACTGAAATACATGTCGGGAGGATACTTTATAAAACAAGGTAACATTTTTTTTTTTATTTTTACACACATATTTTAGTTTATCTTCCTTCTACAATCATTATCTGAAAATTAATGACTCAACTTCAAAGTATACTGATTATATAAGACAAGTAAAAAAATTAGTTTAAGCTTCAAGGGGGCTATCTAGGAACAAATACATAAAGTTACGTTATTACTGTAGAAGTCTAGAGCATAATTACGTGGCCTAAAGGGCGGGACTTGATGGCCGGAAAATCTACTCATAAAGTACGCTTTAGAGAAGTCCGATCGTAGATAAATGTATTTTAATTTCAATAAGCATTAATAATTATTCTCGAATTGAAATTTTATTTTTATGTTTACCTGGAAATGATTGGGGCAAAGATAAATGTTCCGAAGCCAGATCCACATACAGCGATGCCAGTTGCTAAGGACCGTTTTTTCTCAAAATACATGGTTACACTGACGATTGCCGGTAGATATATCAGTCCAAAACCCATACCAGCTCCTGTAAAACAGATTTTTAGATTAGATCAGATTTACAGTATTTGCATGAAGCTTTGGGGTAAAAAATTGGAGGGAGAGGTTGTTAAAAATGGATTTTTGGGAGCGGATTCGAGGAACTTCTAAAAGCAGGTAGCATACGGCGCGGTGACTTGATATGCTCATACGAGGTGGGCACGATGTGAAATGTGAATCTCGCAGAACTTAGCAAATTCTTCCGTTTCAGATTCTCTACTCTCAAAAAAGCTTTTAAGAAGTCTTTTTGCTGCTTGATATGGCGTCATCGTGCACGACTAATAGCATGTTTTGTTGGATGGTAATGTAAAGAGAAAAGGTAATAGCAGAGGCAAACTATTATGAAGCTACTGAGGAGGGTTGAGCGTCAGTCAACCAGAAAGTGGAACACGGGAAATAACCTCAATGCTAACTAACTATGATTGATATTAGCTACTAGGTGTTACAAGCATAGTTTATGTATATGTGTCCTTCTAAATGGAGTAGTTTGATATCTCATCTCGTTCAGAAGGGTAGCTATTATATTAAACCTGCGCAAGACTGTTAGCAGCTATTGACAACGAACATCTGAATCTTCATACGCACTCTTCGAAGTTGAGTAGTTTTCAGTTCATATTTATGCTAGTACTGTCAAAGTGCAACCAGGATTAGAAAAATCGCTCAAGTGATCGCGTTATAAATACCACACTGACTATGTTGCCTTTTGATTCAGTCCAGCGGGAAGCAATCCAATACCTGAGATCGTAATTATATTATTGGTACTATTACATGTATTTCTAAATATATTCAATTGTTGTAGTTTAAAAATAATAAAACTTTATCAAAATGCGCAAATATACCATGTAATAGTATCAATAAAGTTACCGATGTGATAATCATAATCCACTTGCCTGGAATATCTAATATCTTGATTGTCAATTAAAAGCGACACATTTCTAAATAATTAAAATAATAGTGGAACAAATATACTACGAGTGTGTATCATCTCTCCAAATAAATCAGTACAGTAGCAAAGATGTAACTTTTTTCCATGAAGGCTGGTAAAAGATATCCATTTGGAAAGTGAACCTTTCACTTAATGAATCTGAGATCACGTTGAAAACTTACCTATGCCTATTGTTAAACATAACGTTATGACATTTTGCGCCCAATATGACATTACGAGACACGCTGATGCCAAAATGGAACCAGCTATAGTAACTGCTCTACATCCCCATCTGTTTACAAAGTAGCTAGACACTGGACCTGAAAATAAAACTATTGTTATTTATTCTGTTCGACACCAAACCAATTTTTTCATACCAGGTGCAACAAAACTAACGGAATGGCTCTGTATTTTTCGAGGTAAGGTATTTTTTGAAGAATTTAAGGTCAGGTCTATACTAATTTTGAACAAGGACTTCAACGGTGACCTTGAATTTGGCTTGAGCCTCCATTCAATGTTAGTTCAAAGTCAACTTTTGTTTTTTTAACAAAGCTTTCTTTTGATCCCTGCAATCAAAAGAACGAGAAATTCTACGTTCGAATGTGTATTAAAATGTAACATCAAGATCACCTATAAAGGTTAAATGAAGGTCAAATATGTAAGGCTAGGAGAGCTTAGGAAGATTTTTGATGTAAAAAATTCTTCGTTAGTAACTTTTAACAAGGATTTCAACCTTGAATCACACATTCAAAGTCACTTCAAGGTCGACTATTGTTATGACTTTGTGAGGCTCAGGACTACTCAGAAAGACCGACTGCCATTACCTTGTGAAATTACCCTGTGCCTAATTTTTACATCGTGCTAGTCTCTGGCGTTGCGAACCGCTTCGTTTTATTTGTTTCTGGACTCGACGTCGGTTTGCCTGTTCTCTACAGCGCGGTTTTGTATGAAGGCTCTGTGTACATACCTTGTTGAACCAAACGTTGGTCCCTGGTTTAGGCACTTTCACTGTATGAGGGATGTAATCATCCATCCTCACGTGGATACTCTCGGTTATAGACAGAGAGCCGATACAACCGAGCCAGTGAAATAAACATATCTCCACAGAAAGGTGGAGTCTCTGAGCCCTTCCCAGTCAGCATGTTCGTAATGTCAAATTTTTCGGCCTGGGCGAGTTTTTCCTGCCACAACCGATTCTAGCTGAAACCTGATCTCTACAACACCGTGGTCTGAATTACCCAGAGAAGACTTGAAAGCAGTGATGTAATTGACGGGATGCGTGGTCAGAAAGAGATCCAGCAGACCTCTGGTGGAACGCGAGGGAGAAAGTAAAGCTCGTTACCAGCTGGGTTAGTCCTTGAGTAATAGCTAACGCTTCAACAGCACGACCTGCTGCACTGGTCTTGTTTGAGCCGAACTAGAGCTTATTATGCGTATTGAAACTACCGAGGAGAACTACCTCTGAAGCAGGCTTATATTAGATATTCAAGTAGATCATCACAGCTATGGTCCGAGAGAGAGCAATAGAGGCAGCAAATAAATTTGGGGGATGCTTTGGAGTTCAGCTACCTGATTTCAAAGAAACGTCTCAGGAGCAGGAAAGAGTGCTGTAGACAAAAGTAACAACTCCCCCGTTCTTCCTCAGACTGGAGTGGACCTCGTAATTTGGAAAGCTAAGACGGCTGGTAGGGACAGGATAGGAGATTTTAGTCTCCGCCAAGAAAAGCATGGCGGGACGATTAGACTGCAGCTAGTGGCGAACAGCATCAATGCTATTGTTAATCCAGCAGATGTTAACGAAGGAGATTTTATCCTCGATGTTGTTTCCTTAAACCCATCCTCCACCCGGATATTCTGAGAGTGGAGTGAGTTTACTACGTCTGGAATTCTTTGTACCCGAGGGATCAGTCAACATTTTTTGTTGAGAAGGGAAAAAAGACCGATTCCATAGCTTATGTGTGGAAGCACCCTCGAAAAGGCTAGTGTGTGGACGACTGGTTCTTGCTTATGAAGGATGTTAAATAGACCTAAAGTGGCCTTTTGGTGGACTTCTACCGCCACCCGGGAATCGCTACTGAGGTATTCCAAAAAGGCGGTTATCGGTTTTAAAAAGTAATAGTTGATCTTAAATTAGCCTTGAAGGTGGGATTCCTGGTCACGACTGAACTCCTTGTTCAAAGCTAGCAAAAACCTAATCTTCACCTTAAAGAATAACTTACTAGGAAAAAAATATTTTGATGCAGCAAAAGCTGTGGTAAAGAACCACATTAGGTAGAGAAAAAGCAAGACAATTACATATGATATTGAAAGTAGGTCCGCAGAGAATTTCTTCCTCTGGTAGCTTTTAATAAAAATAACCCGTGCTTGAATTTACTCCTGCATTTTTTGAGGTGAACACTCCTTAAAAAGTAATGCAAAGCACATGGAAATGTGCAATTCAATATTCAGATCGCGTGTTTGATTCTATCTACTTAGCAATGTATAGGTGTGTTTCTATAAATGTACATACTATCTATAGGAAACATGAAACTCAACATCTGCAAATTTGCATAGTCCTAAGTCGTTGTCCATTGATTAAAGTATTCTACCTGAATATAGCCAACTTAATCCTATTATCGCGCGCTAGAATAATTATTCGAGATTATAGAGACGCCAAGCGTCGTCTAAGACAATGTGTGACATATATTTCTCCTCTACACAATAATTTGAAATCTTCTTTGGAAAGATTTCACGGTTTCACTTCAACTCGGATAGTTTTTCGGACATGCGAGTATAGTATTAGGTTGTCTTCAGGTGGAATACATGAATCTACTCGTATACCATAACTCTAGTTTGACGTATCTTATGACCCGTTGCTACACTTGATCTAAATGAAACATCTAGCTTTAGTCTGCAGCTTTCTTCTTCAAACAATTCGTTTAATGCCATCTATAGTGTAATCCTATAAGTAACACAAGAATTTAAATCACGTAAAAATTGATATTACCTTACCTGAACATAATGTTACTCCTACAAGTATTGACAGAATCCATGACGTTGGTCCTTTTCCTTCTTTGAAGTAATCCAGAAACTCGTCATAGAATATTCCGAAGGAATACGTCACCCCATCGGCTGAAACAAATGGAAAATAAATATTTTTTTCTAGAAACAAGCGAAAAAGACTAGAAGGCCTAGGTAAGATTTTTCAAGGATCAGTCGCAAATGACAGCTTGAGAAACAGAATATCTCGTTATCGGAGAAAATATATGTCATCTGATGGCACAACTAGAAAAGATATGTAAAGCAGAATAAAATGGCATCCAGAAATTGAACTCAACTTTATGGTCCTTGAAAATCAGGATAAATACAAAAGTCCAATAATAACATATATTAAGTGACATAGAAAAAAGAACATCCAGTGATAATGAGTTTATTTTCTGAGCTTCTGTTTGTTTTTTTATATACCGAAGCAGCCGCGCAGGCAGAAGCCTAAATGCCAGAACACCGCGGCTGCTATGAGGATCCCAAAAAAAATTTGTTGATCCGTTTTTTGAAATGCCTAAGGTTAATAGAACTGGGGAAAGCTTTCTCTTGTAGATTGTTCCACAACCTCGACACCCTTGGGACAGAAGAGCGGTCGTATCATGTAGGAGAGCTCTGAGGAGCAAAGCCCGTTGAGGTAGCGGTAGAAGAGATCTATATCGCCGACGGCGCGCCGGTGCGAAAGGGTACCGATACTGTCTGTTAGAGAAGAGTCATTGATCAGTCGGACAACCCTCCTCTGGACTGCATCGAGCATAAATTATGTAGTAGGGGCGGATAAAAGTACTTCTTAGCTCCTTGCACAGCAGCTGCCGCTATTGACGAGATGTGTTGGTGCCAGATCAAGTCCTCGGTGATCTGGCCTCCGACCAGCAGAAATGAACGACTCTTTGGCAGAGCTCGGCCAACCATTGAAACCGGATGAGCGCTAAGACGCTTTTTGTTCGTCAAGATACAGTACTGTGTTTTGGAAGCATTCAACTGTGCTAGATTGTTGAATCCCCAAGCAGTGATAACCTCTAGGTCTCTCGTTAGAGAGGAAGTTTTCTTTTTTCTCCGGCTCAGCGGCAGAGATCGGCTTGTCGGTCTGAATCCCTGCATGTAGAGTGCTGTCATCAGCAACGCTGTGGACTGGATTGACCGTACAGGGATGTAAGAGGAACAGTGTAGGAACCAAGACCAATCCCTGGGGAACACCCGCGTTGACGTTGTGAGATGAAGAGAAAAACCCGTCAATTATGACGGATACCTTGCGGCCAGAGAGAAAGTCAGCCACCCACCTGCAAAGCTTCTATGGGAGGTCATAGGATGGACGTTTGCATGAGAAAGAACCGTGCCTCTGCTGATCGAACGCTTTCGTGATATCAAGAGCAACGACATGAGCTTCACCATAAGACTGGATGAGTTTACTCCACAATTGCTTGACGTAAGCTAGGAGGTCCTCTGTGGATCCCTGGTGCCGGAAACTATACTGCCTCTCGCTAATCAAACCGTGACGTTCGAGGTAGTCCAGAAGCTAGCGATTTATGGTTAGCACAAAAAACGATATGCTTTTCAATCGATAAAGTGGTTTTCGTGATATCATTTGTTCTTATAAAAAATTGTAGTGAGCGACAGCTGTGTTTTGTATCTACAATAAGCGTATGAACATCGAACAATACCTTGTGAAGAGTTGCTATAATCTGTACACTATGCCTAGAGTGAGAAGACCAGAAAATTTTCAACATTTCATATCTGAACGAGTTTGATTGGGGGCGAATAGTGAGTTTTTGTGAGGCTGGTTGGTCCTTTAGAGAAATAGCCACCAGGGTGCACAGACGCCTTAGGCTTTTGGCTCAAGGAGCTGCTTCTAGTCCACAAGGTCCATTGGAGGATCAATGGGTTGGAGAGCACGGCTTAGGCACCTAAGTTATCGACTGGCTTGGTGCAGAGAACGGCCGACCTGGGATCTCGAATGTCTTAGCGATGAATCCAGATTCTATTTAAAGATGCATGATAGCCGTGCAAGGGTGATCAGGCGACGAGGGGAGACATTGCAACTAACAAAACAAAGAGTGGCAGTCCAAGAACATCATAGCGGAAAGGAATAGAAGAAGCCATGAGGAAATAGTAAATAAATGCAGGAGATTGGTAAAATATATGAGAATAGAGATTGAAGTGCGAGAAGCTGCAGTTGTAGTAACCATGTCGCAGTCATATCGTAGAACCGCCCATTTCATGAAATGATCGAGCATTCCATGAAATGCTCGCCACTAAAGATCATATCGTTAAGTCGTCCACGTTTAACGATTTGGTCATACACGATTCACCACAACGTAAATCGGCTGTTAATAAAACCAAAAAACCTATTTAGTACTCAAGTGCCTTTTTGACATAGCGTTGATCAAATAAGTCATGAAGTTGCCGCGAGTTTAGTTGATCATACCGACAAACGATTTGTTATTATTGGTCTGGTCAACCCATACCATGATCTGACCAATGGATTAACAATACAGTTAATGAAATGTGACTCAAATGGGCAATTTTACGTTGTGGCCAGGACATATACATAATGTGTATTCATGGGTTATATTCAATTTGAAAACTATAAAATAGGAAAAGGTAAATTGCTGCGATTGGATAAAAACAATTCGAGTGCAACCTACTTGCACCGCTTTCGAGATATTCCTGTGCTCCGCTTCGCTTCGCGCGGCAATGTAGTATTTTGCGCTCTTGATACACTTCAAATGCATCGGTTTGAATGGTGCAATTTACCAATTCACGTTTTCAAAGCATGGCTCATTTAGATTATCAATACTATTAACGCGCTCACAGGTTTTATGGGATAAAGTAAAAAGTAAATGTTTATGGTCTGTACATTGAATCACGGATTATATTATATCCAATAACATATGAAACAAATACATGTTTATATAAGTACGAACATTTTATGCACAATGTTTATAGATATGCAAAATGACAGTTGTGTATCTGTGATAAACTAGGTGTTCATGTGGTGCCATATATGTATATTTCAGCGGATAGCTATGTTCAATCTACAGGGTGTTTCAGTTTATTCTTGCATAACTTTAAGATTCGATAGAACTTTTAAAATTAATGCATAAAGTCTATATAAGCATGGGTCGAAAAATGCGTGGCTTCCGAAATACAGGGTGTTTAAATTTACTTCTAAAATAGTTTTTTTTAATATTTCGAACAATATTTGATGTATAACAGTGAAAATTGGTATACAAGGGTTTTTTGGTACCAAAAAACGAACCATGGTCATAGTTTTACTGTAACCGCTAGAGGGCGCTCTCTCCTGTACCTGTAATGTATTGAAATGACCGAAAATTTTTTCTTAGTGCAATTTTTTGCCTTTTGAATAAAAAAACGGATTCTCCGCACTTTTCAACATAAAAAAGCTCTCTTGAGAATTTTCGTTATAGTTAGCCGTTTTTGAGATATTTCGATTTTTAAGGCTCGATGCATTTTTAATTATTTATGGGCAAATAATATTTTTTTTTACATTTTCGATTTGGGCATTACAAGTAATTAAGATGATCGTTTAGATTGTGTTTTTAAACACAGCAATAATTCCTAACTCCAAATAAACACAACAGAATATTAATTTGTTTAATTTTCCAATATTATTTTTAACAAATTAAATTAATTATTTACAACTAAAATGCTATTGGCTAGTTAGGACAAACATACAAAATCTAAAGTAGTTGCTCTAAACGTAAACCCAATTGTTCAATACACAATTCACATCTACGAATGATCGAACGTGGTATAGCATTATTCAAATAAGGCCTTATTTCATCACATGTATTCCTGATTCTGTCTATTAGCATATCTCTTGTGGTTACGGGAGTCTGGTACACTTTTTCTTTTAGAAATCCCCACACAAAGAAATCTAATGGATTTAGGTCAGGGGATCGTGAAGGCCAGGCGACTGGTCCTCCACGGCCGATCCATCTTTTTGGATAATTTTCGCCCAGCCAGTTTCTAACTATTCTCGAATAATGAGCTGGACAACCATCAAGCTGGAACCAGGCCAATCTTCTTAAATCTAACATAACATCATCCCACATATTTGCATGTTCAGCCTTTAAAAATTCCAAGAAGGTCGCAGCATTTAACCTTGCAGGCAAAGGTAAGGTCCAAATATAGTCGATTACGGTACATACCAATCCACACGTTCACACTAAATTCGTGCTGAAAATTTCTTTCCCGAACTGCATGCGGATTTTCATGCGACCAAATATGTTGATTATGAAAATTTACCACTCCACGTCTAGTGAAGCATGACTCATCGGTCCATAAAACGTTACTTAAAAACTCCCTATTATTATCAGTTCTATCAAGAATCCACTGACAAAATGTGATTCTTCGTTCTCCGTCCCCTGGCTGTAGTCCTTGCACAGGTTGCAAATGGTAAGGACGTCTATGGTAATTTCTAAGAACACGGTGAACATGGCTTGCTGAAATTCCCAAGGCACCAGAAACTATCCTAACACTTGTGGTCGGATCTCTATCAAACTCACGCAGAATCATAGGGGTAAATCTGCGCTGACGAACATTTATGTTTTGATCCCTTCGGAGATTTCCAAAACCATTTTCAATTATTTGGCGATGCACTCTTACAAATACTGAGCGAGTTGGATGTCGTCTGTTTGGAAATATTCGTGCGTAGTCTCTGGCTGCTTCTGCTGCGTTTCCATTTACAAAGCCGTACACAAAATGAATATCCGCTAACTCTTGATTGGAGAATAAAAATGGCATTTTTATAAAACTTACAAAAAAAAAACAGGTAAAAGAAACTAAATTTCATGCATTCACAATTGCAAAAAAACGTTTCAGGTTTCAACAGACAACAAAACTAACTGTCAACTAATTGACGTTTAACCTTATCCTGCTTTCAATTTCAAAAATATTTGCAGGCACAGCCTACTTCTAAAAATTATCGAGATACTGACTTTTTAACGTTATTTTATCATAAATAATTAAAAATGCATCGAACCTTAAAAATCGAAATATCTCAAAAACGGCTAACTATCACAAGAGAGCTTTTTTATGTTGAAAAGTGCGGAGAATCAGATTTTTTA